AGCTGGAGTTACCCAGCCCTAAATTTTATCATTGGGTTGTCATCTAGGCCCAATGATAAAATTTAGGGCTGGGTAACTCCAGCTATCTTTCCTCAGACTATTATTATTATTTTATTATTATTATTATTAATCATTTCTGGTAATGAAACCAAGGATTCCTCAAAAGCGCCCTAAGCACTGTAGCTCGCAAGCCTGAAGAAACCTGTGGAGAGAAGACAATGAGAAGAATTTACAGTTTCAGAGGTGGGAGGAAAAGCCCAGAAGAATATGCAAGGGAAAACCCACGGAATCAGGCAGGGACTGAAAACCCAATCCACATATTGGCCCAGGCGGGTCACAGAGGTGGAAGGCGAGGAAAGTACCGCTACGCCAACCTGACTCCCCAACAAGCAGATAAACTTTCACATTTAGCATTTTGGTTTCCTGACAAAGCCAGACAGACAGAAGATTAAAGATTTTTCGGAGAATAACAACAGTGCAAAGTGAGGGGAATGCCTCACAGACAAAAAGTGCAGCCTTACAACAATGTACAGTGTACGTCGCAGCGTACTTCCTAGTCCTAATGTAAATGTCGTGACAACCACCCAAGGATGAATGTGAATAACAAGCGTTCAACCGGAACATGCCAACACACACGTGTGCATTCATGTGTACCGCCATTCTGTCGGCTGTAACTATTTTTTCGCTTCTTTCTTTCTCAGTTAATTAATCATCCTACGCAGAATGTGCCATCACATCTGTGCTACTTTTTATGTAGGGGAAAGGTGTTGCAGTAGATAGAATGCTGCTGTTTACAATATGTTATTGTTGAGATATTCATCCTGTCGGCCTTGAAAGTCTGGAGCGGAAATGTAATTCCAGTAGTTCAAATCATTCAAAGTCAAATTCAATTGCAAAGTCTGTCCTTCTAACTTCTAAACACAATTTACACAATTGTTGAAGTTTTTAGTTTTGAATTTTGTTAAAGGAAGTCTGATCATCAAATTTAAGTTAGGCAGGATGAATTTGAAACCTTTTAAAGATAATGTAACAATTTGAACTACAAATTTATGTATTTTTAAAGGGTTTTCTTAAAATGGGGAAGTCACTTGTGTTCCACCAAATATTTAGTTGCAATATGGGTTCAAGACACAACTAAGTTTTGTGGGTTTTTTAAAGTGTTTTTTGTACCCTAACCCTGCTCAATCCAACGTGATCCAACTATTTAACATTCTCGTTGGATCCTGTTGGATTGAGCAGTAAAGACCTTGAATTCCTGTTGGATTCAGCAGGCAACAGAACAAACTAAGGCACAGTTGGATTCTGTTGGATTGAGCAGGCAAGTCATTTTATATTTTTAGGTACCTAGCAAGCTCATATGAGTAACTGTTGGACTCTTGGATTTAGCAGGGTAGTCATGGGGAACTATTAGGTTAGGGTTTTAATTACAAGTGCAGACACTCTCAACACTACGCTACAGTAAAATTTTGAGGTGACACCTCCATAAAAGATTTTTACAAGTAGTACTTTTATTTTTGTAAATTGTAAAAACCAATGGATCTATCCAAATAAATACCTGTACACGATACTGCTTTACCTATCAATTCAATTTTTCAATTTCAATATAGGCCTAATATTTATTTCCATCAAAAGCAAAGTAAAAGCATCATAAGAACGAAAAGTACATATTAAGATGGAGGCAAAGTGTTTCCAAACACTCAGAGATCTATGGTTCGTGAAATCAATGAAAACTATACTAAAGATAGTTGTTGCCTCTTTGGAACCTAAAAGAAGCCTAACAACAACAATCTTCTTTGAAGCGAGTGCCTCCCATTGTCCCAGAGAAAGATCCGCAGAGGAAGGCCAACACAGGAAGAGACGATATCCCCGATACGAAGCATTGAATTTCCCTGAGCAGGGCGGAGGGTAAAAAGCTCAGGTTTCTTCAGCGGTGAATCGCATCTTGTGTCCTGCATCCATCCCCCGAATTAGAACTCGGGAATCGGGTTGCGACGATACAATTACTCCCGTGAAAGGATGCTTCCATGGCTGGTTCCCCGTTGAGCAACCGGCAAACGGCAATGGACTGGGGCAATATTGGGAACTCCCGCTCGCCGCGGAAACTAAAATAAACTTGACAGACGGGCTAATTGTGTCTAGCAGATTGATACGGGTCAACACAGCAGGAATCGTATCACTGCGACAGACGGACGCACGCTTTATTGCAATAATAATTAATTACTTCAGGGGAAATGAGAATTTATGATCATTGATAGAATTTCTCTGGGGTATCCCTCAACTACTATTGTGTGGTGCTACGAACCAGGAAACATGTAAACTGTTCTGTAGTGATTACAAGTAGATATCTGTGGACATAAAAATCTTGATATATGTTTGTTGACTTTCGTAATTCTTATTCACAAGTTTTGAAGTGCCATAAATGCCAGTAGTGTTTTGTGGGCCCTTTTTTTGAAGGGGGGGGGGGGGGGGTAATGTAGCAATAGAGCATTAAGTTACAACTGTAACCAGAATGTGTATGCTTAGGAATAGGGTAGGTAGGTAGGCAATTTTTTTTTGGGGGGGGGCAATTTTTGTGTGTCCATTTGTATGGTCATATTGAGGTGTCTGCGTGTAGTCAAGGGTAAAGGGTAGTAGCCCTAATTGATGGTTTTCAGGATTTTTTTCCTCATTTTCCCCCCAAAAAAATTTGGATAGGGGCTGTCGAAATAGGGTAGGAACATGTAGGGTAACCAGAACCAGAACTATTTTTTGTTTTGGCCTTAAGTTCTTGTCGGCATTCGCAAGCGGGAACACAAAGCTTCCAGTATGCATTGCCATACATGTACATGTACACATTTTGCAAAACACGTAACTTGAATTCTCTAATTTATGATTCCTATGAAGTGGTAGGCAGGTAGGAACAGGTAAAAAAAACTTTTAAAATATATGACTGTATTACTTTAATGACCAAAAAAGAAAGCTGCATGGGTTTTCTGAACTACTTCATGAGACACAATGAAGAACAATGGGCTGTTTTATTTTATAATCTGAAGTGACAGTCCTACAGTGCCAAGCCTTTCTTCCCTTGATAAACTACATTTCTTACAATAATCAACTTGATAAGAAACTTCACTATAACACAAGGTTTTAGACCAGGGGAGGCGAATGCGACCTTGATGACCCGGATGACCTCTGTAAAACCCAAGGTCAGCTTTTGATACATGCACCTGTAGCAGTAATCAAATGAAAGTACCGCCCTGTGTGATATGACTTTCCTCCAGCCGCTTTTCAAGATGCTGCATGAATAACATGCTTCCTCCAATCATGGCCGAGAGTGACGCACTGCACGCAGGCTTGAAAACAAGACTGACACACCAAGGTCTATTTCATTATCTTGCATACTGCACATTGAGCCACAGCATGAACGTTGGCCTTGAGCGCTAGAACCCAGACTGGCAGCTGATCATGTGGAACTGTGGAATGACCTCCTTCCCAACGACAAAACAAATTTCAAGGAAAACTTAACATTTTTATTGTTTTTTTTTTTTTTTTCATCAGCACATTCAGGTTGAAACAATTTTGTGTTGCCGCATTTATTTTACATTTGGTACCTATGTGATAACATGCTACGCAGAATCGGCATTCCCATAATCATTATTTCGGAGGGGGTAATTCCATTCGATTCCACGTTATACCTGGACTCCTTGGAGAGGAAAATCATCTGTGGAAATTTGAAGAATGTAGGGCCTAGGCTAAGGTCAAAATGCCCTGTTTTCTTTTAAAAAAAAAAGTTAAAATATTTTGTAGCATATGGGGTCACTCACTTTTGTCTTCTAAGACTTCCGAAACAGACCTATTCTCTATGGCACTACAATATTTGTTATGTTGACAATGTGTATTGTGTTTTGTTACTCAGTGTTTTGCGCATGGAATATCAAAGCAAAACCTTTCATTTGAACCTGCAGATTATAGAGTTTGCTTTTAAAGCTTAACCCTAACCCTCCTCAATCCTCCAAAATCCTTGAGATAGTTTTTTTGAGGATTGAGGCTGAATGGCAAAAAAAGTGCCGGTTGATTTTGGAGGATGCATTGTGTCGAGTTCGTAGGCTGTACCCAGGTACATGTATTCCCGAAAATATTCTTCTGGGGTTTTCCTCCCACCTCTAAAAACTGTAACTTCTTCTCATTGTCTTCTCTCTACAGGTTTCTTCAGTGCTTGGGGCACTTTTGAGGAATCCTTGGTTCATTACCAGAAAGATATCAAATAAATAAATAAATAATAAAAAATACCCTTGACTCAAATTTGATCGAAACTAAACAGGGGCCCTACACTACACGATTGCCGCCAAAACATGCAAAAGGGCCTAGGGACATGAGGGAGGGGGTAGGGTTACACGTTCATCATCGAATCCTTGGTTCATTACCAGAAAGATATCAAATAAATAAATAAATAATAAAAAATACCCTTGACTCAAATTTGATCAAAACTATTAACAGCTAACAGGGGCCCTACACTACACGATTGCCACCAAATCATGCAAAAAGGGCTAAAGAGGGGGTAGGGTTACACGTTCATCATCGAATTCTACAACTTTTTTTAAGACTTTATACATGTAATAATTAAGAGGTGTAACTTTAACTATAAAACTTTAATTAGAACAATGTACAATTTGATGTTTACAAATGATATTATTATTAAAGATGAAAAGAAAATTGCTGATTTTCTTATTAATTATTATTATAAAAAAAGATTTATCCTGTTGACATTTTTAATGCTTTTCAATTTCATCAATGGCAGATATTTTCATGGTTTTAAATAATAACATGAAAAACACTTTCTTTAGCAGTTTAGCAAAGTCTGAAATTGATGTTGAAATTTAGGTAGTTACAACAGTAATCATGGTTATGGTACATGTAAAACATCCATATGGACCTCCACGTACATACCGAACACTCCCAGCACCCAAAACAGGTGCCGCGCCACGCGCAAGGCAAAAGCGGGTAAAACGTCACCAACTCACCGGTCAATCATCAGCGACGCTTCGCCCATCCACGGGATCAGATGTTCCTCACGATCGATCGCCAAAGCGCGCTCATCATCTCGGAAAAGCCTGCACTGGTAGCCCACCACGCAGATTTCATCCACCTCCTCCTGGCGAGACTTCTTGGCCTCCATCTTCTTGGCGTCCACCAGATGGGCCCGCTTGGTCTTCATTTTCTTGCTTATTTGCGCCATTTTTATGGCTACTTTTCCGACTCGTGCTACGTTAGGTTGTCGTCCATTGCGTACATTTTGCGGAATAACTGCGCGGCGCGGTGGTCTGATACCCTGTGAACGCGCGATTGTGCACATGTAAATGAGATTTCCGATAAATTACAGACGGGTGCCAATGTCATTCTATTCACAAACACGTTGCATTTTTACGATGTACCGTTGGATACCACGTTGCAGCTGAATACAATGAAATGGAACCCGACTGCACGGAAAACTGCCGCGGTCCTAGTAAATGGCGCCCTCGCGGGCCCGGTGCACAAAGAACAGGTGTCTGTCTGTTCCGAAAAACCAACAACCAGATCATTTATTAAACGAATAAAATAATTTTCCCGATTTTGGCGTCCACAACCTTCTGAAAAGTTGCTGTAATTTTACGCAACAATGAACCCGCCCTGCATGAGCCAATTATTGTCTGGCAGTAGTAATAATTCAAATTTTGTGAAGAAATAATTCAATAACTTTGAGCAAGGAACAACACCGACTTTTTCGTTCCATGTCTCATTCGAAATTGAATTAATGTTTTTTTTAAATGTCTAAAAGGTGGGGCAGGGAGGGTAAAGAGGCCTTATTCAAGTCTTTCCAATGTAGCTGGGGGTTTTGTAAACATGACAAAATTTAACAAAATGACGAGCAGATGCACATGGAGGTAAATTTTCAATGAAATTTTATTTTCCAAAAAATGGCAAATTCACAACTTCTTTGGAAATCTCATTTCCCCATCGCATTTTACTTAACTTTATCCAGAAAAAAACTTTAAAACATCCTTAAACACACATTTTTGGCTCTTACACAACTGAAAACCAGAATCAACCTAAAAGAAAGTAACAATATGTGAAAGAAAACTAACCAAATCCACCTTTGTAAATGTTATTTACCTTGTGATTTTATTCATAAGTCTCCGTTGACTATGAATGATATTGTCAGTAATTGAGTTCTAATGACTGATCTGCATTAAAACAAAGAACAAGCAATCAGCTGATTTGCATTAAAACAAAGAACAAGCTATCAGCAACTCCCAAAAACGTTAGTCCAATGAGAAATATCTATTTTAATCATCTGAAATTTCTCTAATCTGACTTTGCATCTTTCTTCCTTTTGTTATGATTGTTTCAAACATTAGAATCAAACCATCAACAATTTGTGACATTATCCTTCTTAATTTATTATTGCTCTTAGTTTGATGCTTACCAGTGCTGTAAACAATTTAAAAGACTTGTGGTGTTGTCTCAGGAAGAGTTGTGACAAGTTACCATACTTGTAAGAAAAAAAGAATCTGGCATCCAGAGTGTCCACTGTTCTGTGATAATGTCTTGCCTTCTAGGAGCCATACCAAGATGGTTGTACCTCAATATAGTACAAACCTAATGCAAAAAGGAGGCTACTTTGCAATTGTTTTTCATCTGAAGTGGGTAACAATAGGACCTTGTAGAGGATGCTCCTTTCCAGTTGATATGTGTGATGCGATCAAGCTAAATGAGTCGTTCGTGGGGAATTTTTATTTGGAGATATAGGCCAAAATAGGGCCACTTCATCACATCACTTCATCACATCTCTTGGTGTTTCAACTTCCATAATTAGTGAACTAAAGATGGCATCAGCATGCGGTTTTCACAGCAGTAATGCTGAGGTTGTACTCTTTTCAAATCTGCAATAAAACTTTTTTTGACCAGGGTCGACAAACGACTCATGTTGCTTGATCGCATCACATATGTTGTTTCAATATAGGGGCAGGGAGAGGTCAAAGATCAAAAGGTCACCAGGTGAAAGGTCAAAAGGTCATCGGGTCAGTGACTGTGTAAGAAGAGGGTAGCGGCTGATGGCCCTACTAGCGCTGCTGATTGAATTCTTATCCCTGCAAGTAGCCCCTGAAAGAAAAAACATCACAGTGTTAAAAAAAAATCAGTCATTATTCTACCCGATTATTTCCAAGGAATGATGTCTCAACGATTGTTACACCTACAAAAAAAGCATTTAACTGCATGTATAGATACCAACTATAGTTGGGATCGATACGACCGCAGTCAGTGTCATAAGCTAGGTCACAACATGATCTGTATATTTGAAATTGTTTGTTCTCTGGCCCGATTTTTTTCCTGCGTGTTGTTTGTTTTCTTCCTTCTTTCCCAATTAAACACAAAGGGAAACTGACTAGGTGCATTACAATCAGATCTTAAGTTGAACAAAGAAATTGACTGGATCAGGGTTTGAACCTGCGACCTCCGGATAGCCATTCCAGTGCTCTACCGACTGAGCTATCCAACCCTATTTTGGCGGTTCCCCATTTTGTCACAAAACAAATTTTGCAAACAAAAAGTCACAAACCTTTAAAGGGAATATACAACATTTGCAAACATCGAAAAATAAAACTACCAAGTTTTTACGAAATACCTTACTAGGATGTTAGTAAATGACAGTCTAAAGCATCCTGTAAAATTATGGCACCTGGTGTGAAGTCATTTTCAAGAAAATGGTATTTTTGTATACATTTCCAACGGTGGTCGGCCGACCACCGTTGGAAAAACCTAACTATTTTTCAACTACTGCTCCAACTTTACACTTGTTTTCAGTCCAAATTTTGTTTGCTATTGGTTACATGTTCATGAACGGGTGCAGGCCAGCTAGACTGGTTGCCTTACCTTACAATTTTCTGGCATCTATAAATTGATCGATTTTATCTTTAGTGGAGTCAAGGTACCAGACTACTTGAACTTTTTTGTTTTTCTTGGTTTTTCCAGCATTTTCGAACACAAAACTTCAAACATGTCAGTGTAACAATATTTGATCTATTATACTAACCCCTCAAATAGTTCATTTTTGAAAATTACAGCAAAAGCAAATGATGTACATTCCCTTTAATGCAAATTAACACATTTACCCTCCTATGCAAACATACACTGTGCAAAGTTGTCCTTTCAGTCAAAAGCAGTCAAGTGACTGTTTTTAACAGTTAAGAGCTACATAAAAAAGGATTGACTGGCTGTAACTGTATATAACTTGATATAGCTGTGCTTTGACTGTAGGTGGTTGACTATAAGCCAGCTGTGCCTACCACTTGCCTGCTTTTGTTGGTTTACTGAATTTGACTAGTCACAGTGCTTGCTTGAAATATGATCTGACTGTTGGTGACTAGCCTGTGTAAAAGGCATGGCAGGGGAAGAGAACTGATTTGTTGAACTGAGTGGAGTTGACCAAGCCTTTGGGGAGGGGGATGGGGGGACGGGAGGGATGAGCCACTTACGGTAGTTTCATCCTCATGAAGACCCGACACATGAAGAACGAGACCAGAATGCAGACAAAGCTGACAAACAAGAGAAGGAATCGGTTCAGCTTGGGCATCATGGGAGCGTTAGACTTGTCCAGAATGACGAAACCGAGGCCTCCGACTGTGAAGAGAAAGCTGGATGCGAGACCCTCCATGATGTATTGGCCGTTGACTCGGTAAGGCATGAAGGCCACCTGAAAATAATGAAGGTTTTTTTTAATACGGGAATGAAGCAAAATGTTATACCTTAATCATTTACCTTCCTGGAGCCTTATAAATTCACCTGGAGGTTTAGGAGAATTTTGCAGGATTGATGAAGGTAGTTGGTTGGTTCAGGATGACTAGTCCGAAAATTTGGGACTCTCAATACTGTGTATGACAGTCCCAAAAGTTAAGGTATTGAAAACTTGCAAAACAAGAAAATAGACTGGCACATGAAACAACCAGTCCAACACCGCTTCAGTACTGCATCAATCAACCATGCCAAAAGAAACAAGTGGCATGAACCAGGAACAATCTTCATTTACTACACATTTCTCCATAGTCAGCCACCAGACTAATGACACTGAATAAAGAGGTCAGTCTTTTCAAATAGTTGGACCATGGTTGGACATGTGCCAGTCTAGTCTTTAGCCTCAATTCACTTGACTTCCCTCTCATGTGCAGAATATTGAAGAAATGTCTCGTTCAATTGAATTGAGTCTGCAAATTTAGTTGGTGAAATACTGAGGACCTTTTCTTTGCCCAATGGAAGTTTTGGAGAAATTTGCTGGCTATTAAAGAGTGAGTAAAGTTGGCCTGATTTAGTTTTGCACTTTTCAGAACACTCCAAGTCCTAGTCTGGGATATGACTACAAAAATGGTTCCCAAAATGACTCGGGAGATACGGTTATAAGCATGAGTTCTCTGGAATGGCAAAGAAAGACCTGTAGTTTTCTCAGTTGTGTGCAGATAAAAAAAATGTTTAAATAACAAAAAAGTAGAATATGTTGCTGCTGGGACATACATGTACTTTTGATACACACAATTTCAACATTCCTCTTTAGTTTAGCGTCTGTTGTATTCAAAGCATGTAGCTCATTCATTATGGTTAGGGCCTACTGTGTGGTTCTATATAAGCACAATACATGGAGCATAGAGCAAGGAACAGACATGACAGAGCTACGAATACAATTCATATCAGGTGGTTTAAAGCCTTTTTGGGAGAGTAGAGGTAACCACACTTACAGGTCTTTGATGGCCGTTTTCATCTGTTGTTGAGCCAACACTTGGCGGCTCCACGATGACATCATAGATTAAACCTATACAATTCATAGAAAAACAATAATTTGATTATGTTGGGGGCAATTGCACAGATCCATTAATGGTTCCCAACAAGTGTTGTTGACCATCGACACAAATATAAAAACCAGTACAAAAATACATAAACAAAACAAAAATGCTAGCACCAGAGTATTTTTTGAAATGTTTTTAAAATATTTTTTGTCATTTTTGTGTTGAAATTGATGTTTTGTCATTTCTACCTTAACCCTAACTCCCTAGGCCTTTTTGCTAGGATGTAGCCTCAATCCTGCAAAATCCTCCAATTGGCCTCATGGAAAAATAGCATATAGCCTTAATCCTGCAAATTCCTCCGTTATTTCTTGATTATGGTCCATGGAGGGGTGACCACTGCCTGAATCCTGCAAAATCCTCCGGCTATGACTGTCAATAGGTTGAGGCAGAGGCAGTGACATCTTGGAGCAGTGCGGAGGATTTCAAGTATAATCAAGGACTAAATTTATGCACGGCTGACCATAAAGAACACAGGTCTGGCCCAAGACCTTGACACAGTGCATACTCCGAAATCAGTAACGCACTTTTGCCATGTAACCTCAATCCTGCAAATTCCTCCAATTTGCAAAAAGGATTTTGGAGGATTCAGGGCGGTTAGGGTTAATCAATAAACATATTATTAATATTACATAGCCTACATTCATCATTTCATGTGGCTTTTGTGAATACTTGTTATTGATTTATAAAATGATTGACATGCACCCCACCTGTTTACATCCCCCCCCCCCCCCCCCCCGGGGAGGAGGGGGAGGAACTACACCATCATGACCATGTACACTGGCAATGACCGGTCACTGCAATTCTGTCTAGGAATGTTTGAATAAATAAAACTCACCCCCTGTAACAAGAAAATAAGAACCAAGGACGACAAAGTAGACAGTCATCGCTGATGGTGCGTGTAGCCATGTTGGCCACTTCAATTTCAGGTTTGGACACTCCAAAACTGCGAAGGGAATCGAGTATAACTGCTCCATCTTTTCTGAAGTTTCATGCAATTGCAAAGATCGTCCCAGGGTGTTGCAACCTTGTACCTTGATGCACGATCTCCGTCGCTAAGATCACACATGTAAGTTTTGTCAAATTGCACTCTCCTGGGGACGAGGTAATTGTATAGTGTTTTTACTAGACACGTTTCAAACTTATGCATTTATTTTTAATTCAGTTTTAACTCTGTTTACTTTCGAACTAAATAATTAATAATACAAAAAATAATTGATACAAAATCAACTTTTTTTAAAAAAAGCAGCATTTATTTATTAATATTTTTAAAGTTAATTTTTGAGGCTACATGTATTTGTAAAAAAATAATAATGTTTAAAGAACGACCCTTGACCCCTGAAGTAAATTTCAAGATGGCGACGCTCGTAGTTTTAACGGAGCGAATGTACGATGAAATCGATGGCGTTTTATTACGCGAGGACGTACCTGAAGAATTCCAAAATGAGCTGAGAGGATACGCAAAACTAAGGAATAAAGAAAACCCGGAAGAAACGCCAAGCATACCCTTTTCGACTATTCGAAAACTGCATAAATATTTGGAATCAGGTTAACGTTAGCTTTTTCATTGATTGTTTAAACTCTTGAGGGCGTCCTAACACAATGATGGTCGTCAAATTTTACTTAAAATTAAATGCTTTAAGGGTAGTTTTGGAAAGAATGTTGCAACCTGACGCCACTTTGTTCTTCGTTTATCATCTCAAATTCAATAAAGGCCCATCATTGCAAAAGTCAAATTTAGCCGGGAAAATATTGAAGCATTTAGGCCCCCTACTGAATTTTTTTTTTCAGACCACTCTATAGTATAACTGACTTGAGTCTTGAGGGTTTGTGCACAGGGTGTTATGCGCCTATCAATTGTCGCCTGTGCTGCATAATATTAGTAAGGTTCTTAAATAACAACAAATTGTCGGGTTTTATCTTTTTTTGTTTCTCAGACGGAAAGCCGGGGATGTACCTTCATCAGCTGATGGAAGGTAGTGAAGTATTTTTCCCACCACTTCCACAACCCAAAAGAGTGAGTTAGCAAAAACACTTCAATTGATTTCGAAAATTATTTACATTGTTCACTGATTCATTTTTCTTAACCCTATTTCTGTTAGATTCTTTCAATATCATGGGGATGATATGCAGCATTTTGCACATTAAAAGAGGTAGATCCTGGCAATGATTTTCACAATATACCTTTTGAAAAAATCCCCAATGAATGTTTCATTTGGTTCCTGCAAAACATGCAACACTAGAATATAGACTGGTAGTAAAACAACCAGTTCAACACCCCTATAGTACTGCGTCAAAACAAACATCCAGTACTCAGTCTCTATTATTATTCAAAACATTTCCATAGTCATGCCACCAAAACACTGAAGGGTCAATCTTCTCGAAGAGTTGGATGTGTGCCAGTCTAGTCTTAGGCTTCAAATTGAAATCACTTGGCTTCACTCTCAGGTGCAAAACATTGAAGAAAAGTCTCCTTTAAAAATTGAATTGGAACCTCATCAAATTGGCTGATGAAATACTGAGGACCATGTCTTTGCCTCTTGAAAATTTTGGAGAATTTTGTCGGCTTTAGAGTGAGTGAAGTTGGCCTGAATTTGTTTTACATGTTTTTCTGCACTCAAGGTCCCAATCTGGGGGTAATCCCATACAATAGCACTGCTCAGCTTTCCTCACCATCCAACAGTCAGGCTAAGGGGAGAGTGACAGTCAGTCGAATAGTCAGGCACGAAGAGGACTAGGCCAGCCCTCATTTGGATCAGCAAGCATTCATAATAATTAGTGTTAACCCTAACCCTGCCAGACGCAGCACAGTGAATCAGGTGGAAAAGTCTGGTGCACTTTGATGGAAAATGCTACCAACACCAGTGCATAAACCGGCCACTTCCGAGACACTGAGAGCTAGTCCCATGGAACAATGCCAGAGTTGTATCCTGCTGCAGTGGGTGACCACAGACTCTGAGGCAGTTTGGCCTCGAGACGTTTGACCTGATGGATCTTGCTACACTGGGCAGGCTTGTCACTTAGACAAGTGTTGCATGTTGCTGCGTTTGGCAGGGTTTCTAGCCAAAATACCCTGGAGGGTTAGGGTTAATTAAACTCTTTCCCTTTTTTTGGGCACACGACAGAATCCTGAGTTGGTAGCAAGATTGGAGCGGCTGAGGGCAGAACAGGCAAACAGGGAGTACCAACAGATGACCAAAAGTGTCAGTAATAATGTGAGTCAAAAGGTTTTTTGTCTTTTTTCCCCTCTAAAAAAAACCTAAACCTTACTTGGGTCTAGTAGACATACAGGGGTGTGAAATCTCAGCTTTAAAGCTGATTTCAGCTATTTTTGTTTTGGGTTTCAGCTTTTCAGCTTTTTCCCCTCACTTGCTGTGTACAAAAGTATAGGAGATTTTCAAAGTTCAGGGTTTTTTTTACACCTTTTTCAGCTGTTTTCAGCTATTTTTATCAGTGGTCACTCACACCCCTGACGTACTTCTATCTTGTACCATGAAATTGTGTTTAAATAGCCACTTAGCCTTGAGATTATTACTTTGTGTGAATGATGGCAATTTCCTTTCGTCCTTTTTGTCCTCTTTGTTATTCTTTTCACGCAGATCGCTGGCAACAGTCCAATAGGAAACGTAGGGCAAGAATGTAAGTGCTGAATGCTTAGAATTCCATTTTAACATAATGATGCACAGAGCTCGCAGTCTGTGCAAAAGATAAACATGACTGCGGGTGAATGGTGGCAACCATGGGCGTCGCCAGGATGGGGCATGGGGGGGGGGGGCACTTGCTCCTCCCTGGAAAAGCACCCCAAAAAAGGGAAGACAAAATAGAAAAGAAATTAAAGAAAAGAAAAAGAGGTTTGAAGTCATATTTGCTATTAATTTAAAATACACATTTAACAAAATGGGCGTCAGCAGGGGTGTCAATGGGGGTGGGGTGGGTAAATGTCCCCCACCCATCCTCAGAAAAATGATAAATTGAGAATATGCTAGAGTAAGAAGAAGGATGTTGGGAAGAAAAATGTGCTTTGCCCCCCCCCCCCCCCCCCCCCCCCCCCGAAAAAAATCCTGCTGACGCCCACGGTAGCAACCCTCGGTTATGTTAACCAGTCTGTAGATATGTTTTGCTTTTCTGCTTTTGAGGACATAGTTGTGCACATTCCAGGTTTTCCAGTTGTTGGAACTTGATTAACAACAATGACTATCAATTTGGAAAAGCACTTTTGATGAATTGACAATTATCATCATAAGCAAATGCAAAAATGTCAAATATCTGATGAATTTATCAACTTCCTATTCGTTTTTGCTTGCAGACCAACATGCCTTGAGATGTGACATGATATCTGTTTCCTTTTCCTCCCATTCCACCTTTCCCCCCCCCCCTTTTTCTACACTTAGTATTTTCATTTATTGCACTCTTTTTCTTGTGCTCCTCCTTACCAAACTGGACCTGCTGCCTGTATGTTAAGTGATTGTTTACTTCTGTCCTTCACAGTGAAGAGCGTTCAGGGGCAACTGATGAATGTCTTCAACGTCTTTCTGACCATCGTCGGGGCGTTTGTGTTTGGTTTTATGGCCATGTACTATGCCGGACAATCACTCACGGCGGTAAGCTTCAGTGGCCAGTGTCTTCTTAAGTTGAATGATTTGTGGGGGGTCAGTAAATTTGAATAGATACACATAAGCTTTTTCATTACAAGTCCGGTCACAAGTAAATAACGAGTACATTTAATAGTTCAGTCACAAGTAAAGGAGAGGAACAATAATAAAAGGGAGCCTTCAACAAAGCTAATGTGAGTAGCTAGTGAGTTGACTTCCGACTGGATGGGTTTGTGATGACTTGTGATGATTTATGATGACTTGTGATGACTTTCGATGATTTGCAATGACTTGTGATGACTTATGAGTTGTGATGACTTGTGATGATTTATGATGACTTGTGATGACTTGTGATGATTTATGATGACTTGTGTTTATTTATGATGACTTGTGTTGACTTGTGATGACTTGTGGTGATTTATGATGACTTGTGATGACTTATGATGACTTGTGATGACCTGTGATGATGTTTGATGACTTGTGATGACTTGTGATGATGTGTGATGATTTGTGATGACTTGTGATGACTTATGAGTTGTGATGACTTGTGATGATTTATGATGACTTGTGATGACTTGTGATGATTTATGATGACTTGTGATGACTTGTGAGTGGTGATGACTTGTGATGATTTATGTGGACTTGTGATGACTTGTGATGATTTGTGATGACTTGTGATGACATGTGATAACTTGTGATGCATCACAAGTACCTCAACTACAACACTGAGGGCTAGGTCTTTGTTAAGATGCAGACTTAATCACAAGAGAAAGTTTTCCATGTGACAATGCTTTACCTCATATCAAATTGAAGAAAAAACTAATCAATTCTAAAAATTTACAGGGGAAAAATCATTCATTTGTTTTACGTTTTCATCTTTTGATTTGTTTTTCCTCCTGCAGCGAGTGTTGTGTGGGCTTGCCGTTGCCCTGGTCGTCGCTACAGCTGACCTGTATTTTCTCATCAAGAATGACCTATGACACCAACCGTACACGGTGGCCTTACTGTCTCCCTCAGTCTCACAGTGTGCATTCTATAGGCTTTGTGAATGAAGAGGCCCTCAGCTGTGAACTTGAAAAATCTACTTAACTGACGCGTGGGGGGGGGGGTTTACATTTTCTCTATGCTATGTAAAATCAATGGTGACTGCTCTATGTTCCGACACCCCTATGTTCCGACAACCTAGATTGTGTTACTCCCGGTTAGGGTTAGGGTTAGGGTTAGGAATAGGAATATGTGCAGTCGGAACATAGGGGTGTCGGAACATAGAGGTGTAACCAAATCAATAGCTATGTAAAAATTCATAGGACTTAAAACGGTAGAGTAGATCATTTGAGCATTTATTAAATTTTAAGCAACAAATCTAAAGACAGGTGCTTATAAGCTCAGTGAATGCTGTATATTCTGAGAAAACAATATTCTAGGATCACTATTTCAATTCAAAAGTTGCTTATGTTTTGAATTGCGCCCGAAATCAGCATCTGGGACACGTTCTCATTCAGCCAATTGCAGCTACGTAAATCACGTAAAGAGCCGGCGAATATTAGCAACTGCACACGCATGTGCGCCGTGTCAAACCTACTAAACAGAAATTTCCAGAGATCCGTCACTTGACGCGTCTTTCAAAATTTGTTTTCTTTAAAATGACAGCATGCCAGAAAGAATAATTTCACAAGTTCATTGCCATTACTATCTTTAAAGCAAGTAACCTTTTCAACAATCATTCCTTCAGTTTCTTTTTGGATAGCTGCAAATGATCTACTCTACCTTTAAATTTCAAATCACTTGAAAAGTACTTGGAAGATAGTTTAGGGAGAAACCCTAAGGGTTCCTTTGTGGAGCATTGTTGAGTTGACCTTGACCCAAAGCTAGAGTACCACCAGTCTGACTAATGAGAGATCATGAAGGATAATCAATTATTGTAAATAAACAACAGAGCAAAGTTCTTGCCATTAATGTAATTTGTAATCAGTGTAATTATATCACTATAATGTAATTTGTTTTTGATACATCTACAATTCTCTAAGGGTAGGACATGAATTCAAATCATGGATATACATTTGAATGCAATGAAATGTATGTTTTCTATTGGTTATGCTGTAGACTGCAAATCTGATGTCTGAGGCGTTCTGGCAAAATAAGACAGAACTGGGCACAGGCAGTAGTGGAGAAAAATACAAAATCTGAATGGGGATGATTTTTTTTCTTCATTTTTGAAACTTCCGAGTAGAAATGAAAGCAATGAAATAAGGGAATAAATGTGTGCTCCGGAGTTTTTTATCACTCTGTTTAAGACCACTTATAGTCTGGGTGCTGATAATTACCCGAGCCGGAGGCGAGGGTAATTATCAGCAATTATCGGTAAAAAAAAAATCATATAATTCGTTCAAAACATTCCAATTTTGTTCAACAAATTCACTTTATGCTTTTTCAAACATCCCTCTTGCAAAATAATGGAGTGTTCAGCTGGCGAGTAAGATGTAAACAACCCTTTTATGGAGATTGATGCGCGCGTATCATGTTCTGCGCGATGTCGCGCAGAACGCACCTGGCGCGTTGCGTTTTGAAGTTAGAACTATACAATTCTGACTCTCTGGTAGTGTTGCGCATGCCTACGTGAGGATTGTGAACGTTCAACCAATGAAACGATAAGAGGCACTGGATTTTTAGGAGTCCACATTTTATTGTGACACTGGAAAAGTGTTTAAGACCAGCTAGCCATGTCTTTATCATCCGTTTAAGACCAGCCACGTGACGGGCTCTCGACCAATAGGAATGCATAAACTGTCTTAGGTATTTATGAATAAAAGTTCATTGCACACTAGTACCAGTCTGCTCTGATGAATAGTTGAAAATTTTGTGATTAAACATACCCTAATGTTTTAAGCCACATTTCGAAAACGAGGCTCGGCACGCTCTCAAATCATAAAATAGTCTGGCACCGTCCCATTCAGCAGTTTACAATTTATAAAATAGATTCAGGGAACATGATCGAAAATGGCTTCCTCTTAAATAAGGTCTATTGACATGGAAGGCAGACTTTGATTACTGATGAACTTGCAATAAGTAAGTGAAGTTAGTTGATGTTCTGATTGTAAACATTTAACAGCGGATACTCCGGACACATTGTCAATGAAATTGTTAACATTCCTCGTAATATGCATGTACAAGTAAATAGGTACCGCATAAACTATTATAAGATGGAATTTTGCGTCGGGGTGATATAAGTCAAATCAGGTTTTTGCCCTTCACCGACGTTTTTTAAACACTGTATACTCAGTGTGTAACCTCCCGAGTGAAAGTTGGAAAAAATCACTCGGGTGGGACTCAAACCCATGACCTCCTGCTTTCTAGTGCAGATGTCTTACCACTCGACCACCGAACTAACGGGATCAGTTGGCCGGTTCGAATCTGATGTACATAGCAGCGGGTACCGCATAAACTATTATAAGATGGAATTTTGCGCATGTATAAATTGTATAAATTGGCCATTGTACTTGTAATTTAACTCCAGTGGTAGACCATGTTTTATAATCTTTTTGTATTGTTGGGAGAAATTATGCAGTTCCATGTCGGGATCTTTTTGAGAATGAATCCTACGACTGGCACAAACAAGAAATCTACTTTTTTTGTACTGCCCAATACTAGAAGAGAACTAATAATAGACAAAAGAACGTAAAAAGAAATGGTACAATAAAGATGAAATATTTTTGTAATATACATGTATTTGCATCTGTTTTATTGGTTTGAAGTTGCACGTCATTCATGTTATCACAAATCAGGCATGTATTAGAAAATAAGTAAGATTTTCTGAGTTTTACTTTACAATCGATTTTTTATCCACACATACATTCCCTTCATTTAAATCCCTTCGTCAGCAGAAGATTAAATATACACGGTTTTAATGTACAATAATCAGAAGTTGAGAGAAAGAATATAAATCGAGCTGCAATAATGCTCAGGTTTTTTTCCCGCACTTCTTTTAAAAAAATGTAGGGAAAACGCCAAAATTTCTTTGGTGCATAACATTCCTTGCATGGTGCGCTGAGCTAACTTGGCGGTTCGCATTGAAAATTAATTTCGTGCACTATACAGGGCGAGTCAAAAAAAAGGTAACCCAAATGTCGGGACTATTGTTGTATTGAAGTTCTGCATGTAGCACTTTAAAAATTTATGATATGAAAGCCCAATTCATAAGCTTTCTTTAAGTACAAGAATCATTCAAATCCCTCATGTACTTTTCAAGTTACAGAATTTTAAACACAACCACTGTTTTAAGGTTCTGTCCACGGATCACAAAAAAGGCGTGCGTTCTTTCAGCAAAACAAAAACAATTCACACATCCGTATGTGATTTCTATTCGTTTTGCTGAAAGAACACCTCAATTTTTTGTGATCCATGGACAGAACCTTAAAACGGTGGTTGTGTTTAAAATTCTGTAACTTGAAAAGTACATGAGGGATTTGAATGATTCTTGTACTAAAAGAAAGCTTATGAATGGGGCTTTCATATCCTAGATTTTGAAAGTGCTATATGAAGAACTTCCCTGAAACACACATCCCAACATTTGGGTTTCGTTTTTTTTTTACTCACCCTGTATTTTATAAGGGGAAGTGTGGCCTAGCACTCGTGACTCATGATCAGAGGGTCAAGGGTTCGAATCCAACTTCTGATCATACGTTGTGTCCTCAGGCAAGGCACTTCACCCCCACCTGCCTCTCTCCACACACAAGTATAAATGGATACCGGCATTAGCTGGGGAGTAACCTGTGATGGACTAGCATCCCATCCAGGGGGAGTAGAAATATTCTCAGTCGTGTCATGCCACTGAAACCGAAGATAAACGTCGGCCTGAAGGGTCATATTGGCTCGAGATAGACTTTACTTTTATATGATTTATACATAAAGAAAGCGTCCTGCACATTCTCTTTGTGCGCCTGCGATGGACCACTGACAAGTTCTTGCGATCAGCAACTCAATTTAACATTATAAGCCGCATTTTTTTAAAGCTCAAACTATATTGGGAAAAAATAAAAACAATGTTGAGGTTTGAAAAAAAGAAATTTACACTTGTAAACCTACAAGCAGACCTTATGCAATATTTTGGGGTTTTATTTTGATCATGCATTTGGCATTCCACACTTAAAATCCACTTCCATTGGATAAAGTATATTTTATGGGCATTAAATTCAATAAAAAAGTATTCAATTACACATTTTCAATCCCATATCTCTTCAGAAAGAAGGTCCTGGGAGACTTTTTAAAAGGTCCATGCAATGAATTTTCTTCGGAACATATTCTGTGCAACTTTCTCCTCTTAAACGAATGAAAACTATTTGACATCCCTTTTTGGTTAACTTTAGTGAGAAGTACACTTCTTTAAACTTAAAAAAAAAATCTCCATGCTCTTCTGGTTAACTGAGGCACTGTTGCTGTGATGTCATTTCAGGAAGACGCTGTTCAATTTAGGGGTTCTCTGTTCAAATTGTAAACTCAAAAACTTGCTCATTGAAAAACATTTGTTTAAAAAGTTTACTGATTGGCTTACTGCCATGTACAGACAAAGAATCGCCAAAGAAAAGGAAATTTCCGAACAATTGAGTGTAAGATGATTCGAAACTTCACCTGACCGAATATCAGGCATGCAACTGGGAATTTTGAAGAAGAAAAAAACAGGAAACTCCGAACCACACAAGACTTTGTACAGTGTTTTTCAGTTTGCAATGGCATTCATGAGAAGTACAAAACGAGGAAGTCAGCGGATCCGAGAAAAGTTGCATGCCTGGAATATTGGCCGATCAAGTTATACACACGCCAGCTGCAGCTGCAAAGGTTGCATACAAAGTGTGTTGGTTCAAATTTGCATTCGGCAATGGCTATTATGGGCCACTGGAGTGTATAACTGTCAAAGGACTTTACCCACCTAAAAGATTGGGACCAACAAATAGGCATCGACAAAACATAACCGTTTTCAAAAGAGGGCATCTGACAATGAAAAACGCAACTTTATGATAAAACTGACACCACAGTCATGTGTGCACGAGCCATAGAGCTATATTAAATTACTAGAGCGCTAACTCATGTACAAAGTAATGCCCGATGGGCGCATCCATGTTTGTGCACAAACCTATGGAAAACTCAAAAGTTTGTACGGCTTTTGTACGGCTATTTGCATATCTGCGTTTGTATTCCATACCGGTGCATCATCGAAGCCGACACGCCCAAAACCACAATGCACGATCAGCAAATGAGCGTGTCATTTTGCTCTACGCAAACAGCGCAACGTGTGGGCGTCCCTCCGCTGCAGATGCTTTTCGCCGTGACGTTTTTTAAGCATCATGACGCGCTTAATTTGTTTGCGTATCTTCTACTTGCGCGTTGCATTTAGAGTACACTTTCAAAATTCAATCCATCTAAATTCATTATGTTCTACAAACACGCACATCAATTCCAAATGTCTGTGCCCAGAGCGGCTTCAAAGCGTCTCCACGCGCAAGAATGAAGAGTTATCGCTCTAGTAATTTAAAATAGCTCTGTGGCACGAGCACATTTTTTCCCCTTTTTTTGAATATTCAAATCAGCTAAAAGCTATTTGAGTATTTGGTTGATGATCAAATATTTGGTATATTCGGGACAGCCCCAAGCTTAACTTCAATATGAGGGCATCAATTTCAGATTGAACCTCCAAACTGTGGTTTCAAAGAGCCCTGGGTCTATTCAATGTAATTATGTCTGCCTGTCAGCACCGAATGGAATAGAATAGAAGCTGCTGACGCAAACCAAGACTCTCGCATCATTACTATGTTAAAGGTTGCTGAGCTTTTACCTCCCAATCCATTCTATAACAGACGTAGTAGCATGCCAAAACCAATCGTGCTAAGCATCTGCAGATTTTCAAAGAGGTCATTAAAACGGAGATATTTTGTTGGAAGTTTTATCCAAAGAATCCGTGGGGGCTGGTGTGGTCCTCCTGTTTGCTCTCCAGGGTAAACGGAGGAATCCGACAGTCAAACGTCTGGCCGTTGGTCTTCTCTATTCTGAATGTACCCCTGCAGACACCAACAATTTTGTTTAGATTTAGTTTTACATAAACCAAAAGTATGGCCAATTCTATTAGCATTTTAGTGAAAAATATTGCTGAGAAAAATTTACACACCACGCAAAAATCTGCTAAGAATCAGTTGCATGCAATAAGAGTTCAATATCTTTGTTAGAGTGTAATCTTTCTCTTACATTTAAAATCTCTCAATGCCCTGCAAATTTGGATGCTTTGAAACCCCCTGAATGGCATTTCTGGTGGTAACCAGAGTCTAAAGCCACCCTCAGGTCAACAATGCGACATCACAGAACAGTCGGCAAGTGACTTTTCAGTATCAAGCTGCGCCTGAGTTACGACTGTAGGGAACAAATTAGTCACCGATTTTGGACAACTTTTAAAAAAACGTATTTGGCTTGGATTCTTGTATCTGCACAGAAATTCAAGACACAATAATTCCTTTGGTTCTGAGGTAATATTTTGGTCGGTACATACCACATGTGTCCGCTCGGTGCCTGGAGAGATACATGGCTGCTGTATTGGAAGGCTGGTTGCTCCTTGGACAAAATAGGCTCCTGGCAAATACCAAAATTAAACCAAATATAAAGTTTTAATAAAAATGTAACTGAAACACCAGACAAATGGACTGAAAGACATCCACTAAAGAAACCTGGATTAGAATCAATGTCAAAAGTTATGTTAACCCTAACTCCCTAGGCCCTCTTCGCTAGGAACTATCCTCAATCCTCCAAAATCCTCCAAAATTTGCACTTATGCTCATATGAAGGATACCCAGTGCTTGATGGATACCCATCAAAATTGTCAGTCATGCCTCAAAAAATGCATACATCCTCAATCCTCCAAAATCCTCTTCCTTTTCAAACACCATTCATCCTCAATCCTCCAAAATCCTCTTCCTTTTCAAACACCATTCATCCTCAATCCTCCAAAATCCTCTTCCCTTTCAAACACCATTCATCCTCAATCCTCCAAAATCCTCTCCCTTTTCAAGCACCATTCATCCTCAATCCTCCAAAATACTCTTCGTTTTCAAACACCATTCATCCTCAATCCTCCAAAATCCTCTTCCTTTTCAAACACCATTCATCCTCAATCCTCCAAAATACTCTTCCTTTTCAAACACCATTCTCAATCCTCCAAAATCCTCTTCCTTTTCAAACACCATTCATCCTCAATCCTCCAAAATCCTCTTCCTTTTCTAACACCATTCATCCTCAATCCTCAAATCCTCATGTGCTTCAATACCATTCATCCTCAATCCTCCAAAATCCTCCAAAACTACCATGAGGCTTTTGGAGGACTGAGGTAGGTTAGGGTTAATGCCCACTGACCTGTCCCACGACTCCTCTGCCCCGGACCGTCTCCAGCGTTCCCGACAGGCTGAATATTCTCCAGTGCCGCTCCCTCAACTGGACGGTCTCCTCTCCCAGATTCTCCAGCCGTATGCAGTACCTCCACTGAAACAGAACCAGGCAAAGGGCCAAAACTACATTGATTTGGCAATAGGTTGTTGCCTAGTCCATCACAAGTCAGTAACAATTCAAATCAAAAGTATGACCACAAGTTATAGAGGACGAAATTTTAGAAATGCGTTTGTTACAGCTAATTAACTAGTTTTTCACTTTGAGAATTGGTGACTTGTGATTGATTTGTGAGGACTCCGCTAAGGCCAAGTAAAAAAAAAAAAACAGTTGATCGTCCAGGTTTTTTTCAAAAAGAGGAGGATGAGGGCCTTTTCGTTTTTTATTTTCTATTTTTTTTTCCAAGATGGCTGCCAACTATTTAAATTCAAAATGGCCGCCAAGTTCGGTTCAAAATGACTGCCAGCTTTTGATTAGCTATCCTAATAGTGACTAGAGTCAAAATATTCCTGTTAAACATGTTGTATGTATTTTAATAAAGCGAAATACAAGAAAAAAGTTAGCTTTTGAGGTGAGGGAAAAACAAATTTGTGAAAGGATGCAGCTTCGAGAAAGGATGCGAGTGGGGACGATCAACTTTTTTTTTTTTTTACTTGGCCAAACACTCTGCTTGAGAATTTTCAATTACATTAAACTCTGGTTTATTCAAATCTAAAGGGAATGGACAAAACATTTGAGGTATCTGGAGTTCGAGTAAAGCAAGGTTCCTGATTTTTCTACAGTCACTTCATCTACATGTACACGTATGTACATGAATGGCTTCTATTATTACTCGCTATGCAATGGATATGTTATTTGGCACACTTTTCTCTTTTTCTCCATTCTAATGGTGTAATTGTTTTAGCTACAAGGCATCATTTACTCAGATTCCATATTGTTCTTACCTAAAACATGACAATAAACCACTCAAATTGCGTAACTGTGTGTAGCAAATCTTTGTTCTGTGTCGTTTGTTTATCGATTTCAATGCACCACGCTCGGGGTTTTAGGATGTGCCAGTCCTATTTAATCAATGGAGGGCACACCGGGCCAGCGGCTATGGTTGCCAAACAAAAGTTCAAGTGAAACAGAGGTTCTGATGTGGGCATTTCGAGTTACAGGGGTATTAATGTACGTAAAATCCTATTTTCTTGACAGGAATGGAGTATTACTTTGAGATAAACAGCGTTTCGAGTTATCCAAGTTTGAGTTAACGAGAGCTTACTGTAGCAGCTTATTTCTGCAGTTAAGTTCTGTGCATACATCTATCCCTTAACTAGGTTTCCAATTTTCCTGGATGGCACTGTCCAGTTCAGAGTAATGATCGTACGGCAGAGACGTAAAATTGGGTCCAGAGGTAAAACCCAGTATTTTTTTTATGAGGATTAAATTGCGAAAATACGAGTCTTACCACTGGCCGGAATAAGGCATGCTATCTTTTTATTTTCAGAATCCCATTAAAGTTGATTTAAATTGTTGAATACTGGAAAACCTGATAAACCTAACCAAAGTTAAAACTAAATAGTTGAAGGAACTTACCCAGTATACACTAGAATCTTGTGAAACCTGCAAAAGGACAAACGACAGGTGTCATATGAAGCAGCAAGTGATTTAATCTTCTAATCCTATTTATTTTTAAGAAAAACAAAAATGCATAAAAAGGGCAACCAAAGAAACTTTGGAAGTTTGAACCAAAAGAAAGTGGATTTGATTTGACTTACCCTTGCCCCCATGTAGAACGGAATGACGGTGACTCGAACATTCTCCGTTGTCTCTCTGTGTACGTCTGACAGCTCCAGCCATGGGTGGTTCTTCTCCTGCCAGGCTTTCAACGTGTCCTTGGGCACAAAGGGCGTGTCTGCAGGAGGAGGGAGAAGGGTGAAAGTCAGTCAAGTTCAACGCAAGTCACCCACAAGTACTTCAGTCTCAAGTCAAGACACAAGATATTAGATTTTTGCAATAGCCTACTTGTAGGTCTACCACAACATACGATAAAACGTCTCCAACTTGTCCAGAACTCTGCCGCTCGCACACTCACAAGAACGAAATCATCTTCCCACATAACACCCATCTTGCGCAAACTTCATTGGCTACCAATCCAGTACCGCATACATTACAAAGTTCTCCTTCTTACTTTCAAAGCTCTTCATGGTTTAGCCCCACTGTATCTGAAGGAAATTGTTCAACATCGTCAACTGAGACCAGGTCTGAGGTCGTCGTCATCCAATATACTGTTTGTACCGAAGACTCGTTTGGCGACCTACGGAGATCGAGCAATTTTCCAGCTCTGCACCACGTCTCTGGAACGCGTTACCAGACGAGTTGAGGGCAATACAGGAATTATCTCTCTTCACACGCCAACTAAAGACCCACCTCTTCAATCAGTTTCTCTCTCACACATAATGACCTCTACCTTCACACACACTGACTTTTCACTGACCGGCGCCTTTGAATGACTATTATTGTCAGATACTGTGCTCCTTACAAATGCTTTGTTATTATTATTATTATTATTATTATATTCAAATGAACTGTGACAAATTAAAGGCCATTCTTAACTCTACTGTGCATCCCGATTCTAGTGACCAGACATGGGAAGTGACTTGTAATTTGACTGGTGATGGACCAAACTTCAACACTGGTGCAAGTTGACCAAAAAAATAAATAAATTGAAAAGTTGAACAAAGAAATTGACTGGAGCAGGGGTTGAACCTGCGACCTCCGGATAACGTTCCGGTGCTCCAGCTCAGTTGGTAGAGCACCGGAATTGTGATCCGGAGGTCGCAGGTTCAAGCCCCGCTCCAGTCAATTGCCTTGTTCAACTTTTCAATTGTTATAATTCACCTAGTCAGTTTCCCTGTGTGGTTCATTTGAAGAAAAAAAACCCAGTATTGTATGTCTACCATCTTTCATTTACATAAACTAAAACCCCTTGGCTCTTTTTGCTAGGAACCATCCTCAATCCTGCAGCATCTTCCAATTGCCACCATGTACAAATTGGAAGTCATCCTCAATCCTCCAAAATCATCCGTTATTTCTTGAATTTGTTCAGTGGAGGGTGACCATTGCCTCAATCCTTCAAAATCCTCCAACAGTCACTGTTATAGGTTGAGGCAGTGTCGATGACATTCAGAAGCATAGTGCGGATGATATCAAGCATAATGCAGGGCTCAATTATGCATGACTGAAACAATGCTGGTAACAGGCTACGGTTGCATGTGTATAGAGAGTTCTATCGTTACGCCACTGATTTAAGCAACTTTTTTCCTCTGAGGTAAGCACGGCTTTTGGTGTGCTGGCCCTTTACGGTCGCCGTGAAATAGATGGAGGCTCTGTTAGCAGAAAATTGTGTGCTTAGCAGCGCCATGGCATTGGGCCCTCGAAGCTTCCTGGCGAAAAAAAAACATGACTTACCTTGCCCCGGGTTGCGTTCCAGGAATTTATCAAATAGCTCGTGCTGAATGGGGTTTTTCTCTGTTGTGGAGTATGGCAGTATGTCCTCATGGGCGACATAGTCAAGACCTAAGAAGATGCGTCAAATGTTACAACTGGTGCACAAATATTTCAATCTGCGTCTCAATTTTAAAAATGTAAATTGTATCTTAAACACATTTGATTACATTTACCACTAAGTTAGTAACTAGAAGTGAAACTGCCACAGAGCCAAAAAAAACCCCAAAAACTATAAAACAAAAACCTAAAAACCCAATACATATTGAGCTGTTTCTATAACCATTCAGGGTGTTATGTGACAAAATATAATTAATGGCAAAAGATTCACTGTCTTGCTTATACTTGCAAAAGTTAAAGATAAGAGTATATCATTTGTCAGTTTTGCATTTTTCTTGTTCGCAGCGACAAAATTGCTCAAAATCTAAAGAAGGGTGCTTAACAACTAACCAGATGAAATTTTATATCAGTGAATGTTGTTTATTCCGAGAAAACAATACTCTGATATCTAGCTTTCAATTCAAAAGTTACTGAGTCATGTTTTGAATTGCGCCCGAAATCAGCGTCTGGTACACATTCCCATTCAGCTGATTGCAGCTACACGATATCACGCACTGAACCGACGAATTATAGCAACCGCATGTGCGCCATGTCAATGCTTGCACGCACCCATTCACGGTATCGCCGAATTAAAAATGAACTACTAACGGACATTTCCAAATATGCGTCTTTAGACACATCTTTGGAAATGGCCTTCTTTCATTGTTTTCTTCAATGAGAGCATGCCAGAAAGAATAATTTCACATGGAGTTTAGTGTCATTACTTTCTTTAAACCAAGTAAACTTTTCAACAATAATTTTGTCAGTTACTTTTTGGATAGCTGCAAATTATAAACTCTACCTTTAACAAAAGTGAGGATGCTACAAGTACATAATAACCAGCCTTTTTCCCTGTAAACCCACTCCTGTCAAACCAGAAAGGTTACATAGCCTTTCCCATAAACAATTGGTCAACGTCACTCAAATGAAGATTGAATACGATGAGGTTACCTGGGATGGCATAGAGAGACCTATTGTTGTCTTGGTTGCCTAGAAACGTGACGGCTTCCGTCTGTGCCCGCTTAATGGCAAGGAGAAAAGGAGGCAAAACAAGGGAATAAACAAACAAACAAACAACTTCAATCTCTGAAGAACAAGCAGACAATCTGTTCATATTTGGGAATGTGTCCAAGAGAGGGTCTTTTAGAGAGTGGATTTTCACCTGGCCCAGGAATCTTTATGCTTCTTGTGTCCCTGGGCATGATATACTGCATTAATTCGGGCGATTCACAATGCAGTGCGCCACCAAGAGTTTGCCACAGAGAGTTCATTTTTCCCAGTGCATTGTGGGAGATGGTCGACAAATTCGCAGCACGGGACATTTGAAATTGTTGGTTTTTCCAGGCAGTGGTTTCGTCAAGCGTATGATTCGAGGATCTGTTTGCCCATTTCTTTTCTTGTTATCAATATGGTGTTTTTGGTAAGGCGGCAGAACGCTATGCCCCAATCTATGACATATTAGCTCAAGTTGTCTACCGACACTCATTCAAATGGGCCATGTTTTGTCCACCGTAAACTTAAAAAATGGACTCTCCGTTGCAAACTCTTGGTGGCTCACTGCATTGTGAATCGCCCGAATTGATACTGTCCACCTTTCCATGCAAGAATTGAAAATGGCATGGTGTGGCTAACTGACGAATTCAAGTGACAGATATACGCTGTAAACATACTGGTTTAGAAGCAAATAAAATGGGTGCAAATTGTTTTTTTAAATGAGTGTGCGTAGCCAATAGCATAATGCTTCACTTTTTTACCACTACAGACACAGTTACGCCAAATCGATGAATGTAGCCAATATATTGGTCGACAACGAAGTTTAATACCGAGACGGAATAAGGGTTAATTTTTGGAAACTCACAATGAACGGGCAGTCCCTGCTGTCAATCAGGACTTGGTAGTACACATGCGTCTTGCCTTTGACTTCTTTGTTGTCTGTGTGTATGTGTTCCCCACTCTCGGCTGTGGTGGCTGGGCTGTACGAAAAACAATCACATGCAAATTTGTTAACAGACTTTGACTTTTGATGGCATTTATTACATCCAGATGTAATTGTTTACAAATGTAATACACTCAACCAAAAAAGAAAGGTCCCCCCTTCCAATACTTTTTTGTCTAACTCAAAACTACTGAGCACTTCTCCCTCAAATAACGACTAATCAGTACAGAAATTCCGTAGCAATCCAGCCATACTCTTTATTTGGCCCAAAACATTGATAATGTGTACATATATATGCAATTTATGACAAATGATACCGAAAAGCATTGCACTTTTGTATACGTACAAGTTGTGGTTCAAAATCACCTTGCACGTATACAAAAACTTGTGCAACTTTTTGGGGGGTACCATTTGTCATAAATTGCATAATTGTGTACACATTATCACTGTTTTGGGCCAAACAAAGAGTATGGCTGGATTGCTAAGGAATTCTGTACTGATCAGTTGTAATGTGAGCATGACGTGCCCAGCAGTTTTTGAGTTAGACAAAAAAGTATTAGGTGGGGACTTTCTTTTTTAGTTGAGTGTATTTGATTTGGCCTTCACCAACCAAATTTGTTTAAAAACTGTACACTCATTGTTGTTTGAGATTTTAAGAAAAAAACATAAAATGTCTGCTCAGGTTGGACTCAAAATCATGATTCTGGACTAAGCTGTTGAGTGGTCAATTTGGCTGCCATGTTTTTGTAATACGACGGGTTACGGAAGACCTGATAGAAGGCGCCCGCTGAATGGTCAGAATCTCGAGGTCAAGACACAGTCTTGCATAATTAATTGCCGAATCTGCTCGCATATCATAGACCCTTGCTGTGCAGAGAGGAAATTCCATAGACTGGTAATATCCTTCCATAAAAAAAAACGAGACAGCATCTAATAGATGATAATTTAACCCTAATTCCCCAGGCATTTTTGCTAGGATTATCCTCAATCCTGCAAAATCCTCCAACTGCCTCCATGTAAAAAAAGCATATAGCCTCAATCCTGCAAAAAAATCTGTTATTTCTTGAATGTGGTCCTTGGAGGGATGACCACTGCCTCAATCCTGCAAAATCCTCCGGCAATCACTGTCAATATGTTGAGGCAGAGGCAGTGACATCCTGGAGCAGTGCGGAGGATTTCAAGTATAATCAAGGACAAAATTTATGCCACGCTGAGCATAACAACACAAGGTCCAGCCCAAGACCTTGACACAGTGCATCCTCCCATATCAGCGACGCACATTTGCCATGTAACCTGAATCCTGCAAATTCCTCCACTTTGCAAAAAGGATTTTAGAGGATTTGGGATGGTTAGGGTTAAAGTTACTCTAATTTCTGTACCTTCCCTGTTTGTTGCTTGCTACATCTCGGTCATACAACCTTGCCAGCCAGGGGAATAAGAGGATACCTCGGTAGCCGAATATCCTGTGTAGAAACAGCTGCAATGAAAAGATTGGAGAAAAAAAATTAAGATTTTAGGTTCAAAAATTGGCCGTTCTTAATCAGGGGTGTGAGTGACCACTGATAAAAATACCTGAAAACAGCTGAAAAAGGTGTAAAAATGCTGAACTTTGGAAATCTCCTATACTTTTGTACACAGCAAGTGAGGGGAAAAAAGCTGAAATCCGAAACAAAAAAAGCTGAAATCAGCTTTAAACCTGAGATTTCACGACCCTGTTAATACTGCATATGGGAGTCCCTAAACTTTACATTGACAACATGCAACACTAAAAAATAGACTGGCACATGAAACAATCAGTCCAACAACCCTTTTAGTACTGCATCAATCAACTGTGTCAAAAGAAACATCTGGTACCTAGCCTTTATTTCTACACATTCTCTCCATAGTCTGCCACCAGACTACTGAAAAGGTCGGTCTTTTCAAACAGTTGGACATGTACCAGTCTAGTTTTCAAATCGAAATCACTTGGCTTCAGTCCCATCAGGTGCAAAATACTGAAGAGACGTCTCTTTTAAAACTTGAATTGAGACCTTAAACTTAGCTGATGAAATAATGAGGACCTAGTCCGAAAATTTGGGACTCTCAATACTGTGTATGAGAGTCCCAAAACTTAAGGTATTGAAAACATGCAAAACAAGAAAATAGACTGACACCTAAAACAACCAGTCCAACACAGCTTCAGTACTGCATCAATCAACCATGCCAAAAGAATTTTAAGAAACATGTGGCATGAAGCGGGAACTAGTCTCAATTTACTACACATTTCTCCATAGTCAGCCACCAGACTATTGACACTGAATGAAGATGTCAGTCTTTCCAAATAGGTGGACCATGGTTGGACATGTACCAGTCTAGTCTTTAGCCCCATTTTGAAATCACTTGACTTCCCTCTCATGTGAAAAATATTGAAGAAAAGTCTCCTTTAAAAATTGAATTGAGTCTGCAAACTTGGTTGGTGAAATACTGAGGACATTTTCTTTGCCCCAGTGGAATTTGTGGAGAAATTTGCTGGCTAAACTGTGAGTAAAGTGGGCCTGATTTAGTTTTGCACGTTTCAGAGCACTCCAGAGCCCCGTCTAATGAGGACCTTGTCTTTGGCTCATGACAATTGGAGTGAGTACAGTTGGCCTCAATTTGGTTTGCACGATTTTCTGCACACAAGGTCCCAGTCTGGAGTCGAGTCTATTGGATGGTATTGTGTGAATACATGACAGCCATCGAAAGACACACTCAAGAGTACTTCAATATTTGTGTTCTTTTTCACTGTTAGTATTGAGGGGCTGTTCATGAATGATGTCCACAGGCAATCTATGACTGGGCTAGTCAAATTGCTGACATATCTGGAATAGTAATTTTGCTTTTTAATATAACACGGTGTCTAGGGTGCATTGTAAATTGTAATCTTTACCTGTCCTGTGACATATTTGCCTTGTTGCTTTGGTGATTCAAGCTTGCCCACTGTCAGTAATTTCCTAAAGAAAAAAAAACTATGGAATTATTTATTTTATTTACAAAAACATGTTTAACTAGGCCCTAGGCCGATGTATTACCAAATGTTTATAACTTTTTAATGCAAAATGTAGAATCAATTTTCTTTACTAACCTCATTCCCATTATTACTAATAATCAGGAATGCAACTGGGAAATCACAAAAAAGAGGAAATTCAAATTTTTCCCAGACTTTGTACAGTGTTTTTCTATTTTCAATGGCACACATTGGGAGTAAAAAAAAGATGAAATCAGCTGATCCGAGGAAAAGTTGCATGCCTGAATAATATTATTTTTTCTTCTTCCCTTTTTTATGGTTACTTTTTATCTCCTTGCTTTGCCACTGCTTGTTGGTATATTTTTTTGCAAAACAAGAAAATGTTTATTTTCACTCAAAAGCAGTAGGCCTAGGTTTACTTCTTGTGTAGCACCACTGGATTTGGCAGGCATACTTGCTTTAAATACCACGCCATGTCTTCGATACAGTTGTGAATGTTCAGGCATTTCTACTTTGGCAAATTTAAACAACCGGCAGTGACTGACAACTCGAAACTGTGTCAGCCGCATAAATATGGCTCAAATACTGGACTTGCTTTGTCTTGTGAACCACACAGCAGTGATAGCAACATGTGAGGAAAGTGACAGCACTTTTTTCAAGGTCAGTCATTGCAAAAATGTTGAAAAGACATGAATATGGGACTGAGAAACATTGTTGTGTTAGAAAATACTTTGAAAATACACTCAACAAGTCTCAATAGACTTTGTACACAACCTAAGAAGTGGCGTCTGGATTACCATGATTACTTTATTTCCAAAGACAAGTCTCCTTTATTTAACATTTTAATTGAGACCGCAAACTTGGCTGGTGAAATACCGAGGACCTTGTCTTTGCCTCACGAAAATTTTGCAAAATTTTGTTGGCTTGAGACTCAAGAGTGAGTACAGTTGGCCTGACGATGACTAGAGCAGGCTAGTCGAAACGTTGAGACCAAAGACAAGTTCGTTTAGAACTTACAGCAGGACTGTTCTTATCAGAACAAAAAACTACTTAGCAAAGTTGATAATAAGCAGGACAAGTTCTTTTCAGAACTAATATCTTCTAAGCAGTAGTTATTACCACATGGTGTTACCGCAAACCGAAACGATATGGCCTGATTTTGTTTTGCATGTTTTTCTGCACTGAAGTCGAGGTCTCAGTCTGCAGGGGGGGGGGGGTAACACACTGTGTACGCGGTCCTACTAAACCGCGTCGACAAGCGTCAATGGTCGTCAACAAGCATCAACAAATTTTGTATATGCTTGTGAACATTAAAAGTAGCTTTATATGGTAGAAAAAGCAATAAAGAACATCTTTTGCATTTCAATTAAAGTTAAAATTATTTTAAAACTTGTTTTTAAATGTACAACGAATTTGTCGATTAGTGTTGGGTTGGCCTCCATCTTGTTTGGATGGCGCTGTACACTTCGCGCATGCGTAGTAACTAGTATGGATCTGTACACTTCACGCATGCGTAGTACGGCTAGCTTAGCGTAAACAAAATGGCGGCCAACACTAGTCGACAAATTCGTTGAACATTTCGCATTAAAAAAAAAAAGTTTAAAATAATTTTAACTTTAATTGATAGGCCTACTGTAGCTGGAGTTACCCAGCCCTAAATTTTATCATTGGGTTGTCATCTAGGGCTGGAGCTAATTTTTCACGTAACCCAGCAGCGTAGGCAGGTCCCCCCAAAAATATGAGGTTTACCACTCGCATCACAGCTGCGGTACTGGAACCGCAACCGATAGTGCATGAAACAGTCATCGGGTGTTACGCTTCTGCGTGACGTCATGCGCCAACAGCCAGCGCAGCCGGCAAAAACGACTAGTTGACAGCGCGCTGTGCCTGGTAATCGACCGCCATTCATTGTACACAATTTTTTTTGTGCACAAACCAATTGCGGTCCTGGCCATGCCTGCAAGGTTGTCAGGTTAGCGGTTATTCCTCCTTTTTTCACTGCAATTGTAGGCTGAATCTTCATCGTGGATCGTTTTTTTACTTCAAGGACCTGTGTAATGGTTATTCCAGGCAAGTTTGGGGTGAGTTGCAGTTGCAATTAGTGTGTAACGGGGACAAAATTGAACAATTTTCGCAATTTTTGGTACAACTATAGAATGCAGGGCCACTTTACTCTACATCCGCGCCTCCGTACGGCTGCGTGGAGGCGTGGAGCCACAGTCGACCTAACTCCGAAAATCGACCGTGGAATCGTGGCCGTGGAGCCGCAGTCGATATCTCCGAGAATTGCGCCCTCTATCGGTGCGCGTCTCTGCGACTCCCCGCCTCCGCGCCTCCGCCACTCCAGACAGTGCCCCGTCGCCCTCCTCCCTTCCTAATTTGCGACCTCATTTAAAATGGACTCCGCGCCTCCGCCACTCCAGACAGTGCCCCGTCGCCCTCCGCCCTTCCTAATTTGCGACCTCATTTAAAATGGACTCTGCGACTCCCCGACTCCGCGCCTCCGCCACTCCAGACAGTGCCCCGTCGCCCTCCGCCCTTCCTAATTTGCGAGCCCATTTAAAATGGATATGGATGCTTCGTTCTCAAAAAAATTCCGCCGAGGATTGCGCCCTCTATCGGCGCGAGTCTCTGAGACTCCGCGACTCCGCGCCTCCGCCACTCCAGTGCCCCGCGTCTCCGCGACTCTGCGACTCACCGACTCCGCGCCTCCGCCACTCCGCGACTCCGATCCGTACCGTGCCCCCACCACATTTACAAGCACGCCCTCCCTTCCGATCCTTCATGAGAAGCTTAGAAGACAAGTGCATTCGCTGTACTTAGCACTTTTTGCAGGTTTGCATATCTATTACTCCTATCCATCCACGCCTCCAAGCAAAATAAAAAACCTTGCTCCGGCGTGGCCCTGCATTCTATAGTTGCTCCCAATTTTTTTTGGGACCTGCCTACGCTGCTGGGTTACGTGAAAAATTAGCTCCAGCCCTAGATGACAACCCAATGATAAAATTTAGGGCTGGGTAACTCCAGCTAGGCCTACTGATGATATGATACTGATAGTGTAGTCCGAGTAACTTGGACCCAACTTATCGCCTTTTTAACATTTGGACATGGTCTGGCGATAGTAAGGTCCAAGCTAATACCGCGACCTAGACAACACAGTCCCAAAAACCAACATTTTCAAACAAAAAACATCAGATTTCACCTTCAAAACGGCCTCCAAATTACTAGATATGCCACCTGAGGTACAAGTAGACATCGATAATTAAGATGGTTGTACTGAAGTTTACTTACGATCCGGAAAAAAAGGTGAAATTTTCCGTTCATTTCGGAGAGCTCCCCTCGCGATCTTGAACACGTTAAATTTCCGATCGTGTTTAATGTTTGAACGACGCGATTTCTTCTACATGCCCAGCGTACATTCGATGGTCCCCGTATCCCGTGTGCGATTCCGTTACCGAGCGCGCGCGATGCATCGATTATGATAATGAGTCACGTTTGTAAACACATACATGCGCATTTCGAACTGTAAAAGGGAATCGGGAACCAGCTTGAACTGGTACCCGCCATAAAAGCTGCGCTAGTTCCAGACTCCCTATTATCGTTTGAAATGCACATGTGTTTACAAACGTGATCCAGTCTACTCATTATCATAATCGATGCATCGCGCACGCTCGGTAACGGAATCGCACACGGGATACGGGGACCATCGAATGTACGCTGGGCATGTAGAAGAAATCGCGTCGTTCAAACTTTAAACACGATCGGAAATTTAACGTGTTCAAGATCGCGAGGGGAGCTCTCCGAAATGAACGGAAAATTTCACTTTTTTCCGGATCGTAAGTAAACTTCAGTACAACCATCTTAATTATCGATGTCTACTTGTACTTCAGGTGGCATATCTAGTAATTTGGAGGCCGTTTTGAAGGTGAAATCTGATGTTTTTGTTTGAAAATGTTGGTTTTTGGGACTGTGTTGTCTAGGTCGCGGTATTAGCTTGGACCTTACTATCGCCAGACCATGTCCAAATGTTAAAAAAGGCGATAAGTTGGGTCCAAGTTACTCGGACATGTCGGACTACTGATAGTGATAGGCCTATGCAGAAGATGTTCTTCATTGCTTTTTCTACCATATAAAGCTAGGGCCTACTTCAAAAGCATATACAAATTTTGTTGATGCTTGTTACCGAACGTTGACGTTTGTTTGACGCTTGTTGACGCTTGTTGACGCAGTTTTTATTAGTAGGACCCTGTGTATAGTCGGCAGTGCCACGACGCACGACTTTCTAAGATTTTGTCGAGGCTGAAAAACGGGGGAAAACATAGCAATAACAATCAAACACCGTAATCTTTCGAATCAACGACAATACAGTATCGTACAGACACTTACTTTGTTGCTAAATGTCTTTGGTTTGTGGAATTATTTTGGGCAGAAACCGTTAAAAAGGCACAACTCCTGTGAGACGTCCGCAACAAAACTCTGGCTACGCAAGTCGCCATGTTTTTTCTTACCTATTAATAGCGCCCTCTGTAGAAAGTTTTCGTGAGCACGTACGTACCTTTTTTTTTCGAGGCTCTATCTAGTAGCCAACCGCGTCGCGCATGTACATGTACTTCGTTTTTCCACTTAAAACCCCATTTTTTTTTCAATACTGACTAGAAAAATCAAGTCAGATTGACTGATTTTCAGTTGCACCCAGCTGACCCTGAATAGTCAAATGTAACTGGTTTCTAGTCGAATCTGACTAATGTGTTGGCCTACGAAAAATTTGGGGGCCTACTGAAAATACCGCATTGTGCAATAAAACACATACAGGCCTACAACCACACATCCACACGCAGAGAAAAGTTTTTAAAAAGTTTGAGGGTCTCTCTCAGATTTCACCAACTGACGCTGTACAGTCGTATGTAGACATACAACATGTACGTGTAAAGTCTCATTCTGAAGCATGGTGCCGGGCATGCGCGTAAATCGGTGGGGGACGGAGGGTCATGTCGTTTCCCTCCCCCTCTCCCCCCCCCCACTTTGTCCCCGAATAAGAAACCATTGTAGCCTACATTCTATTCTATAGCTCAGAATAGCTGATTCAATGACTCCGAACTCGAAAATGATGATGATCTTTTGCATACACAAAAAAGTGTTGAAGTGGTCAGAAATAATTGTCTCAGATCGCACCACAGAGCGTCTAGAATCCAAACTTTTTTCGGGTCCCTTTAATAAGCGGGCCCCGAACCTCATGCCGTTTAGGCTTCGCACTCGCATTTAGTTCTAATCAAGATACACATCCACCCCACGTTTAAGAAGCGATTTACGCCCTTGGTGCCAACAGGCTTTTAGAGTATGGCATACCAGTTTGGCCTGGCTTGATTTGTACAGTGCTTTGTTCTTTGAATTTGGTGCCGGTGCCTAGGGCCTACGGAACACTGGTGCCTAGGGCCTACGGAACACTAGTGCCTAGGGCCTACGGAAACACTTAATCCGGGCCGCGTAATTTTTTTTCCTAGGAGGGTTAGGGGCAATGTCATGAATAATTCAGTTTTTCCTTTGAATCATTGCAAGACTTAGGTTCTCGTTCTATTTTCCCCTTAATTTAAAATTATCTCAGTGATAAATTTGGAGAAGAAAAATAGCTGATGAAAATGAGCAGCGACGACGTGGATTCGAACCAGGGATCTTTGTACCCATAGCTCATCTCGCTATCCACTAGGCTACTGTGTGGTAGCTCGACGACAACCGTTCTTTAAAATGCTTTAATGTATTGTAACTAGTTGAGTAACTAACAACAATGCTGTTGATGTCATTGTCCGTTCTCATGGATAAACATGAATTATTCATGACATTGCCCCTAACTCTCCTAGGAATAAATATTACGCATCCGGGCCTGGCACGCCTATTGCACAGACCAAGCGGCAACACCCAACTTGGGCCAAGTCCTTTTTCAGCTCGAGCGTGAAACAAGTGCAGTTGGTGTACACGTGCTTTTTGGGTGTGGCACCTTGAAATATAGATTTTCAAATTGAATTGATAAAAATTGTCTAGAAATACATTTATGAGCTTTCGAATGAGACATCGCACGAACAAATCGGCCCATGACACGTAATCAATTAATTAATTTCAACTTTTGAATTAAGAGCGGGACGCTCCTAATTCGTTCTGAATATTGTGCGCAATTTCTGAACTTGAGCACGCCATGATTTTTGAAACTGTATAAAGGCCTGCAAAAACAAACTGCAAACTGCAAATAATGTGGGTACTATATTGGCCTACTGGCTTCACATGCTAATTGTTGTTCAGAAACATACGTTACAGGAATTCATTATTCCTGTATTTGTATCCGATAAAACCAATTCCGGAAACATCATTACAAGGAAAACATCTCTCCCGGTATAGTGGTTTTCTGGTTTCACAGAAACTTTTAGGGGCACCATTGAACTTTGCTCAGCCGTCTGTGACAATGGGCCGGAATGCGGAAGAATTTAACAACCGTTTTTATTACATTGTGGGTAACGACAGGATATCTCGTTACTGCATCTAGCTCTCTATGAAGAGTATAGCCAGTTGCACGCATGCCTTTTATTCAACTATTTACACGTTGTCTGTTTACCGAGGCGTGTATATATGTATGCTCTTTGGCTGAACGTAAAAGATCTTTGATTCGTGCATGGGACTATAAAGCTATGAAAAATATTATGTTTGTTTTTTTAATGGCCGACATTGAACTGAAGCCAACGAGCTACTGAGTTTCGGATCTATAGAAACTGTTGATTTGCATTCAGTATGACTCTCGGCCGAGGTACATACACACCAATTAGTGTGGTGCCGCTGTAACTCAACGATAATGGTCGGTGTGCCAGCCGTAGGCCTACAGTGGGTTGAGTTGCAAACCGTTTTACTGTTCACTACTGCAAATGCCTGTTTCGCACTAACTACACCTGCACCGACAGAGTCAACAGGTAAGATAGACTTTTATGTCGCCTACCCATACCGTGCTATACCCATACACTCTCAGTGTAAGTTACTTTAACATACACTCTAGTCGTGCGTTGTGATTACACGTAAATCATATTTTGGCATGGTTGTTCACACTATTTTTGTGTTCTGTCAGTTGGTTGTGTGTTTGTTGCTCTGTCTTTCAAACACTATTGCCAGAATATGCCTGCATGTCTGTTTAAAACTTATCAACATTTATATTATTGATAATGCATTGAATTGAGCAATAACGGCAGACAGAACAGGTCTACAAATCAATGATTGACTCAAAATTTACCGTCTGATTTGGAAACTTTCCGCACTGTAGGGTTAATAATGAAACAATTAAGTGAGATTTGGTCCCTAATATAATTAGCTTTAAGACTCAATTACCGTAAACTGAAATTGAGTCCCTCACACGTACCTCTGTACATGTAATTTCAAAGTTCGAAGGCGAACGAATTAAAACATTATTTGAGCAGGAGAAACAAAAATACCTTTAAAAAGGTGTGATTATTTGTCTTATTAACATTGACTTTATTGTGTTGAAAAGTGAGAAAATATATAATGTGCTTAACGAACAAGCTCATGTGAGGTCCCTGTGCGGCGGACCAGGCTTTCAATGGGTTAAACCGGTTTGATGTGGCCACAACCCCGTCTCCAAGTTCCCTCAGTGCTTGTACAAATGGCATCTTCTGGAAAGCTTTGCAATTTCTACTGAGCCCTATAGCATCCTCTTAATGCCGTCATGGGCGTCAATCGATGGGGCAGGGGGGGGGGGGAGAATCCCCCACTTTTTAAAGTGGGGGATATAATATCGTTTGTCCCCCCCCCACTTTTTTCTTTGTCCCCTTTGTCCCCTTAAAATAGCTGATTCAATGACTCCAAACTCGAAAATGATGTTTAAAAGATGATCTTTTGCTCAAAACGTGGTTTAAGTGGTCAGAAATTGCCTCAGATCGCACCCTGAGAATCCAACATTTTCCGAGGCCCTGAAGCGGGCCCCGGACCCCACGCCGTTAAGGCTTCGCGCTTCGCGATCGCATCACTGCTGATCAAGGTATGCCCCCCACTTTTGACAAGCGACTGACGCCCTTGAATGCCGTTCTTTCTCCTCACATTTGGTATGCCAAGTGCTACAAGGCATTTGGGCAGGGATGCATTGTAGAATCTTCGGCTCAATTATTAGAAACGAAACAAAATGTATGAAAAGTAAATAATTGTATACGCCATAAGTCATCAATAGTACGAAATGGTAGGGGGCATTTTTGAACCGGCGACCCTTGTAATACCGAGGTACAACCCTCAGACGACAATACTGCATTACCTTGGAATACTGAACAGTCCTTTGTACTTCTGTTTATTTTGTGCATTAGGTATTTTGGGTCTGTCTAGCGATGTGATTCTGTGGATCATAATTGGCACTGCGTCGCTGTTTGTTGTCACGTGTGTATGTATTATCACTCTTCTGTGTGTAATCGCCCGTAAGGAAAGAGCAGCCAAGAGAACATTCACGTAAGAACATAATTTTACATCATTCGTCAAATTAAAAAGGTTTTCAAGCTTTTCTGGTTTCCTAAACTGTTCTGTAAACAGGAGGACTGCCAAGAGAAAGGTAGCACTTCTTTTACATCTTGATGAAATTCTAACGCTTTCTAGAAGACTTGGTGACAATTAAATGAAAGATACCTTTTTGAGACTTTGATTACAGAGCTCGTATCAGGAGCTTGCGACACCATCACGGTGTCTTTATGGTTGCAGACCAGTAAATCGGTCCAAAATTGCCTACGCCGGCCAAATCACGATTTGCATGCCCTCAAAATCTTTAGTATTTGAGCATGCTTTGGGCCATGAACTTGAGGGTTTGTAAACAATATGGGTGGAAGCCGTGCACAGGACTGTGAGCTTGTAGTTCCGTTAAATTTTGATGAAATCGGGGCCCTTAGAGCGCTCTATTTTGCAATGGAGTGTAGGCATCGTTTTTCTACATGGCGATGGGCTTCAGGCCTATTTTCAGGGGTGATCATCTTCGGATGGAAATTTCTCCTAAAAGTCATCAGTTGGCCCCCCACAAATTGAAAAGAAAATAAAAGATGATGAAATAAGCTTTAATTTGATGTGTGTCTCGAACACCTTGGAGAGTTGTGAGTATTTTTCCCGAATTTCTGAAGTGGGAGCATTTACCATTGGGGTCTATGGAAGTTTATTTACTGGTCTGCAACCTTATGGACTGGTGTTGTTGAGGCCCTCACGTGACCCGTCACTCAACAACACCAGTTGATAAAGACACCGTGATGGTGTCGCAAGCTCCTGATACGAGCTCTGTAACCAAAGTCTCAAAAAGGTATCTTTTATTTAATTGATATAATAATGGGACAGGAAACGAACTTTCACGCTCGACTTGGTGACAAGTTTGGTAAAAACTTGTTACTGACTTGAAAACGATAGGTCCTATGGTAAAATAAGCGAGAATTGTCATAATTATAATCAATGCATTATTGTTTTGTAGGTTATGTTGCAAAATCTTCACAAACTAATAGACAGAAGTCATCCATTCCCAATCCAAGCTATTCGAATGAAATGTGACACTGTTATATTGATGACGTGACTTAAGTTTTGACTTGTGCTATAGAATTGGCTTCGACTTTAATTTAAGTATATACTTTTATAGAAGTTCATTATGATATTGAAGTATTAAAGGACTACTAAAAAGTGTATACACGAGGAGGACAGAAACAACAGAAATGAAAAGCAAAGAAAGAATCTGATTCAGAAGGAAAGGTTTAATATATCTCTTGAAGGACGGAAGTTCAAAGGATGAAGGAAAGCAAGCCTCATGCAATATACGTTCCACAGAGATTCCACAAAAAGAAGCTGCTTGCACATAATAGTTCCCCATCAGGGGATAGAGTGCATGGGTTTGAGGAAACTGCAACCCCAGTCTCCTGCGTCAAACACTTTAAGACATATAAATAGGATCATTTATATTTGGCCAAAAAAAAGTACATGTACTACGGAATTATAAAAAAAAAAAAAAACTCATTCAAGATCGTACTGGTACTAAACACCCCCATGAAATTATTCCGTCTGTCACTCTGGCTTGCAGTTATTTTGACGAAATATAGATTATTTCCAACGATCAGTCAATATTGACTGAATTTTTTGAAATATAGAGAGTGCTGTTATAACGAAATCGTGTGTTTCATGATCAAAAGTTTACTTGTGCATGGTTTGTCACTGTTTTCTCGAAAAAATGTACAGGTGAATTTTCAACAGGTTAGGTTTTGAACATTCTTCTTTTGATTTTGAGTGGTGTTATTATTGGAAACGAAAAATAAATGCATGGAAAGCAAATGATACTGTATCAAGGTTGAGTAAGCAGAGGAGCATCTACCATGACGAAAATGGTATAAGATTACAAGGTCCACACAATTTTTTTAATTTGTTCAGGCCAGCAGTAATACAAGCAGTGCACGGGGATGCGATCAGAGGCATAGGTCCAAGCCGGCCCGTTATCGACACCGAACAGCAAGACTCCCGCGCCGTGCAAACTCCGCAATCAACGGCCGGAGATGGCGATGGCGATGCGGTGGTCACGAGCCCAACGCACGAATCTATTGAACTAGAGCAACTCGGCCAGCGGCAACAACCCAACGGCACGCAATGGTGAGCTCGTTTGATTTAATTCATGTCCTCATTTCCCCAAATTATAAATATCATGTCTTCAAAAGTGCAAAAAAATTTATGTTATAAATTTATTATTTGCCTGCATGATTTACTCTACTTTTGTATTTTTTTAAAATCGATATTGCTTTTTCTTCTTGATTTAGATCATGCAAAATTCAACTGCTGTTCATTAGAATGGGGTTTGGAGAAGGCGCGGCTGATCATCAACCCAAAGTCTGCCTGTGCCAAAGAATTGGGACGAAGGGGCTCAGTAATGGCTGAAATATTCTGTATCATACTCACCGTACTGGCGGGTCAAGAACCCAAAAATGCAGGGGGTAGGTGTGGGGCAAAAGGGGGGGGGGGATAGAGGGGATAGAGAGGCCGTTGCAAGTAATTCGATAAACGGGAAGTGACGGGTGTTGGTCCTCGCCATCGTATGACCCTGTAGGGGCGCTCGTTTCTACCTTTTTCCATGGAGGAAAGTGATGGGCGTCGCCGGGGGGAGGGGCAAAGCACATGTCCCCCAAATCCGTGTACTTTCTCTAGCATATTATTCTTAATTTATCATTTTTTCGAGGGTGGGCGGGGACATTTAGTCACCCCACCCCCATTGACATCCCTACAGACGCCCATTTTGTTAAATGTGTATTATGTTAATAGCAAATATGACTTCACACCTCTTTTTTCCCCCTTTTTCTTATTTTCTTATTCCTTTTTTGGGGTGGCTTTTCCGGGGGGGGGGGGCAAGCGCATGTGGACAAGTAGACCACAACATCAATTAAAAAAAAAGCCAGTTGCATACAATCCATCTCGGGTTTGAATAATACAAAGATTCTTGTCATTTTTAAATTTATTTTTAACGTTTTAACTGTATATATGCAAAAGCAATTCTGTTGAGGAAAAGGCCTATAGTGGAGAGATATACATATACCTATACTTATAGTTGTTATTGCTTTGTAAAAATATTTGCAAATAGCCACTGTATGAAATCGATCCCAAGTAAATACCAAATAATGAATATTTAAAATGTTAAATAAAGAAATAATATTGATAATTTTATGTTTTTAGGAAATATATGCGGTGAAATTAAAATTTAATAGTCCCCGTTCGTATTTTTTTTTAAGAATAAAGGAACCACCTTTTGAAGAAAAAACATACCCTTTCTTACAATTTTGTCACCTCTGTCGTGATATTGTTCTACCAGTGCCTTTTAACCTAGGCAGTTCACAAACAGAGTTTTTGGATCGATTCGCTTTCAGACCATTTTCGCTCAATAGGGGGCGCTCTACCTGTAGACCGGAGCCGAAATTAATTCTCACTGCGCGAAGACGCCTCGCGTCTGTACGCTTGATAGAGCATAACGGATTTCAATAGAAAGTTGTTTTTGTGATATTTTTCCCCCGAGTGGGAGTGCCGACTAGTGTAGCAATTATTGTTCACTGGGTGGTAGTGACTAGTCTCCATTGTTCCATTCCTTTTGTTAGCAACTTTTTTCTCTCTCTGGGTGAGTCATGCTCTGACGAAGTTTGTGACTGGCCCATTCAGGTACAACACTTGCTGGGAAATCGGAAAAGTAAAAAGGCCCAGCTATAGGTTTTGGTCACGGTTAAGAACGTGCACGCATCAAAAGTGCAAGAACCCCCGTAGCTACATTTTTTCGGGGACATGTTGAAAAAAAAAGAAGTATACCTGTGTTGAAATGTCAAAGGTGGCAGACAATAATGAAACTTTTGTGATGGCGCGTGATGACTGAAATTTGTTTAAACTTCAGCCCCCAGAAATTCCTTAAGACTTGCCAATAAAAACACCTAAGCTTTACATTGTATTGAGGGTCGATTACCTAGGGAGTGTTGGGGAGTAAAGCTCAGTGACACAGAAGCTTGGCATTTTTTGCCATTATTGCTCAATTTCGCTAATGAATTTCAAACCTTGACTTTCATTTTTTGGTTTTGCTGTGATAAACAACTGTGCGGGATAGGGAACAAGGCTGTGATACAGGTTGAGTTTAAAGAAAGTGACCTGGATTAATGAGTTTCCCCCTCTTTAAAAGCAATGAATTTTGATACACCGTTTTAGCATGTATTCAACAAAACCTTCATGTTATTCCACTCATGTGAGCAAAACAATTAATGAAATTGATCCATACTGTCGGTTAATATGCATGGTTTACTAAAGAAGCCATTTTTACATCTGTCCACGGATTGAGAAATGCTTTGAAGCCATTTTGCCGAGCCAGAACCTGTAAAAAGGCCCAGCTATAGGTTTCGGTCACGGTTAAGAACGTGCACGCATCAAAAGTACAAGAACCCCCGTAGCTACATTTTTTCGGGGACATATTGAAAAAAAGAAGTATACCTGTGTTGAAATGTCAAAGGTGGCAGACAATAATGAAACTTTTGTGATGACGTGATGACTGAAATTTGTTTAAACTTCAGCCCCCAGAAATTCCTTATGACTTGCCAATAAAAACACCTAAGCTTTACATTGTACTGTGGGTCGATTACTTAAGGAGTGTTGGGGAGTAAAGCTCAGTGACAACGAAGCTTGGCATTTTTTGCCATTATTGCTCAATTTCGCTAATGAATTTCAAACCTTGACTTTCATTTTTTGGTTTTGCTGTGATAAACAACCGTGCGGGATAGGGAACAAGGCTGTGATACAGTTTGAGTTTAAAGAAAGTGACCTGGATTAATGAGTTTCCCCATTTTAAAAGCAATTAATTTTGAAAACACCGTTGCAGCATGTATTAAACAAAATCTTCATGTTATTCCACTCATGTGAGCAAAAGAATTAATGAAATTGATACATACGGTCGGTTAATATGTATGGTTTACTAAAGACGTCATTTTTACAACTGTCCACGGATTGAGAAATGCTTTGAAGCCATTTTGCCGAGCCAGAACCTGATAAGGTTACACAAAAAAAATCAAATCATTTGAGTCAAGACTGCAACTTTATTTGTTACTGTCCGATATTGTATTTTGTATAAGAGGAACATATCAAGTCTTGGGCCGGTCTTAAATGATGATGGTGATTTTTTTCCGTTTTCCTTTGCACGCTTTTGTTAATTCACGAAGGTAGGAACACTTCCATTTTTGGTTGTATATTTAAAGGGTATTCATCAACGCGTGTCGGTAAATGATCAGTGGAGGACAGCTGGATTTTGTGGCATTTGTATTCAAATAAGCATGACTGGTGAATAGAGTATGCAAATTACCCGAAATTTTCACAGTAATACTAGTCAATAGCATGTACTTTATTCCTATATCGTTTTGTATTGAAAGAGGCGAGCCACATATTTTCACGTTTTTTTTTTTTTTTTTACTCGCCGGTTACGTTCTTTGTGACTCATGTATAATTCAATTAAGGCGAATGCGTTTCATATATTGAAAGCTTTATCAATGATTCCTTAGCCTCGGGAGGGGGAGTACAGTAATAAAGTAAATTCTGTTACGAGCCAGTCTGAACCATCAGGCCGGTGTTTATCTCCCGTTTCAGTAGCATGAAATGACTGAGAATATTTATATTCCCCCTGGATGGGATGCTAGTCCATCACAGGTTACTCCCCAGCTAATGGCAGTACCCATTTATACTCCTGGGTGGAGAGAGGCAAGTGGACTCAGGTGAAGTGGCTTGCCCAAGGACACAACATATGGCCGGCGCCTGGATTCGAACCCCTGACCCTCTGATCATGAATCACAAACCCTAACCACTAGTCCACCCACGAGACACCATGCATGCAGATATTTGAAATGTGTTCCGACCTGGTGGTCAAATGAATACAGTTTTTGCATTGTGGACATTTGATTTTTAACTGACTTAGAAGGATGCTTTTCTTTTCTCGTCCAACATTCAGTTCCAGAATAAGCAAAGTGCGTATTAGAAAATGAGGAATTGCACAGTTTTCTCCGTATACCTCCCCCCTGCAAATCCTTATATTTGTTTTAAGCATGAATATCATTATGGAATTTCTGCATTAATTTCTGACTCAAACTTTTGTCGAACGTTGGAATCATACTTGACACTATAGCCTAACACAAGTACATACTGCTTCTCATGGTGTGACTGGTAGACTGCAATCATGGCATATCCAGTATTGAAAATTCGAAGCTGCTTTGGGCGGGGACCAGCCAAAGGCGATGACTACATGCGACGGACGAATGTGTGTCAACTCACTCCCCCCCCCCCCCCCGCCTTTTGTGACTTTCCCCTTATTTACTTTCTATTCACCGTTACTGGTGGAACGTCTACCTACACGAGTAGGTAACCGGCGGAGTTTTTGAGCCCAAGTTAATGAGGTGGAAGAGGAATTTATGGGTCAAATATATTTATGGAAAAGATTTGTAAGCGAGCAGCCTGCCCACTGGATGGTTTAACTGAGAAGTTTAAGGTGTTTCCACACAGAGTGTTAAATCAACCAACACTGTTTAGGGTGTTTTATTCGGTTAGATCGCCCAGTGCTGTCGCAGTAGTCAGATTTCAAGCTCCGGATTTTCTTCTTTGGGGGAGTAGATACTTTGAAATGCCATGGCATGCAATCTATCTTTACAAAAGAATACATTTTCCTTTAACCAACCATGAATTTAAACAGACACCGCTTGACGAGGGACAATAATGAGGAATATTTCCTTGAGATGCTGTTTTACCGTTTCAGAAATTTCATTTGAATTTCGTTGTATGTTTTTGTTAACTTTACATTATACCTGAAGATTTTGATATTAAATTATATGACCTTAATCTGATCTCAAACTTAAGAATGATATGCTACTGATACTCAAGTTTCTATCAAAAATGACGCACGTGTGTTCTTCCTCGAGGCCTACTTATATTTCCGCCCACAAGAAACAGGGGATTTACGTCCTGGTGTCTGACAAAGAAAAATCTAAACCCTGACCTGGACGGACACACTTTAATTTTCAATTGAGGGTCCCCTAAACCCTTCAAGGAACCATAGTGTCTGATTGAGCACGGCGATAACAAAGAACGACCTTCTGAGTTTGGTGTCAACACCGTAGGATTAACCATACACTTCTTTCTTAATAATAGTAAAAGTCCTCGTCAATGCATGTTGGTTTATGCCACAATGATGGCACTGTTGACATTTTGACATGCAGATTTTCTGGAGGAGTTTTCTTCAGCCAACCCAACCGCGGTGTCGCAATTTGCACATCTAGTTTTATTCTGACAATCAGTGGCCAATTTCAATTGCTGTGAAACATCTCGTGAAAACCCGTTTTAATTGTCGTCTTCTGTCAATTCCAGGTTTGTGAATACTTCTGTTAGGGCCTAATAGTTGAATTGAACTTATCCTGTATCAATGAATGAAGAAAACACGCCGAAAGGTGAACACGACAAAATGCTATACAGTACGCGTTGTGCAAAAAATTGAGTTGGCTGATGTATATGACTGACTGGTCACTGATGCGCACTTTTGTATTTAGAAAATGTGAATCATTATGCACTTGAACCTGGGCCCATCTGTCATAAAAAGACTGCATGAAATAGAAATTATGATGTTTATCATTCAGTACAAAACTGAAATTCAGACTTGGTATGTTGATGCCGTTGAGAATCGCCCAAGCTCGACCGACACCTGTATACATTTTTTTATGGGAGCTTGTGGGATTTCACACGTACGTGTATTTGGTAAGCCAGTTCTATAAATGGCACCCGATATGGTATATAACCATTATTAGCCTGGAATATCACCTCCATTTATTACAAATTTATGGCAGTAACTTTCTAAAGAAGGTCTACCAGGCTGGCTCCACAAAACCGAAATCCCTAGAATCAGTCATTTGTGAAAAAAAGGCCCAAGGCCGGTCAGACGAAAATCTTTTGTGCCGAAACCGAACAGCGATAACAAAGCAACATCTAGCTCCACATCAAACTCGTTTGCATATTGCTGAATAGCCTCCCGATGCCCTTTCATATTTTGTTTCCATTGTCAAATAAAAAACACCAGTGGAGTAATTTCGTAAGCCTGCACACATTCATACACAGCGCACTTGACAATCGGCATAAACGATAATCGCGCCTATGAACTTTATGCGCGCATCTCATATAATTTTTATTCACAGCTTCAGATTGGACTAAGGAAAAGAAACAACTTAATAAGATCACTGCCTGGTATAATTCCGTAGATTTGTCGGTCAGACGTGTAGACCGCTGGTGGTGCACATCGTACCAAAGTCGCCATGGAGTTCAGGATCGGGACGGGGATTTTTCTGTGCTTCGTCTCCGTGGCTCTGCTGCTACCGGGCGGTTCTTGCCGGATGACCGGTGCGCCGGTGGCGGCCTGCAGCACTCTCACGCCGCAGCACGGCACGTCGGCCCAGACTGGGCCCAGCCCGTACGTGTTGGAGACGGTTTCAGGTAGCACCTACTCGGTCGGAGGGACAGTTACAGGTTTGTTGAAAACAATCACTTTGTTGAAAAAAAGAAAAGAATCATCATTTTTCTTACATTTTATCTGAGCGAATTATATTCATCCAGTAATAGTTTCGAAACGATGTACATTATCTACAATCTCGTGGTTGTGCAGATAGTGTAGGTCGTCGTTAAAAATTCTCTATAATTAATGTCAAACAAACTCATGCATGCGTTTCCAACATAATTAGCGATAACCGGCCATCATTTGGGTATTGGCAAGGTGAAAAGGTTGTGTTTGAAAACTGCATTCGTTTTTTTTTTCAATGTGGCAGTTGTATACCAAGTGCTCTCTTAAACAAACAAATTTTGTCAAAATACTGACTGGTTTCTCTCGATCGTGAGAACTGACTGGAATGGGAAACCGATACCAAAAGGTTTTAGCTTTCGACTATAAGTTCCCATTGATTGCGGGCTTTCCGTTCCGAAATCCTGTCTATATAAATATTGTTATTTTGACTAATTCCCAGTGGTCATTGGCATTGTGGTCTCAAAGGCACATCATCTGCATTTAACCCAAAGTAACCTGTCTGTTATTACAACGTTCACTTGGCCATGATTAAAGATCGAACTGGTACTAAACATCCCGTGAAATTATTCCGTCTGGCTTGCTGTCATTTATTGGAAAAACTCAAGAGCTGTAGGTGATTTACAACGATCAGTTGACTGATTTTTTTGGGGGAAATGAAGAGTCTTGTGAACGAAATCGTGTTCCGTGATCCAAAAGTTGTGCGTTAACACTGTTTTCTCGAAAAGTGTAACATTCACTGATCTGAAACTTCAACATGTTATTATAAGCTTCGAACATTTTTCTTTGGATTTTGAGTGGTGCTATCATTGGAAACGAACAAAATGCACGAGAAGCAAATGATCCTGCCTTTAAATGCAGTCAAATCTGAGAGTTAGGTGCAGGGCCGTAGCCAGCCGGCCTGGTGGAAGGGGGTGGTCGTTTTTTCGCCACGAAGTGGACCTTTTCATGTCTAATAAACATGGAAACATTTGATGAGTGAAACTCAAATGTCAATCGCGATGAAAAGTGGACCTGCGGCCGAGTGTATAATGAGTGTATAAACGAGAGGTCATCATAGTTGAAAAAACTGGGATTTTATGCTGAAAAAAAATCTCTATTGCCACTTTTTTTTGCCAGTGCATGAAGCGCCTGATGACACAGCATTGGAGATTCGACGAGAAACCATTGAAATCATGCCGCTAATTTATCAAAACGTAATGTTTTACTGTGCAGAAAGAGACATGGAAATACACACTTTCCTCAACTTGTTTTCGTTGAAACAAAATCAGCTTGCCACCAAGTGAAATTTGAATTGAACTGATTTGAACTGATGTGCATGTAAAAAAGAAGAAGAGTATATTAATCTATCCATTAGTAGTGCCTATAGGTTTTCTTGGTTAAAACACTTGTGTTATTTAAAGTTTGAATGATACAAAAGTAATCGGGAAAACCTACATAAATGTTAATGGGGGACAAAAAATAAACAAATATTTGTTGTGATGGGTTTCTCTGAGACATTCGCAAAATTGAATGACATAATCGCCAAAGGCGTTCACAAAATGTGGACTTTACATCGGAACCTTACAAAAGTCCCAAAACAATCTTCGTATACCGGTACGAGGGCCTTTAAGTAAATGACACAGTATTTCTCCATTCAATTGTTATTTGGCAAACGAACATTAAGGCGTCTCGCTTTGAAATAAGTCTGTTAATCACCCCCCCCCTTTTAAAAATCGCTTTTCATCGAAATTCCTGGCACAAAATCTTAAATGCTTCACTAAATTCCAAAAAAAGTACATGTATATCCTGGTTAGGCCACACTTAAAACCCATTGCATGCCAAACAACAGTGTGTGAATTTAATTTTATGTCAGTTTACTTCCGTGAACCAGAGGAAAAAAGGGCTGACGCGAATGAATTCTTTTCTGTGTGCCGCAGGCATTGATGCATAGCAACGAGATGAAAAGGGACGTGCCCCGTATATTGGGCCAGTTTATATAACTGGAAACCCATCCGAGCTTATATTTGCATTAATAATTTGTAACGAGTCGATGCACAGTAATTGCACGACCGTCGATGGACTGTTTAATATGACGGGATGAATTGATTTTTGTTGCGAAATGCAACAAGTGGAATTGTGATGTAAAATAATTCGGTAGGGTCTATAGCATTGTTTTGGGTGTTATTTTCCTTAAACAATGCCTGTGATGTGCTTTAGTACTAATGGTAGGGAAGATTCTAAATATTACAAAACGAAATTAACATCATGCCATTTAAGGCATGCTATTCATGCAAATGGGGCAAAACACATTTTCCCCCAAAAAATTTGGAACTTTTTAAACTTATTCTCAATTCATCATTTTCCGAGCGTGGGCAGGGGAACATTAACTACCCCCGCCCCCATCAAATTAACAGCAACATGGCTTCGCACCTCTTTTTCCTTTTATTAAATATATTTTCCCTTTTAAGCGCCCCCTTGCCCCCCCCCCCCATTGCGACGCCCATGTTCATGCAATTGATCGTTTTCGATAACACCATCACTTAAACTCCAAAGAAGAATGCCGAAAACATGAAGTTTCAGCTCAGTGGATAGGCCTATTACACTTCTCGAGAAAACAGTGAAAAACAATGCACAAACTTTTGATCACGAAACACGATTTTGTCAATAACATGCACTCTGAAGTCTAAAAATCAGTCAACTTAGGCCTTCTGATCATTTCTTGAATTTATTGAAATGACAGCAAGCCAGATGCAATAATTTCACGGGGTGTTTAGTACCAGTACAATCTTTAATCCAGATAAGCTTTTTGATAATAATTCGCTAGGTTACTTGTAGGATAAATACAAATAATCCGAAATTTGCCCGTAATATTGTGCTCCATCCTAACTGTCCTCAATTGCCACATCCTGCTAAAAGAAAATTCAGGTATAACGAAATCGTCAAATCAACTCTTGTTTTTTGGTGCTTGGAAATAGCCGAATATTATGTCATCATAAAATAATTACCTATAAGTACCACTTAGCTTAAAAGTACTTTACCAATCCTTTCCGATTTATGTCTTGCAATTTGACCTAAATTAACGTATGAAATAAACACAAACACTCCATCTGTTTTCCACCACACCAATACAGATTTTGGTTCCCATACCTTTTTCACATACATTGCTTCAGAGCATATTTGTCGCTTTCAATATACATGTTCAATTTCCTCATCTATGTGTTTACCAGTGGTAGCCACTTCACGAGTTATACATCCGGAATATGTTAATGAAAAGTGGGAACCCGACTATACACCTGCAAGTTCAATCAATTAGAACAGGTGCATCGGCTATCCTTGGAAACAATAGCAACAGCTTTGCATAACACGCGATATATCAATGTGAGTAGACAAGTGATTTCAGTCCAGAGGGGAGCACTGTCAAGTTCGTTTTAATTAATGTTACCAGCATCGCTATTATAATATTCATCACACAACCTCACCATTCACTGCTATAATCACCTTCGTGACATCTCAACATCACCACCGTCATACCAAGAACATCACCACGGCCGTCGAAATTGTTTCATGTATAGTGCAGTAGTATCAATGTTATCGCACGGCCAACAATTTAAAATACGTTTACAAAAAAAAAACTCCAAGAAAAAGAGCATGATAAAAAATACCACGGAAAAAAACATACACATAGAAAGGGAAACAACAAAACTGTTAAGAGAAAGGATCACAGTCAACTTTCGTAAATATAGATCTCAGTGAAATAGGAAAACAAATGACAAATTTGCAAGAATAATTTGGGTATACTAAAAATGACACGAAAAGCGTACGAGCTAAAGTGTTGAATTATGGAAAAGATGTAACATTCAGCCCATGAGAGTTATTAATCCACCGGAAATTTTTTTTAGTAGGTGTACATCTTACATCTTTTTCACAAAGGTGTATACGCCTTTTTTTTCTTTCTTAAATTGAAAGCCGATGGATGGATTGATCGCTCATTCGGTAATCGTAGGCGTTTCGGTTGCCTTGGAGATGAAAACAACCTCCAGCCCGGGTCATCTTTTGGGTTTCCCGTACATATTCAGATATTGCATACAAACACCGAAGGCCCGATGATTCACATGTAGGAAGCACCTGCCAGATTACAGATATCAAGAAAAAAAAATAATGAATAGACTTATACACTCAGTGTAAAATAAGCGTTGCTCATTTTAACAACCAATTTTAAACCTCTTCGTTTCACCCCCGCCCTTATCAAGGACAGAGCAGAAAACGACCAGTCAGAATAACTCAAACTACATTTTATAATGTTTAATACTTTGTGTCTTTTGTCAGTGTATAATATAGTGAGATGTCAAGAGACCAATTTAAACTTAGGTTATGTGCTCAAATTTTAAGGGCATATGATCATTTGCATTTATCCCAAAAGTATAACCTACAAAGTTATTATCAAAAAACTTACTTGGATTAAAGATCATAAGATCATACTGGTACTAAACACCCCGTGAAATTATTCCATCTGGCTTGCTGTCATTTAGAAGAAATCCAGAAATAGTGATTTCCAACGATCAGCAATTGACTTGGGGGGGGGGGGCGGGAATAAAAGAGTGAAATTGACGAAATCGTGTTTCGTGATCAAAAAGTTGTGATGATTTGTTTTTCGCTGTTTTCTTTTTAAAAGTGTAGTATCCACTGAGCTGAAACTTCAACAGGTTATAGGTTTTGAACATTCTTCTTTGGATTTTGAGTGGTGTTATTATTGGAAATGAACAAAATGCATGAGAACTAAATGATCCTATATGCCTTTGAATGAGAACTGCAAAAATCTTCGTATTTTGTTTTAATGAATGAAGAGATCATGTTTGATATTTTTTTTGCCAAAGAAAGGTACACGTTATCACCTAATTAAGTCGTGTAATTGGCGTATGAAAATTTTATAAAAAATCGCCTTTTTTTCAATGACATACATATCTGATTGGCATTAGTAATTTAGTCAGACGTGTTCGGATGACTGATTCGTACAGACAAGTTAAAACGGTCGAGCAAAGTACAATTTGGGGCTAAAAGAAATGGGATGTAGGCCATAATTATTTCTTGGCTGATCACTTTCGAATTTAAAAGGGGAAAACCTGAATTACTGACGTGTTAATAATAAAGTTCTCTTGATCTTTTGTAATGATTATTTTTTAGTTCGCATTTTCCATTTGGAAAAGAAAACAACTTAAAGGGAAAATACAACATTTGCAAACATCAAAAAATAAAACTACCAAATCATTTTGAAATACCTTGCTGGACTGTTAGTGAATGACAGTGTTAAGCATCCTGTAAAATCATGGCACCTGGTATACTGTCATTTTCAAGAAAAGTGGTATTTTTGTATCAATTTCCAACGCTGATCGGCCGATCAGCGTTGGAAACAACTGGCTTTTTTTCAAATACTGGCCCCAATTGACCATTGCACTTGTTTGCAATCGATTACAAACCTATGAACGGGTACGAGCAAGCTAGACTGGTTCCCTGACCTTACAATTCCCCAATGTATGTAAACTGCTCTCTTTCTTCTTATATGGAGTCAGGGAACCAGACTACAGGAAAATGATCGTTTTTCTTGGTTTTTATAGCATTTTCGAACCCAAAACCTCAAAAAAGTCAGTGTAACTATATTTGCTATATATTTCCAACCCCCCAATTCCATCCATTTCTGAAAATTACAGCAAAAGCAAATGATGTATATTCCCTTCATTGTGGAAAGGCCAAAGTTCTCATGGGCGATTTCAGGCTTGAAAAGTGCTTTTATAAAATGTCGGCAAAGTCGTTATCTAAACAAAGTACTTTTCCATGAAATCGTTTCCTTGAAATAGCCTGGTCAACTTGTTTTTCAGCAAAGATTTCAGCTGTGGTTGACAAGCATACGGTGTTATGGGTCCATGTATAGCTTTGAATGCAACACGGATATGGTGCAGCCACAACGTTACCTTTTGAGCGTATCCGTTCATGCGAGTCGCCGGCTCAAAATTATGTTGGCCCAGTACGTCAATTATATTTCAATGCAGGGACGTTAACCAACTGTGAATTATTGAAAGCATTTGTAGAAAAAAAAAACCAGCCTTATTTTTCTTGCTAAGGTCAAATAAAATCCGGCGAGTTCCACCATGGTCTATTTGCTTGACTTTTTTCAATTGCAAGGTATTTTTAATGTATTTTTCTCCTTGGGGGAAAAGTTTTATGTTAATATTTGGTTTTGCTCTTTAGCGACTTATTTTGTATAAACACTGTATATGAGTGCTGTCTGAGAGAGATATATATACGATGTATATAGAAAACAAAAATACAAGCTTGTTGGAAGGGACTCTAGCCCAAGTTGTCTTGCTTATGTAGGCCTATATAGACTTATACAAGTACCACACACTTCATCCGAAAGAGCTAGCTAGACCATTATCATGTGGCTGCCATTTGATTTTTCCCATTCAAATCAATGTAACCAAAGCGAGGCTGGAAACACAGTCTGGTTCCTATTTGCTCGAAAAAAATATCATTCAGCACTGTTATTGGATATACAGGGAACACGACTGAAATGGCGGCAGCATGATAAAGATCTACAGACCTTATTCACGAGGAAGTCATTTTCGATCGTGTTCCCTGAATCTATTTTATAAATTGTGAACTGTTGAATGGGAGGGTGCCAGGCTATTTTATGATTGGAGTGCACGTTCCAAGCACTGATCTCCATTTCTTCCGAATGAGATCAATGGTTCCATGCCCCACTTTTTTTTTTTAAATGTGGCTTAAACATTATTGTACAAGTGTCAGATAATTCATCAGAGCAGACTGGTATTAATTTGTAATGAAATTTATTTCATTGGTTTCATTTCTACTCGCAATTTCCATAAATGAAGAGTTTACCTCGCTTTCAATTAAATATGGCTGACTTGTAAATAAGGTTTATACTTGGTTGGTTGGCTGGTTCGAATCCGCACGCGCATTATATACCATAACGATCGCTTAAGAAATGATAAAGGGCAACATTCAAGGTTCGTGTTTATCAAAAAAAAATTCCCCGCTTTTCGTTTCAAAAACTTGAAGTATTAAATTCCTATACCAAAACGTTTCTTCCAAAATCCATTTCGCATGTCCCCATCCAATGTTTGGATTGGGTGGGTGAGTTCGTTTTTTGTAAATGAAATATTCATTTTCAGAGTTTGCACAAAAATGAAACTTATACACGAAAGCATTGTGCTTTATTTTGCCTCTTACCGAACTATACCACACATTGAATTGATACTTTATACCTTGGTTTTTATTGGGTAGATTGTGTCCAAAAAAGGTTAATCGTGACTTCTTCCGGTCATTCTCTTTACACTCACGGATTGAATTTAACTCCAGGCACAGTTATTTCACAGCCTTCTTTTGTGTTCAACCTTGATGTTCTGCCAATGCAACTTTAATGGTCTGCCTGTCTGCGTTTGTACAACTCGTCAAAATTTGGACTGGCCGACTGGCCGACTGGCCTTGCTATATTTTTTGGAGAAAAAATAAGACACAGCTGTCCAAATACAAAATAGGTTTTATTCATCAAGAAATCTTTTCCATAACATCCAATATTATACTCGTATAATTATGCAAAGTTGCTTGTTTGTTTGTATTTGGTTTGCAAAATATATGTAAATTGTCCTTGCCTTAATTGTTGACCACTGAAATTTAAGGGGGAAAAATACAAAGTTTGCTTTTGCTGTAAGTTTCAGAAATGGATGGATTGGGGGTTAGAGTTTTGTAGCAAATATTGTTACGCTGTCCTGTTTAAAGTTTTGTGTTCATAAATGCTGCCCCTCCCCAAGAAATATTCTTGACCCTTTCTTCAGACGAAACGAAGCAACATAGACGTCGAAAAATTGTCAGGTCAGGGAACCAGACTAGCTGGCCTGCACTCGTTCACTGAACCGATTGCAAACAAAATTTGGGCTGACTAAATTTTGTAAATTTCAAGTGCGGCCAACCATCTTGGGAAATTACCAAAAATTCCACTTTTCTTGAAAATGACAGCACACCAGATACCATAATTTTACAAGATGCTTCAGATTATTATTTAATATAGTCAAGTCAGGTATTTCATAATAATTTGGTACTTTTGGTTTTTGATGTTTGCAAATGTTGTACATTACCTTTAAAAAAAGTTTTTGAGGAATTGAGGAAATACCTGTGGGCTCAAAGAAAAAATCGCGGGGGCACTCTAGATTGTGGAAGGGACATCAAAAAGACGTCCATAAAAGAAAAAATAATATAATAAAGAATGTCCGCTTAAAGTTCCTTTTGCAATTATCTTCCATCTGTAGTTCGTGTCAGCGCCAACCCAACTTCCACCCAATTCCGAGGTCTTATCCTGCAAGCTCGCCGGGCCAGCGACGACGCCACGGTGGGTTCATGGACGCTACCGACCGGTGGTGACTTCCGGTACACGGAGTGCTCTGGTGCCGGTGACCAGTCGACGGTCACTCACACGAACGGCCTGTTGGACAAGTCATTGCCGGTGACTTTCACCTGGAATGCCCCAACCCAGTCTGTCGGGGATGTAAAATTTCTGTGAGTATTTTTGTCGACAAATAATATTTTCTGTCATCGCCGATCTCAAAGAGATGTGCACTGACATTCATTCTTGGTAATCAGCGAAAAGCCTGTGACCACATGAAATGATAAAACAGAATTCGACCACATGCCTTAACAATTTAAACGATTTAAATTCATTGAAACTTGTTGGCTCCTACCCAGTTTATAATCGGATCCTCAGACGTTCATCACGTGTGCAGAGCGACACTAGTGCCGTTCAAGGTGGTGGGGATGCAAGGGCGGATCCAGAACACAATTTGGGGGGGGGGGGGGCAAACAAAAAAGTCCCCCATTTTCTTTAATACTAGATGCTCTGTGGTGCGATCTGAGGCAAGTTCTGACCACTTTAACCAATTGTTTTAGCAAAAGATGGTGGTGTTTGCGGTGTCTGCCTTTTTTGGCGACGTCAAAAAAAAAATTGAGTTCGTTGGGGGGGGGGGGGGGGGCGTTGACACCCTCCCCCTGGATCCGTCGTTGGGGGATGTGGATTTGTGACTCCCGTTTGCAACCCTGGATAAAAGAACAATTCAAATTGGCACTGAAGCCGAGGGCCTCGGTGCTTTCTTTAGTTGAGAGGATTAAAAAAGAAATGATCCTCAATTCAAACAATGGCTTAGCACTGGGAGCCTCGGTTTCATAGGGCTACAGTGTTTCATTTTTATAAATCTGTCTTGTTTCCATTTTTGTGCAGACTTTCTGTCGTTCAAGCATTTAGCACATTTTGGACAAATATGGAGACAATGGTCACAGGTGAGTGAATTGTAGTATTAAATATTCATGCCCTCCCGCCCTGTTCTTATGTTTGCCCCTCCTATTAATTGTGGGTGTCAGCAACCCTAAAAAGAAAGAAAAAGGCTGTTGTAATGTGCACAAAATAATGAACCCGCCCTGCGCGAGAGCCGATATTATTGTCGGGCCGCAAATAATATGAATTTTGTAAAGAAATATTTCCATGACTGATCATCACACTGAAAATACAACACGTTGAATTCGTTGAATTTCCTTTTTGCCTTTTTACATTAGCCAATCAAAATCCCGAAAACTTTTGGCATATTTTTTTCGCTGGTGCGACGCGTGCGAATGATGACGTACGTACTGCACTGTGGCATGCATCTGCCGAATTTGCCGTCTACCAAAGGAAACTTTTGGCTGGATAATCCCCACACGTACACGCGGTCTCATTTTCTTATCCGTAAAGATTATAAACTAACGTTGTTGGTAAGTATTTTTTTGAAGAATAAACCACATAAAAATTCCTGGTTTTTCATTAGTGTTGAGGTTGTGAAATGGGGTGGGCAAACTTTAATTGGGCTAAACACGACCGTGCCAACTGTCTTACTGTCACTGTGAGTGACAATTGTCATTATTTCTCCATGATTGTCATGACTGTGAACACAAACTCGGCATTCGGCCGCGCCGCTAGAGCCTACCAGTTGTCGTGCAGTAGCAGCAGTGCACTGTAGCACTAGGCCTATAACCCATGCAAACATTACATTTAAAGGGGTGCTAGTACTAGGTCCTGAAATCCCCCAAATTTTCTGTTTTGGATTGTTTACTTTTAGGCTAAATAAAAAAAAATGTTTAGCGTCCTGCCTTTTTGAAAAAGGGAAAGAGGAGGCTCCCCGGTCCGTGTACATACCGTCCAATCAGTTACCGTTTGAAAATTGTCAAAAGAAAAATGAAAAACGAACCCTTTACCGTTTACCCTATTACCATCTTGGTAAAGAAACAGAAAAAGGAAATCGTTTACCAGTTTCCGTTTATGCGTCTAAAAAACGAAAACAGAAAAACAAAAGTGTTGTACCTTTTACCATTTTTGAAATTGTAAACAAAAAAATGAAAAAGCAAACCCTTATCCAATTTTTGGTTTGAATTTTTGAACAGAAAAATGAAAAAGCAAACCCTTTTCCAATTTTTGGTTTTGAATTTTTGAACAGAAAAATGAAAAAGCAAACCCTTTTCCATTCTTTGGTTTTGAATTTTTGAACAGGAAAATGAAAAAGCAAACCCTTAACCAGTTTTTGTTTTTGAATTTTTGAAAAGAAAAAAGAAAAGCCAACCCTTTACTAATTTCCGTTTTTGAATTTTTGAAAAGAAAAAAGAAAAAGCAACCCCTTTACCCGTTTTTGCTTGTGAAATTTTGAAAAGAAAAAACAAAAAGAAAACCATTTACCAGTTACCATTTTTTTGATTTTAAAAAGAAAAAAGAAGAAGCAAACCCTTTACCAGTTACTGGTTTTTTTTATTAAAAAAAAGGAAAAGCAAACCCTGTACTGTTCACCGTTTTGGAGAAAAACGAAACCTGTTACCAGTCTAAGCCCAACGAAACCCGAGTGCGGCCGAGTTCGTCAGAAAGTGTCTCGCGGCTGTTTCCTGTGAAAAAAACCTGTCCACGGGGCATGGCGGGAACTCATGTGCGACCACGGGCATGCACATGTTTACTGTACTTGCTGTAAGTGCTCTCTTTAGTACGGCGCTCCATACGGCGCTCCATGAGTGCCATCACTTCTTTATTTACTCAGATAAATTTATCACGTCATGTTGACATATCGCCGAGAGTAAGGCGACTTAATCACATAATTGTATCGCTAAGTCGACTTACCGAAGTCGACTTGACGGCTTGTCCAGATGCATTATCTCTCCAAGTCGACTTCCAGAAGTCGACATGACGACTTGTCCAGAGGCATTATCTCTCCAAGTCGTCTTCCATAAGTCGACATGACGACTTGTCCAGATGTATTATCTCGTCAAGTCGACTTTCCGAAGTCGAGATGACTTGTCCAGATGTATTATCTCGCCAAGTTGACTTCTCGAAGTCGAGATGACGACTTGTCCAGATGAAATATCTCGCTAAGTCGACTTCCTGAAGTCGAGATGACAACATGTCGAGATAAATTATCTCGCCAAGTCGACTTACGATGAGGAGATGATGACATGCAAAAATCTCGTTCTGTATGGATATCCCGTTGTTGAAGCACTGTCGTGGATTCTTTCTTGTTCGTCGGTGCATTTGAGGTTTTCCCCACCCGTTCTTACATGAACAATAAACTGGCAGAGGAACAAGAGATAAACTTTAGGGTATTGATTTGATCTGGGTCGAAGTTGATTTGTGTTTTTTATATTTTCAACTTGTTTTAAATTACTCCCCCAAGCTTCGTAGGAAATCACACCTCTGCCTTGTTTTCCCCTATTTATCCCGTTGAAAAGTAATTCACTTCACGTTAAACATTAACAATCATAAATTCACAAAAATGTCTTTATTGACATGTTGCCTAAAAATGACACTTACAAATTCAAGATTTGCTTTAAATCATATTGAGATCATATTTAAGATAAAACGACTCTCACGGCTTAAATTGGAATATCGGAAAATTAGCAAAACTCTTGTCTGAACTCTTGTCTGATATATTACGAGAAATGATTTGATAAAAGCTCTTATTGCCAACATTAAATCTGGGGCACTGAAGACAAAGACAAATTTGTGTTAATTTCAAGATTTTAAATGGGGAGCGCCGGGGGGGGGGGGGGGCATTTGTTGCAGGACATTATATTCTTTTACATTTCGTTCGGAAAAGAAAAATCGAAGTTTTGAAAAAGCACGTATATAATTATACCAACAATAACCTTTCAAATTCCCATAACTATACAATCATGCGTTGCATGTTCGTCAAGCTTAAGAGCTTCTCCATAGATGATAATACCCAAACGCTTTGCATCAAAGCAGCAATACCTTTTCAATGAAAACAACTCTAATGACATCATTAATCATCCGTCTTTGTGCCGCTTTATGTGTGGAAAGGAAATAGACGAGCAGACGTTTTGCATGTTTTATGAACATCAACAAAAGAGACACAACCATTAATTGCCTCTCCACGCTGCATTTTGATATCATTTTCAGACTCGGAGTCGGGTATTAGTTTCCAGCAATGCTATTCAATAATTTAGATATATCAAGTCAGTTTGCGAAAATAATTTACACGTTTCAAAATGTATCACAAACGTATCAACATACATGTTTACATGTAGGCCTGCTTTTACATGTCTTTGTTTGTGTTTACTCGACTCAACCACGGATGTCCCCGGTTCGATGCCCCATGAGTTTGTAAGCTGGGTAAACACAATCTACAAAGAAATCAACTCAGAAACCGAACCATTTGGACCCAGAGAGGATAGACTCACGGACTCATTGCCTGTCACTGATGATCTGGGCAGTGCTATTGTATAGGATTACCCCGTAACGCCACATAAGTGGGCTATTGTTACACAGAGGCACATAAAGGCCTACAGTGAATAGCCATTCGGAACCGGTTGAATATAATTTTGTTTGTGTGATTTGGGAAAAGCTTGGCTAGACTTGCCTTGTCTTTCTTTATTGCCACTATATGAAGATTTCCATATTACCTCAAAATGAGTCATCTGACTATTTTTTTTTTTTACTTCATTATGAGTACCACGTGCATATACTCCACGTGGAAGATCATTTAAAATCTTTGGAGTCAAATGAAATGTCACACGATCTTTACTTCTGAGTACAGAAGATTCAGATTCCGCGGTTACCATTTGTACATGTCAACCACAGCAAGGGAGGTTTTTTTGGGGACACTGTTCTGCAACAACAACAACAAAAATTGGAGATAAAGCTTGGTGGAAAAGGGTAGTTTTTGCCATGAAGTGGACCTTTTCACCATAAAGTGGACCTTTTCAACAACGAATGTCTGCTACCCCCAACCCCGCGCTCCACATTTAAAATCTTAAAATGAACAAAATTATGTCATTATGTCATTGAAAATTATGAGCACCAGGTGCCCCCCCCCCCAGCGGCCCACCAGAATTAGGTTTAACCCTAGTCACGCCACTGACTGTGCCACCAAGTAAACAAAATAATTACTCTCTTTTAACGTTTTATTTTTTCCGGTTTCTATCGTCGAGGAGGTAGTATCTTTAACTTAATAATGGGGACACTGTTTAGGTTCTTTGGAAGTTGCATTAATGTGTGAGAAAACGTATTTTATTCTTCCCGAGGGATTTTCTCAGCATTAGCAATATAGGTCGATTTGGGATCTAAAATCGCTTGTAATTTCATACTTGATGACATCAGAAACACGTCACAGTGATATTGAGACCGATGTCTTATTCAAAAGTCAATAAGTTTAAAATTGTTAGGAAAAGAGCAATTGAAAAGCAAATTTAGTTTTCGAGGTGAAACTCAAAAGAATTCATCTCGGCAAGTCGTCATGTCGATTTCCGTGAGTCAACTTGGTGAGTTATCACTTCTTCACAAGTTGTCATGTCAACTTCGGGAAGTTGACTTGGCGACATGATTTGTCTGGACAAGCCGACATCTTAATGGAGGAAGTCGATTTAGCGAGAACATTCATCTCGACAAGTCGTCATCTAGAATTCGTAAAGTCGACTTGGCGAGATGATTTATCCCGGCAAGTCGTCATCTCGACTTCGGGAAGTCGACTTGGCTAGACAATTTATTTCGACAAGTCGTCATCTCGACTTCGGGAAGTCGACTTGGCTAGATAATTCATCTTGACAAGTCGTCATCTCGACTTCTGGAAGTTGACTTGGCTAGATCTCGACAAGTCGTCATCTCGACTTCGGGAAGTCGACTTGACGAGATAATTTATGTGATTAAGTCGCCTTTACTCTCCGCTATTTGTCAACATGGCGTGATAAATTATCTCAGTATATGAATAAGTGGATGGCACTCATGGAGCGCCGTACAAGTGCATGCCTGTGGTCGCGCATGAGTTCCCGCCATGCCCCGTGGACAGGTTTTTTTCACAGGAAACAGCCGCGAGACACTTTCTGACGAACTCGGCCGCACTCGGGTTTCGTTGGGCTTAGACTGGTAACAGGTTTCGTTTTTCCTTTTTCGGTTACCCTTTTTTCGTTTTTGTTTTGGCAAAGAAAATGTTGTCTTAGTTTTTAGTTGTTTGTGTTTCAGTGAAACAAAATGAAACAGATATGAGTGTGCTGCGTTTATTTACATAATGTTAACTGTATACAAAGGAAAACGATTGATGATTTTGTTTTAAACGCATCAAAAGCGGAATGCTGTAACTCGATGCGTTGTCTCTTTTTCTGAACACAGAATCAAAAGCGGTGTACAGTATAGGGTTTGCTTTTCCTTTTTTTCTTTTTAAAATTAGAAAACGGTAACTGGCAAAGGGTTTCCTTTTTGTTTTTTCTTTTCAAAAATTCAAATGCAGAAACGGGTAAAGGGTTTGCTTTTTTCCTTTTTCTTTTGAAAAAATAAAAAACGGTGACTGGTAAGGGTTTCTTTTTTCCTTTTTTCTTTCCACAAATTCAAAAGCAAACAAGGGTAAGGGTTTGCTTTTCCTCTTTTTGGTTCAAAAATTTCAAAACAAAAACTGGTAAAAAGGTTGGCTTTTTCTTTTTTCTTTTCAAAAATTCAAAAACGGAAATTGGTAAAGGGTTGGCTTTTTCTTTTTCTTTTCAAAAATCCCAAAACGGAAATTGGTAAAGGGTTGGCTTTTTCATTTTTCTGTTCAAAAATCCCAAACCAAAAATTGGAAAAGGGTTTGCTTTTTCTTTTTTCTGTTCAAAAATACAAAACCAAAAATTGGAAAAGGGTTTGCTTTTTCATTTTTTTGTTCAAAAATTCAAAACCAAAAATTGGAAAAGGGTTTGCTTTTTCATTTTTCTCTTCAAAAATTCAAAACCAAAAATTGGAAAAGGGTTTGCTTTTTCATTTTTTTGTTCAAAAATCCAAAACCAAAATTGGAAAAGGGTTGGCTTTTTCATTTTTCTGTTCAAAAATCCAAAACCAAAAATTGGAAAAGGGTTTGCTTTTTCATTTTTCTGTTCAAAAATCGAAAACCAAAAATTGGAAAAGGGTTTGCTTTTTCATTTTTCTGTTTACAATTTCAAAAATGGTAAAAGGTACAACACTTTTGTTTTTCTGTTTTCGTTTTTTAAACGCATAAACGGAAACTGGTAAACAATTTCCTTTTTCTGTTTCTTTACCAAAATTGTAATATGGTAAACGGTAAAGGGTTCGTTTTTCATTTTTCTTTTGACAATTTTCAAAAGGTAACTGATTGAACGGTATGTACACGGACCCTCCCCCCCCCCTTTTTCCCCTGTCTGGGCTATTTTTATTTCTCAATTAAGATGACCGCTAGCTTCTTTTTTTTTTAAATGGCCGCCACTTGGACTCTGGACATGACAGGCCTACCTGCTTTATATGGGCTAGGCCTAGATTACTTCTGAAATCAGAAGGCTTCTCTCCAACAGAAGCCTTCTGATTTCAGAAGTAGGCCTAGATACAACAGACAAAGAGGCCAAACTGATGTCACTGACTGTTTTAAATCATTTTTTCTTTGATTTGAAAAAAGGAAGCAGGCAGGTTCGCTAAAAAAATTTTTTATTTGGCCTTATCCTATTTCAAACATCTGGTTGAAAGGAAACCAACCTAATGTCTTACCGTCATGAACGTTCCCGAGAAAAGATGGGAAAAAATGTACGTGGTTGTTTACATTGGACACGTATATCGTCAGACCTCCTAAAGCTACGCGCTCCTATTTCTGTGCACTCGCCTTTAAGTTATATTTTGCAAGCTGTGCATCCTAAAAATGACATACTTTCACTGGGATCGTATCCTTTAATGCACAAACTTTAACCAGCAGCCGAAAAAATGTGGAAATTGAAGGCTTTACCGGGAATTCAGGGAAAAAATGAAAGACATTGGCTTTTTACTATAAATTAATACTAAGTACAAATGCAGGCAGATGCTTCTAAAATATGACCGAAAGGTGACCTTTCTTGGTCTCCCAATAATTTATAGTTAAGATGTCATAGATAAGAATTTTCAGTTCCTTCAAGGGTGTAAAACTTACGGTGCAACTAAAAAGACACATTTCTTATATTATTTTGGTATTTTTTGGGTCATCAGTTTTAAAATCTGACATCTTAAAAACTGTCTCTGTTGGTCGGGATGATCAGAATAACACTATCATTTAATAGGTAAATATATATAAAATGTATAAATATAGGCCTTTGTTTAAATCTCCAAAATAGTATATTGAAAATAATCCTGAAATTACGAAAAGTGTTTTGGCATTGAAACAAGAAAGGAAAAAGAAAAAAAATATGTTTGAAAAGCTCAGGAAATATATTTTCCTAAAGCAAACAAGTATAAGTTATTAATAAAAAAATTTATATTGAGTTACATGGCCCGGACAGCACATATTTTTCATGAAGCGTCTCCTGCGCAGAATTAGGCAGGATTCTTTTCTACAATGCCAAAACTGCAAGCTTTGGAATTCCCCGCTTGCTGCCACAAATACAGAGATTTCACTTTGTTAATTGGTACGGTGGATGATCGTTAGCTAAGTTTTGTTGAGGAAAAGAGTGGTTGCTTTGCTATATTTAAGCTACTTGGTTGCAAAGCCTTATCTGCGCAGAAATAGGAGGATCGAGGATACAGCACCGTGCTCGCGAACAGCACTGACCAATCACAATGCACAAAATGTGGTTTCTTACAAGTCCGCAAAAGGCAAACACCTTACGAATGAAATCACAACTAGCACCCAAACACTGGACTTTTTAGGGTCGCAAAAGTGGACCACAAAAGTGAAATAATTTTGCATGTTTACCACTTCATTTTGAAGTGGTGAACTTTCTATGAACTGCAACCATTATTTATGCCACAAACCTAAATATATAAAGAAAGTTTTTGTTTACAGAGAGACAATGAAGTCAAAAGTGTTATTTGTGCTTAAATGCTTCTTAGTGTGTACTTGTCTCTGCAGATGTGTGTGGGTTTTTCCCTCCTAATTTCTGCTGTAGTACTAGTACTAACGCCAACTGCCTCTTTATTTATTTTTGCTTTGTAGTTATCACACCTTGTGTGAGCAGCCCATGCCGCAATAATGGTCAATGTGACAGCCGAGATGGCACGACATATTCCTGTGTTTGTACTGCTGGTTTCACTGGGGATAACTGTGGTATTCCAGGTATGTTACCTGCATGTATTCAGGCAGTGGTCTCACCACGAATATACCTAAAGTCGAAAAAAATTAAATTGCGTGTTTATGGTAACCTGACCTATCTGAATTCTTTGAGGCTAAATTTCCAACCTCATTTACCACATTTGGACAAAAGTTAAAATAAATTATAATTATGTTGACTTGAAACTCAAATATATCTTTAAGTTATGCAAAGTTTGTGTGTATTATTGATTGAACAAAGAAACGGTTAAGTGCATGTAATCATACTGTTAAAGGTACTAAAATAAACACAGAAGGTATACAAAACAGACAAGCATACAAAAAAGTTATAAAATACACATGTTTTCCTACCTAAACCTACCTGCATATTTTTTTTCAGGGTGTTAACATAAACACGTTTTTTTCCTTGGCCTAAACATGGTGCTTCCTCCTAAAAATTTAGAACTTTTGTCCTGCTCTGCATTAATGGTTTTGAAAACGTAGAACAAACTGGTGGATGCATGATGCAGTTTTAAAGGAAAACAAGCTCGCGGTGGACCGTAAGCTACTTTGAAATTTCAATTACAATATTCCAGGCTTATAGTTTCGGTAATAAATAGTCTCGTTTATTTATTATTTATGGTATAAAACTGGCTAAGAAAGGGATGCTTCTTATTTTGCAATGACCACAAGACACATCGTAAGTTGCGACGTGTTTTGAAATGTTGTCAAGTACCTTACATCACGTTCAACACATTTGTAAGTTTTGTGAAATGGATCATTCGATGTGTTGCAAGTTGTGATGTGCAATTACGCCTGGCAACTTGAGTTGCTGCGTGTCCCAGTGCTTTATTAGCTGGTGCTTGGTGATAACAGGTAACTCCATGGCTGCATGAATATACCACAGCAGTCAGTGTCCTAGTACCCTTTGAGAATCTTCTGGTTTGTAACAAAACTATAGAGAACTACATTTTGTTCAGCTTACTTAATGCAATTAAAGTAAGATTTGAAACTTTGCTTGGTAGAAGTATGAACTAGTGAACTTAGTATGCGGTACCACCATGTGGAAAACTCTTTTGGGAAGATGTGTGGTTCTGCAAAGTGCAGGTTGGTTGTAAAACTTGACGTTCCGATCAGTATGCTCTGATCTTCTTCGGGGGAAGTTTTACAACCAACCGGTTCTTTTCAGAACCACACATCTTCCCAAAAGAGATTTCTACATGGTGTTACCGCAAACGTTCACTAGTTAATGCAATGTGTCGCATTTGTCTGGGTGAAGGACTTTAACTCCTATCAGCAGACTGCAATTTGTCCTATCATTACTGATGATGGTCCAATTAAGAAAGTAATTGCCCTGCAGTTTGTTTGTATTGTGTTGTTTGATCTGATACACCATGCCCTCTGGAGACATTAACACAATAGGGAACAAAATACTGTATACGTCTCCACAGGGCAATTTGTATAGATGAATACGTCTCCAAAAGGTTTTCACGAAATAGAGGTATGAATTTTACTCAAAAACTAGGAATTTCCAGGGTGGGTTGATCCGTCGCAAATGGAAGAGTTTAAGAAAAGGGATATTAAGTCCAAACTTCAGCCAGGGAAATTAATTCTGGTTAAAATAAGAGCATTTTGAAACTACACTTTCAAACTCGAAAACTTTACTACACGAGAACAAAGAAATGTCTCCACAAGGATACAAATTTCAGTATAGTCGTGGTTATTCAAGTTACTTGTTTCGTTCACTCTGCAGTCACAATTTTTGCCAAGCACTAATAGACGTACGGCTGCAGTGCAGGAACAATTAATACATGGCTCCGTGTGGCACACTCCTCAAACATACAAGTGCAATGTCTGCATGACTTTGCCTAACAGGTTCCAATAAGATGATTGATTGGTTCCTTTTGGTCAAAACCACTTCATCAAATATAATTTGGCTTTTAACGATATTACTCATCCACTGTCATGAGTTTAAACAATTTGATTTTCTTTCTCCAGTGACTACACCTTGTTCAAGCAACCCGTGTCAAAATGGTGTTTGCTCTGACGTTGGTACTTCATCATACTCATGTACATGCAGCCCAGGTTTCACTGGAACCAACTGTGACACAGGTATGGTAGTTATAATTCTCAGTGGTCTTTTATTCTGATGATCCTTTGATCCTTACTTCTGTCTGTGCTCAAGACATTTTCTTGATTGTCTGTAATAATCCTCGGTATATTTTTCAAACTAACTTTTTGTTATACCTGAGTGTTTGGTAGTTTTGTATTAATCCTCCTTTTGTTTGATCAATCACAGACAGTCAAAAATTCCATTTATACAGGCTAGTCGCTAACACTCGGATCATATTTCATGTAGGCACTGTGACAGTCAAATTCTGTCAACTGACAAGTGTGTGGCACACTCCTCAAACATACAAGCACAGTGTCTGCATGACTTTGTCTAACAGGTTCCAATATAGATGATTGATTGGTTCCTTTTGGTCAAAACCACTTCATCAAATATAATTTGGCTTTTAACGATATTACTCATCCAACTAACATGAGTTTAAACAATTTGATTTTCTTTCTCCAGTGATGACTACACCTTGTTCAAGCAACCCATGTCAAAATGGTGTTTGCTAATGACGTCATTTCCAAAGATGTGTCAATTAAGTGTCACATTTTTTGAAATGTCCGTTAGTAGTTGGTTTGTAAATTTGTGAACGGTTGTGCGCAAGTGTTGACACGTGTTGACATGCACGTGTGTGGTTGCTGTTTGATTTGAAAGATTTGAAACTTTGCATGGTAGTAGTATGAATTGTTAGTGAACTTAGTTTGCGGTACCACCATCATGTGGAAAACTCGTTTGGGAAGGTGTGTGGTTCTGCAAAGTACAGGTTAAACTTGACGTTTCGATCATGTATGCTCTGATCGTCTTAGGGAAAAGTTTTACAACCAACCGGTTCTTTTCAGAACCACACATCTTCCCAAAAGAGACTTCTACATGGTGTTACCGCAAACCTTCACTAGTTAATGCAATGTGTCGCATTCGTCTGGGTGATATGAAGGGCTTGGACTCAGCAGACTGCAATTTGTCCTATCTTTACTGGTGATGGTCCAATTAGGAAAAAAATTGCCATGCAGTTTGTTGTATTGTGTTGTGTGTGTTTATTCAAGTTATTTGTTTTGTTCACAAAGACGTACAACTTTGCAGGAACAATTAATACATGGTTCCGTGTGGCACACTCCTCAAACATACAAGCGCAGTGTCTGCATGACTTTGTCTAACAGGTTCCAATAAGATGATTGATTGGTTCCTTTTGGTCAAAAAACACTTCATCAAATATAATTTGGCTTTTAACGATATTACTCATCCAACTGTCATGAGTTTAAAAAATTTGATTTTCTTTCTCCAGTGACTACACCTTGTTCAAGCAACCCGTGTCAAAATGGTGTTTGCTCTGACGTTGGTACTTCATCATACTCATGTACCTGCAACCCAGGTTTCATTGGAACCAACTGTGAGACAGGTATGGTAGCTAATTCTCAGTGGTCTTTTTACCCTGATGATCCTTTGATCCTTACTTCTGTCTGTGCTCAAGACATTTTCTTGATTGTCTGTAATTATACTCAGTATATTTTTTAAACAAAAATTTTGTTATACCTGAGTGTTTGGTAGTTTTGTATTAATCCTCCTTTTGTTTGATCAATCACAGACAGTCAAAAATTCCATTTATACAGGCTAGTCGCTAACACTCGGATCATATTTCATGTAGGCACTGTGACAGTCAAATTCTGTCAACTGACAAGTGTGTGGCACACTCCTCAAACATACAAGCACAGTGTCTGCATGACTTTGTCTAACAGGTTCCAATATAGATGATTGATTGGTTCCTTTTGGTCAAAACCACTTCATCAAATATAATTTGGCTTTTAATGATATTACTCATCCAACTGTCATGAGTTTAAACAATTTGATTTTCTTTCTCCAGTGATGACTACACCTTGTTCAAGCAACCCATGTCAAAATGGTGTTTGCTCTGACACTGGTACTTCATCATACTCATGTGCCTGCAACACAGGTTTCATTGGAACCAACTGTGACACAGGTATGGTAGCTATAATTCTCAGAGGTCTTTTTACCCTGATGATCCTTTGATCCTTACTTCTGTCTGTGCTCAAGACATTTCCTTGATTGTCTGTAATTATACTCGGTATATTTTTCAAACTAACTTTTTGTTATACCTGAGTGTTTGGTAGTTTTGTATTAATCCTCCTTTTGTTTGATCAGTCACAGACAGTCAAAAGTTCCATTTATACAGGCTAGTCACTAACAGTCGGATCATATTTCATGTAGGCACTGTGACAGTCAAATTCTGTCAACTGACAAGTGTGTGGCACACTCCTCAAACATACAAGCGCAGTGTCTGCATGACTTTGTCTAACAGGTTCCAATAAGATGATTGATTGGTTCCTTTTGGTCAAAACCACTTCATCAAATATAATTTGGCTTATAACGATATTACTCATCCAACTGTCATCAGTGTTGTAGGTCTCGAGCTCGGTCTCGGTCTCGAGACCACTTTTTGCTGGTCTCGGTCTCGGTCTTGGTCTCGGGAGCTGTGGTCTCGGTCTTGGTCTCGGTCTCGGTCCCCTTTGGTCTCGATATTTTGGCTGGTCTCGAGTCGAGACCAGCCAAAAAGTGAGGGGGCGGATTCCGCCCCCGGCCCTTTTAGGGTTAAGTAAAGAATCAGTTTAGGGCAAATGTGACTGCAGTGTGATGCTAATGGACATGTCTGTCTTCTTTTTCTAGTGAGTGAGGCATAGTCCAATAACCATTGCTCCTCTTCTTATTTCTCGTTTTTATTGTGGGACGATCTGTTGAAACAAGCACTTTATAGCCATCCTCATTGATTCCAAATACAACTGAGATTTAAATCTTATGAATCAAGACTGAAACATTATTTTTACCGTCAGATTTAGTATTTTGCATATGGGGAACAATTCAACTCTTTTTCCCTACAAATATTGGTGATATTTTTTTATTTTCCTTTTTAATTTTTCCTTTATTCGTGGAGGCGGGAAAAGGTTTTTTTTTCATTATATTTATTAATGGATATTCATCAATTCGTAGACCGTTAAATTTGTATTAGTGGTGGACAGCTGAATTTTGTGATCTCTTTAATAAAATAGACATGACTTGGAAATAGAGTATGCAAATTACGTGAAATGTTCACAGTTACTACTCAATAACATGTTCTTTATCCCAATTGTATTTTTTTACAAAATGGAGCGTGCCATTTTATTTTTTTTCATACTGTCACTTTCTTTTTGACTCGCCATGTATTCATCTTTTCATCTGTGATAAACACAAATTGAGCTACTGCCATGGTAACACAAAAATAGAGTCTAATTGCCTGCCTCGTCTCCTTCCTAAATGTCAATTGCATTTGCATGAGTCGGGAAGAATTGTGTTCCATTAATTGCTATATGCTGTTTACGGCCATCACAATAAACTATTAATATATTGGCAATATGTCGTACTTGTTAATCACTAAAATATTCAAGTAAATCGCCCGGCAAAGTAGCCGATGCAGGCGATACGCTGGCACGGTACAAAACACAGAGAGGCGTGCGCACTGAGCCATGAATCCCAAAAGTACATCTCGCCCACCACATTCAGTTTGTGACAGCACCATTCTATTGTGTCGGCCATATTCTCAAATAGGCTGATGATGACGGCGGGCTGAATAACAGAAGATAGATCAGGCAAATATGGTTCATCAATCTTCTATAGTATATGTAACGTTATTGACATTAAACAAAAATAAAGTGGCATTACATTTCAGCCTTAGCCAGGCCTTCTTCAGAGGTAAATGACAGATGAAGAAGAAACAAACATGTAGGGGACACACAAACATGCAGGGTTGGAAGGAAAATCACAAAGAGGGATGTGGGGGGGGGGGGCAGATCAATCCATATCCGGCCACCATCTCTCAATTTTTTTGTACAAATCTATATTCCATGACTGAAATAAATCAATATTTTCTTGCTCCAAATTTTTTTCGAATCAGGTTTACAAGGAGGTCCAATGTAAAATTAAAGTTGCATTTAAATATCCGTTAGTGGTCATTGCTGAAACCAGGGGGTGGCTGTGGAGTTTAGGGTCCGAGTTCCTATAACAGATTAAACATCCACCTTTAATTTTTTTACTTTTGTCAAGTTTCAACATGTTTAAAAAAAAAAAAAAAAATTTAAAGTGTCAAAAATATATGGAGTTCATCAAATAAGGTTTTCCCCTTCTTTAAATTAGGTTGCTTCCAATTTTTTTAATGATTGGGACAATAACAAATTCTGTTGCCATGTTGTAATTTATGGCATGAAGCAAACTCAAAGAGCACTCGCATGACACAATTAAGCATGTACAAGTGATTCCTAACTTTCAATCACTTCCTTCACATCCCCATGAACATCAACATCTCAAGGACAGACTGTTCAGCTGTATTTAGTGTCTTGTTGTTTATTTAGATTATTGATATTTATTATCCGTGGTCTCGGTCTCGGTCTCGGACCATTTCGGTCTCGGTCTCGGTCCGCCTTGAAGGGTCTGGTCTCGGTCTCGGTCTCGGTCTCGCAACTTCAGGTCTCGGTCTTGGTCTCGGTCTCGGACTATCCGGTCTCGACTACAACACTGACTGTCATGAGTTTAAACAATTTGATTTTCTTTCTCCAGTGATGACTACACCTTGTTCAAGCAACCCGTGTCAAAATGGTGTTTGCTCTGACGTCATTTCCAAAGATGTGTCAAGTGTCACATTTTTGGAACTGTCCGTTAGTAGTTGGTTTGTAAATTTGTGAACGGTTGTGCGCAAGTGTTGACACGTGTTGACATGCACGTGTGCGGTTGCTGTTTGATTTGAAAGATTTAAAACTTTGCATGGTAGTATTATGAATTGTTAGTGAACTTAGTTTGCGGTACGACCATCATGTGGAAAACTCTTTTGGGAAAGTGTGTGGTTCTGCAAAGTACAGGTTAAACTTGATGTTTCGATCAGTATGCTCTGATCTTCTTCGGGAGAAGTTTTACAACCAACCGGTTCTTTTCAGAACCACACATCATCCCAAAAGAGATTTCTACATGGTGTTACGGCAAACCTTCACTAGTTAATGCAATGTGTCACATTCGTCTGGGTGGTAGGAAGGGCTTGGACTCGTCAGCAGACTGCAATTTGTCCTATCATTACTGATGTTGGTCCAATAAGGAAAGAAATTGCCCTGCAGTTTGTTGAATTGTGTTGTTTGTGTTTATTCAAGTTATTTGTTTCGTTCACTAAGACGTACAACTTTGCAGGAACAATTAATACGTGGTTCCGTGTGGCACACTCCTCAAACATACAAGCGCAGTGTCTGCATGACTTTGTCTATAAAACAGGTTCCAATAAGATGATTGATTGGTTCCTTTTGGTCAAAACCACTTCATCAAATATAATTTGGCTTTTAACGGTATTACTCAACCAACTGTCATGAGTTTAAACAATTTGATTTTCTTTCTCCAGTGACTACACCTTGTTCAAGCAACCCATGTCAAAATGGTGTTTGCTCTGTCGTTGGTACTTCATCATACTCATGTGCCTGCAACGCTGGTTTCACTGGAACCAACTGTGACACAGGTATGGTAGCTAATTCTCAGTGGTCTTTTTACCCTGATGATCCTTTGATCCTTACTTCTGTCTGTGCTCAAGACATTTCCTTGATTGTCTGTAATTATACTCAGTATATTTTTTAAACAAACATTTTGTTATACCTGAGCATTTGGTAGTTTTGTATTAATCCTCCTTTTGTTTGATCAGTCACAGACAGTCAAAAATTCAATTTATACAGGCTACTCACCAACAGTCGGATCATATTTCATGTATGCAATGTGACAGTCAAATTCTGTCAACTGACAAGAAGGTGACTGGTAGGCACGACTGGCTTATCAATTTCCTACAGTCAAAGCATAGCTATATCAGGTTTTATAACAATCACAGCCAGTCAATCCTGCTTTATGAAGGCAGGGAGCACTCAATTGTCAAAAACAGTCTCTTGATTTATTTTGACTGTAGGGCTGCATGGCCTTGTTAAAGTTGCCAGCCAGAGAGGGAGGGTTATATGTAGAGTGGACCATTTGCAGCTACCCAAAAAGTGACTGACCAAAATACTGTTCAAAAGCTTACTTGGTTTTAAGATAGTAATGACATTGAACTCCCTGAGAAATTGTTCCTTATGGCAAGCTGTCATTTCGAAGAATACAGTACTAGAAGATCATTTCCAAAGATGTGTCAAGTGACACATTTTTGGAAATTTCCGTTAGTAGTTGGTTTGTAATGTTGTGAATGGGTGCACGCAAGTGTTAGCACGTGTTGACACACACGTGTGCGGTTGCTGTTATTCTTCGGTTCAGTGCGTGACATCTTGAGCTGCAAATGGCTGAATGAGAACGTGTCTCGGATGCTGATTCAAAATATGACCAGGCAACTTTTGAATTGAAATCGAGATCCTAGAATATTGTTTTCTCAGAACATACAACATTCACAAAGCTAAATCTTCATCAGAATATAGTTGTTAAGGACCCTCCTTAAGATTTTGATCACTTGTTGCTTCAAATGAAACAATGCAAAAATTACAAATGGTCCACTCTGCAATTAAATGGAGTGCCTGTTCTTTTCATTTGCGCTCATAAAATGCACAGTCCTGACCGAGAATTAAGTCAATTAATTAATAAAAGCAGAATGTTGATGTAAGGAGAGTCAACTGTCTCTAAATTGATGTTCATATTGTGCATTTTGACAGTGGCCCTCAAGTGTTCTTCAATGCTTCTTGGCTATTCACTGAATGCATGTGAAGCATGTGTTGAAACCAAAGATCCTATGCCGCCGTAAACTAATGTAGTGTAGCCTTTTAAATCCGAGATGTTTGTTGATAATTATGAATCCATTTTGGCTGCAGTGTTATGGAGCAAAGCAGTGGAAATTACGAATTCAAGTAAATTTGTGCAAATCGTATTGCTTCCATAACTGATGTTAACTCCTAAAGAAGCAGTGTGCTTCAAATCTAAAACTTGCATTCAGAAACCTTTTTTTTTATTCACCTAGTAGCCCAAGATCCCTGTCAACCATCACCATGTCAGAATGGTGGAGCTTGTGTCCCAGGCAGTGCATCAGGCCAGTTCACATGTGTGTGTTCCTCAGGCTTCTCAGGAACTCGATGTGAAAACACAGTTGGTAAATAACCACTTTAATTCTTCTTTTTGATCACCCATTTTCGAAAGACAGTGATCATCTGTAAAGGAGAATGTTCAGGGTAGATATGTTCACTTTTTATCGTTAACAAATTTACATTTTCTTTTCTTTATCAATATTTTGCATGATAAATCTGTAATGTTTATCAAGAATTTGTCATTTATATTAAATCAATCAATTAGGATATTGGATGTAGAAACAGGGAAACATGACAGATTGCTGCATGTATTGACTCCTTTCCATGGTTCCCTCTAAAAGTCACACTTTTGTAACCGTTTGTGTGGAAAGGCCACTTACAAATTCACATAAAGTTGTGCAAATCTTATTGCTTCAATAACTGATGTTAACTCCAGTAAGAAGCTGTGTGCTTCAAATCCAAAACTTGCACACATTCAGAAACCGTGTTTGATTCACCATTTAGCCCAAGATCCCTGTCAACCATCACCATGTCAGAATGGTGGAGCTTGCTTCCAAGGCAGCACAACAAGCCAGTTCATCTGTGTGTGCTCAACAGGCTTCGCAGGAACTCGATGTGAAAACACAGTTGGTAAATAACCACTTTAATTCTTCTGTTTGATCACCCATTTTCGAAAGACAGTGATCATCTGTAAAGGAGAATGTTCAGGGTAGATTTGTTCACTTTTTTTCGTTAACAAATTTACCTTTTCTTTTCTTTATCAATATTTTGCATGATAAATCTGTAATGTCTATCAACAATTTGTCATTTATATTAAATCCATCAATTAGGATATTGGATGTAGAAACAGGGAAACATGACAGATTACTGCATGTATTGACTCCTGTCCATGGTTCCCTCTAAAAGTCACACTTTTGTAACCGTTTGTGTGGAAAGGCCACTTACAAATTCACATAAAGTTGTGCAAATCTTATTGCTTCAATAACTGATGTTAACTCCAGTAAGAAGCTGTGTGCTTCAAATCCAAAACTTGCACACATTCAGAAACCGTGTTTGATGCACCATTTAGCCCAAGATCCCTGTCAACCTTCGCCATGTCAGAATGGTGGAGCTTGTGTCCCAGGCAGCACATCAGGCCAGTTCACATGTGTGTGTTCAACAGGCTTCACAGGAACTCGATGTGAAAACACAGTTGGTAAATAACCACTTTAATTCTTCTGTTTGATCACCCGTTTTCGAAAGACAGTGATCATCTGTAAAGGAGAATGTTCAGGGCAGATATATGTTCACTTGTCATCGATAAAAAAATTTACATTTTCTTTTCTTTGTCAATAATTTGCATGATTAACTATTTTGTCGAGAATTTGTCATTTATATTCAATCAATCAATTAATCATTAGGATATTGGATGTAGAAAGATGGAAAATATGACAGATTACTTCATGCATCGACTCCTTTCCATGGTTCCCTCTAAATGTAACACTTTTGTTACCGTTTGTGTGGAAAGACCTATTTACAAATTCAAGTAAATTTGTGCAAATCTTATTGCTTCCATAACTAATGTTAACTCCAGTAAGAAGCAGTGTGCTTCAAATCCAAAACATTCAGAAACCGTGTTTGATTCACCATTTAGCCCAAGATCCCTGTCAACCATCACCATGTCAGAATGGTGGCACTTGCTTCCAAGGCAGCACAACAAGCCAGTTCATCTGTGTGTGCTCAACAGGCTTCGCAGGAACTCGATGTGAAAACACAGTTGGTAAATAACCACTTTAATTCTTCTGTTTGATCACCCATTTTCGAAAGACAGTGATCATCTGTATTAAAAAGGAGAATGTTCAGGGTAGATATGTTCACTTTTTATTGTTAACAAATTTACATTTTCTTTTCTTTATCAATATTTTGCATGATAAATCTGTAATGTTTATCAAGAATTTGTCATTTATATTAAATCAATCAATTAGGATATTGGATGTAGAAACAAGGAAACATGACAGATTACTGCATGTATTGACTCCTGTCCATGGTTCCCTCTAAAAGTCACACTTTTGTTACCGTTTGTGTGGAAAGACCTATTTACAAATTCAAGTAAATTTGTGCAAATCTTATTGCTTCCATAACTGATGTTAACTCCAGTAAGAAGCAGTGTGCTTCAAATCCAAAACTTGCACACACTCAGAGACCGTTTTTATTCACCATTTAGCCCAAGATCCCTGTCAACCATCACCATGCCAGAATGGTGGCACTTGCTTCCAAGGCAGCACATCAGGCGGGTTCTTCTGTGTGTGCTCAACAGGCTTCACAGGAACTCGATGTGAAAACACAGTTGGTAAGTAACCACTTTAATTCTTCTGTTTGATCACCCATTTTCGAAAGACAGTGATCATCTGTAAAGGAGAATGTTCAGGGCAGATATGCTCACTTTTCATGTTAACAAGTTTACCTTTTCTTTGTAAATATTTTGCAAGATATATCTGTAAAGTTCATCAAGAATTGGTCATTTGTATTCAATTAATCAATTATAGATCCCTGTCAACCATCACCATGTCAGAGTGGTGGAACTTGTTTCCAAGGCAGCACATCAGGCGGGTTCTTCTGTATGTGTCCAACAGGCTTTGGAGGAACTCGATGTGAAAACACAGTTGGTAAATAATTTCTTTATTATTAAGTTGGTGTTTCTGTAGATTTGATAAAGGATGGCATTTTGAAACAAAAATAGCAAATCAAATTTGTTACAACACTAAATTGGGAACTTTTTTGCATTTTCTTCGCCATTTAGTTCATCACAGTTACTTTTTTTAGTATCTTTGCTAATTTTTCGGCTTGAATAGATTTTTTTGTTCCCCCCACTGACTAACTACATGTTTGTCTCCATTGCTGTCTTGATAATCAGTTAGTGTAGATCCCTGTCAACCATCGCCGTGTCAGAATGACGGAACTTGTTTCCAATAGGCAGCACATCGGGCCAGGACGCATGTGTGTGTGTATGTCCAATGGGCTTTACAGGACCTCATTGTCAAAACACACTTGAAAAAATGTCTTACTTTAAGTCTATTTTAAATTCTGAAGAAATAAAAAAATTAACAACTTTTAACAATAAGCGCCAAAATGAGAATTCTGAAAGCACCTAATAGTAGTACTTTCTGCACTTTTTCTTTGCTATTTTAGAAGATTGCAGTAAACTTTCAGTGTGTATCTTTCATTTTGCTGCCTCATCCTACACTTATGATAATTTCTACCATACTAATCAGATCCATGCCAACCATCGCCATGTCAGAATGGTGGCAATTGTTTCCAAGGCAGCACATCAGGCGGGTTCTTCTGTATGTGTCCAACAGGCTTCACAGGAACTCAATGTCAAGACACAGTTGGTAAATAATTTCTTTATTATGCTGTTGTTATTTCTTTAGATTTAACGAAGAATGGCATTTTTGAACAATAATAGCAAATCAGAGTTGTAAATAGAAGGGCCTTGTTGTTTGCATTTTCGTTGCCATTTAGTTCATCACAGTTACTTTTTAATACTTAACTTTCTGCCTGAACGTGTCTTAGTTTTTTTAAATATTGTTCCCCACTGACTAAATACATGTTTGTCTTGATTACTGTCTTGATAATCAGTAAGTGGAGATCCCTGTCAACCATCGCCATGCCAGAATGGTGGAGCTTGTTTCCAATTAGCCAGCACACCAGGACAGTTCATCTGTACGTGTCCAATAGGCGTCACAGGAACTCGATGTGAAAACACAGTTGGTAAGTAGGTTCAATTTGAGCGATTTACAAACAGTTGGGCGATTCACAAAGATTGCGCCACCAAGAGTTTGCTATTGAGAGTCCATTTTTGGAGAGTTCATACATGTACGTGTGTGTTCAGCAGGTTCCTCAGGACCTCGATGTGAAAGCCCGATTGGTAAATAAACAGTTTTGTTCTTTAGTTTGATCACCAAGATTGGAGTTGTTTTAAATACAATTTGGTGTGGTACAACATTAATTTGTTTTCCTTGCCTGAATGGTGGGAATTGTGTCCAGTCTGGGGTGGTGATCTCTTGCACTTGTCCGCTTACATTAACAGGAGATCAATGTCAAAACCCCATTGGTAATTAGCATATCCATTGCAAGTTTGATGACTTATTGGGGTGCAAAGTTTTTCAAATTTTCAAAATTCAGTTCTTTAATTAAAAGCTGTGAGTTATTCCCACATACCTTTTGTAAGGAATATTTGTTCACTTTTCATCGTTAACAAATGTACCTTTTCTTTTCTTTGTCAATATTTTGCTTGATAAATCTGTAAAGTTTATCAAGTATATTTCATTGATATTAAATCAATCAATTAATAGGATATTGGATGTAGAAAGAGGGAAAACATGACGGATTACTTCATGTCGACTCCTGTCCATGGTTCCCTCTAATTGTCACACTTTTTTACTGTTTGTGTGGAAAGACCTATTTACAAATTCAAATCAATTGGTGCAAATGTTATTGCTTCCATTACTGATGTTACTCCAGTAAGAAGCAGTGTGCTTCAAAACCAAAACTTGCACACACTCAGAGACCGTTTTTTATTCACCTTTTAGCCCAAGATCCCTGTCAACCATCACCATGTCAGAATGGTGGCACTTGTTTCCAAGGCAGCACATCAGGCGGGTTCATCTGTGGGTGTCCAACAGGCTTCACAGGAACTCAATGTCAAGACACAGTTGGTAAGTAAGGTTCAATTTGGGCGATTTACAAAGATTGCGCCACCAAGAGTTTGCTATTGAGAGTCCATTTTTGGAGAGTTCATACATATACGTGTGTGTTCAGCAGGTTCCTCAGGACCTCGATGTGAAAGCCCCATCGGTAAATAAACAGTTTTGTTCTTTAGTTTGATCACCCAGTTTGGAGTTGTTTTAAATACAATTTGGTTTGGTACAACATTAATTTGTTTTCTTTGCCTGAATGGTGGGAATTGTGTCCAGTCTGGGGTGGTGTTCTCTTGCACTTGTCCGCTAACATTAACAGGAGATTGATGTCAAAATCCCATTGGTAATTAGCATATCCATTGCAAGTTTGATGACTAATTGGGGTGCAAAGTTTTTCAAATCTTCAAAATTCAGTTCTGTAATTAAAAGCTGTGAGTTATTCCCACATATCTTTTGTAAGGTATATTTGTTCACTTTTTATCGTTAACAAATGTACCTTTTCTTTTCTTTGTCAATATTTTGCTTGATAAATCTGTAAAGTTTATCAAGTATATTTCATTGATATTAAATCAATCAATTAATAGGATATTGGATGTAGAAAGAGGGAAAACATGACGGATTACTTCATGTCGACTCCTGTCCATGGTTCCCTCTAATTGTCACACTTTTTTACCGTTTGTGTGGAAAGACCTATTTACAAATTCAAATCAATTGGTGCAAATATGTTATTGCTTCCATTACTGATGTTACTCCAGTAAGAAGCAGTGTGCTTCAAAACCAAAACTTGCACACACTCAGAGACCGTTTTTTATTTACCTTTTAGCCCAAGATCCCTGTCAACCATCACCATGTCAGAATGGTGGCACTTGTTTCCAAGGCATCACATCAGGCGGGTTCATCTGTGGGTGTCCAACAGGCTTCACAGGAACTCAATGTCAAGACACAGTTGGTAAGTAGGTCCAATTTGGGCGATTTACAAAGATTGCGCCACCAAGAGTTTGCTATTGAGAGTCCATTTTTGGAGAGTTCATACATGTACGTGTGTGTTCAGCAGGTTCCTCAGGACCTCGATGTGAAAGCCCCATTGGTAAATAAACAGTTTTGTTCTTTAGTTTGATCACCCAGATTGGAGTTGTTTTAAATACAATTTGGTTTGGTACAACATTAATTTGTTTTCCTTGCCTGAATGGTGGGAATTGTGTCCAGTCTGTCGTGGTGATCTCTTGCACTTGTCCGCTAACATTAACAGGAGATCGATGTCAAAACCCCATTGGTAATTAGCATATCCATTGCAAGTTTGATGACTTATTGGGGTGGAAAGTTTTTCAAATTTTCAAAATTCAGTTCTTTAATTAAAAGCTGTGAGTTATTCCCACATATCTTTTGTAAGGTATATTTGTTCACTTTTTATCGTTAACAAATGTACCTTTTCTTTTCTTTGTCAATATTTTGCATGATAAATCTGTAAAGTTTATCAAGTATATTTCATTGATATTAAATCAATCAATTAATAGGATATTGGATGTAGAAAGAGGGAAAACATGACGGATTACTTCATGTCGACTCCTGTCCATGGTTCCCTCTAATTGTCACACTTTTTTACCGTTTGTGTGGAAAGACCTATTTACAAATTCAAATCAATTTGTGCAAATGTTATTGCTTCCATTACTGATGTTACTCCAGTAAGAAGCAGTGTGCTTCAAAACCAAAACTTGCACACACTCAGAGACCGTTTTTTATTCACCTTTTAGCCCAAGATCCCTGTCAACCATCACCATGTCAGAATGGTGGCACTTGTTTCCAAGGCAGCACAACAGGCGGGTTCATCTGTACCTGTCCAACAGGCTTCACAGGAACTCAATGTCAAGACACAGTTGGTAAGTAGGTTCAATTTGGGCGATTTACAAAGATTGCGCCACCAAGAGTTTGCTATTGAGAGTCCATTTTTGGAGAGTTCATACATGTACGTGTGTGTTCAGCAGGTTCCTCAGGACCTCGATGTGAAAGCCCCATTGGTAAATAAACAGTTTTGTTCTTTAGTTTGATCACCCAGATTGGAGTTGTTTTAAATACAATTTGGTTTGGTACAACATTAATTTGTTTTCCTTGCCTGAATGGTGGGAATTGTGTCCAGTCTGGGGTGGTGATCTCTTGCACTTGTCCGCTAACATTAACAGGAGATCGATGTCAAAACCCCATAGGTAATTAGCATATCCATTGCAAGTTTGATGACTTTTTGGGGTGGAAAGTTTTTGAAATTTTCAAAATTAAGTTCTTTAATTAAAAGCTGTGAGCTATTCCCACATGCCTTTTGTACGGTATATTTGTTCACTTTTCATCGTTAACAAATGTACCTTTTCTTTTCTTTGTCAATATTTTGCTTGATAAATCTGTAAAGTTTTTCAAGTATATTTCATTGATATTAAATCAATCAATTAATAGGATATTGGATGTAGAAAGAGGGAAAACATGACGGATTACTTCATGTCGACTCCTGTCCATGGTTCCCTCTAATTGTCACACTTTTTTACCGTTTGTGTGGAAAGACCTATTTACAAATTCAAATCAATTTGTGCAAATGTTATTGCTTCCATTACTGATGTTACTCCAGTAAGAAGCAGTGTGCTTCAAAACCAAAACTTGCACACACTCAGAGACCGTTTTTTATTCACCTTTTAGCCCAAGATCCCTGTCAACCATCACCATGTCAGAATGGTGGCACTTGTTTCCAAGGCAGCACATCAGGCGGGTTCATCTGTGGGTGTCCAACAGGCTTCACAGGAACTCAATGTCAAGACACAGTTGGTAAGTAGGTTCAATTTGGGCGATTTACAAAGATTGCGCCACCAAGAGTTTGCTATTGAGAGTCCATTTTTGGAGAGTTCATACATGTACGTGTGTGTTCAGCAGGTTCCTCAGGACCTCGATGTGAAAGCCCCATCGGTAAATAAACAGTTTTGTTCTTTAGTTTGATCACCCAGTTTGGAGTTGTTTTAAATACAATTTGGTTTGGTACAACATTAATTTGTTTTCCTTGCCTGAATGGTGGGAATTGTGTCCAGTCTGGGGTGGTGATCTCTTGCACTTGTCCGCTTACATTAACAGGAGATCGATGTCAAAACCCCATTGGTAATTAGCATATCCATTGCAAGTTTGATGACTTATTGGGGTGCAAAGTTTTTCAAATTTTCAAAATTAAGTTCTTTAATTAAAAGCTGTGAGTTATTCCCACATACCTTTTGTAAGGTATATTTGTTCACTTTTCATCGTTAACAAATGTACCTTTTTCTTTTCTTTGTCAATATTTTGCATGATAAATCTGTAAAGTTTATCAAGTATATTTCATTGATATTAAATCAATCAATTAATAGGATATTGGATGTAGAAAGAGGGAAAACATGACGGATTACTTCATGTCGACTCCTGTCCATGGTTCCCTCTAATTGTCACACTTTTTTACCGTTTGTGTGGAAAGACCTATTTACAAATTCAAATCAATTTGTGCAAATGTTATTGCTTCCATTACTGATGTTACTCCAGTAAGAAGCAGTGTGCTTCAAAACCAAAACTTGCACACACTCAGAGACCGTTTTTTATTCACCTTTTAGCCCAAGATCCCTGTCAACCATCACCTTGTCAGAATGGTGGCACTTGTTTCCAAGGCAGCACAACAGGCGGGTTCATCTGTACCTGTCCAACAGGCTTCACAGGAACTCAATGTCAAGACACAGTTGGTAAGTAGGTTCAATTTGGGCGATTTACAAAGATTGCGCCACCAAGAGTTTGCTATTGAGAGTCCATTTTTGGAGAGTTCATACATGTACGTGTGTGTTCAGCAGGTTCCTCAGGACCTCGATGTGAAAGCCCCATCGGTAAATAAACAGATTTGTTCTTTAGTTTGATCACCCAGATTGGAGTTGTTTTAAATACAATTTGGTTTGGTACAACATTAATTTGTTTTCCTTGCCTGAATGGTGGGAATTGTGTCCAGTCTGGGGTGGTGATCTCTTGCACTTGTCCGCTTACATTAACAGGAGATCGATGTCAAAACCCCATTGGTAATTAGCATATCCATTGCAAGTTTGATGACTTATTGGGGTGCAAAGTTTTTCAAATTTTCAAAATTAAGTTCTTTAATTAAAAGCTGTGAGTTATTCCCACATACCTTTTGTAAGGTATATTTGTTCACTTTTCATCGTTAACAAATGTACCTTTTCTTTTGTTTGTCAATATTTTGCTTGATAAATCTGTAAAGTTTATTAAGTATATTTCATTGATATTAAATCAATCAATTAATAGGATATTGGATGTAGAAAGAGGGAAAACATGACGGATTACTTCATGTCGACTCCTGTCCATGGTTCCCTCTAATTGTCACACTTTTTTACCGTTTGTGTGGAAAGACCTATTTACAAATTCAAATCAATTTGTGCAAATGTTATTGCTTCCATTACTGATGTTACTCCAGTAAGAAGCAGTGTGCTTCAAAACCAAAACTTGCACACACTCAGAGACCGTTTTTTATTCACCTTTTAGCCCAAGATCCCTGTCAACCATCACCTTGTCAGAATGGTGGCACTTGTTTCCAAGGCAGCACAACAGGCGGGTTCATCTGTACCTGTCCAACAGGCTTCACAGGAACTCAATGTCAAGACACAGTTGGTAAGTAGGTTCAATTTGGGCGATTTACAAAGATTGCGCCACCAAGAGTTTGCTATTGAGAGTCCATTTTTGGAGAGTTCATACATGTACGTGTGTGTTCAGCAGGTTCCTCAGGACCTCGATGTGAAAGCCCCATTGGTAAATAAACAGTTTTGTTCTTTAGTTTGATCACCCAGATTGGAGTTGTTTTAAATACAATTTGGTTTGGTACAACATTAATTTGTTTTCCTTGCCTGAATGGTGGGAATTGTGTCCAGTCTGGGGTGGTGATCTCTTGCACTTGTCCGCTTACATTAACAGGAGATCGATGTCAAAACCCCATTGGTAATTAGCATATCCATTGCAAGTTTGATGACTTATTGGGGTGCAAAGTTTTTCAAATTTTCAAAATTAAGTTCTTTAATTAAAAGCTGTGAGTTATTCCCACATACCTTTTGTAAGGTATATTTGTTCACTTTTCATCGTTAACAAATGTACCTTTTCTTTTGTTTGTCAATATTTTGCTTGATAAATCTGTAAAGTTTATTAAGTATATTTCATTGATATTAAATCAATCAATTAATAGGAAATTGGATGTAGAAAGAGGGAAAACATGACGGATTACTTCATGTCGACTCCTGTCCATGGTTCACTCTAATTGTCACACTTTTTTACCGTTTGTGTGGAAAGACCTATTTACAAATTCAAATCAATTTGTGCAAATGTTATTGCTTCCAATACTGATGTTACTCCAGTAAGAAGCAGTGTGCTTCAAAACCAAAACTTGCACACACTCAGAGACCATTTTTTATTCACCTTTTAGCCCAAGATCCCTGTCAACCATCACCATGTCAGAATGGTGGCACTTGTTTCCAAGGCAGCACATCAGGCGGGTTCATCTGTACCTGTCCAACAGGCTTCACAGGAACTCAATGTCAAGACACAGTTGGTAAGTAGGTTCAATTTGGGCGATTTACAAAGATTGCGCCACCAAGAGTTTGCTATTGAGAGTCCATTTTTGGAGAGTTCATACATGTACGTGTGTGTTCAGCAGGTTCCTCAGGACCTCGATGTGAAAGCCCCATTGGTAAATAAACAGTTTTGTTCTTTAGTTGGATCACCCAGATTGGAGTTGTTTTAAATACAATTTGGTTTGGTACAACATTAATTTGTTTTCTTTGCCTGAATGGTGGGAATTGTGTCCAGTCTGGGGTGGTGCATTCTCTTGCACTTGTCCGCTTACATTAACAGGAGATCGATGTCAAAACTCCATAGGTAATTAGCATATCCATTGCAAGTTTGATGACTTTTTGGGGTGGAAAGTTTTTGAAATTTTCAAAATTCAGTTCTTTAATTAAAAGCTGTGAGCTATTCCCACATACCTTTTATAAGGTATATTTGTTCACTTTTCATCGTTAACAAATGTACCTTTTCTTTTCTTTGTCAATATTTTGCTTGATAAATCTGTAAAGTTTATTAAGTATATTTCATTGATATTAAATCAATCAATTAATAGGAAATTGGATGTAGAAAGAGGGAAAACATGACGGATTACTTCATGTCGACTCCTGTCCATGGTTCACTCTAATTGTCACACTTTTTTACCGTTTGTGTGGAAAGATCTATTTACAAATTCAAATCAATTTGTGCAAATGTTATTGCTTCCAATACTGATGTTACTCCAGTAAGAAGCAGTGTGCTTCAAAACCAAAACTTGCACACACTCAGAGACCATTTTTTATTCACCTTTTAGCCCAAGATCCCTGTCAACCATCACCATGTCAGAATGGTGGCACTTGTTTCCAAGGCAGCACATCAGGCGGGTTCATCTGTGGGTGTCCAACAGGCTTCACAGGAACTCAATGTCAAGACACAGTTGGTAAGTAAGGTTCAATTTGGGCGATTTACAAAGATTGCGCCACCAAGAGTTTGCTATTGAGAGTCCATTTTTGGAGAGTTCATACATGTACGTGTGTGTTCAGCAGGTTCCTCAGGACCTCGATGTGAAAGCCCCATCGGTAAATAAACAGTTTTGTTCTTTAGTTTGATCACCCAGATTGGAGTTGTTTTAAATACAATTTGGTTTGGTACAACATTAATTTGTTTTCTTTGCCTGAATGGTGGGAATTGTGTCCAGTCTGGGGTGGTGTTCTCTTGCACTTGTCCGCTAACATTAACAGGAGATCGATGTCAAAACTCCATAGGTAATTAGCATATCCATTGCAAGTTTGATGACTTTTTGGGGTGGAAAGTTTTTGAAATTTTCAAAATTCAGTTCTTTAATTAAAAGCTGTGAGCTATTCCCACATACCTTTTGTAAGGTATATTTGTTCACTTTTCATCGTTAACAAATGTACCTTTTCTTTTCTTTGTCAATATTTTGCTTGATAAATCTGTAAAGTTTATTAAGTATATTTCATTGATATTAAATCAATGAATTAATAGGAAATTGGATGTAGAAAGAGGGAAAACATGACGGATTACTTCATGTCGACTCCTGTCCATGGTTCACTCTAATTGTCACACTTTTTTACCGTTTGTGTGGAAAGATCTATTTACAAATTGAAATCAATTTGTGCAAATGTTATTGCTTCCAATACTGATGTTACTCCAGTAAGAAGCAGTGTGCTTCAAAACCAAAACTTGCACACACTCAGAGACCATTTTTTATTTACCTTTTAGCCCAAGATCCCTGTCAACCATCACCATGTCAGAATGGTGGCACTTGTTTCCAAGGCAGCACATCAGGCGGGTTCATCTGTACCTGTCCAACAGGCTTCACAGGAACTCAATGTCAAGACACAGTAGGTAAGTAGGTCCAATTTGGGCGATTTACAAAGATTGCGCCACCAAGAGTTTGCTATTGAGAGTCCATTTTTGGAGAGTTCATACATATACGTGTGTGTTCAGCAGGTTCCTCAGGACCTCGATGTGAAAGCCCCATCGGTAAATAAACAGTTTTGTTCTTTAGTTTGATCACCCAGTTTGGAGTTGTTTTAAATACAATTTGGTTTGGTACAACATTAATTTGTTTTCTTTGCCTGAATGGTGGGAATTGTGTCCAGTCTGGGGTGGTGATCTCTTGCACTTGTCCGCTAACATTAACAGGAGATCGATGTCAAAACCCCATAGGTAATTAGCATATCCATTGCAAGTTTGATGACTTTTTGGGGTGGAAAGTTTTTGAAATTTTCAAAATTCAGTTCTTTAATTAAAAGCTGTGAGCTATTCCCACATACCTTTTGTAAGGTATATTTGTTCACTTTTCATCGTTAACAAATGTACCTTTTCTTTTCTTTGTCAATATTTTTCTTGATAAATCTGTAAAGTTTTTCAAGTATATTTCATTGATATTAAATCAATCAATTAATAGGATATTGGATGTAGAAAGAGGGAAAACATGACGGATTACTTCACGTCGACTCCTGTCCATGGTTCCCTCTAATTGTCACACTTTTTTACCGTTTGTGTGGAAAGACCTATTTACAAATTCAAATCAATTTGTGCAAATGTTATTGCTTCCATTACTGATGTTACTCCAGTAAGAAGCAGTGTGCTTCAAAACCAAAACTTGCACACACTCAGAGACCGTTTTTTATTCACCTTTTAGCCCAAGATCCCTGTCAACCATCACCATGTCAGAATGGTGGCACTTGTTTCCAAGGCAGCACATCAGGCGGGTTCATCTGTGGGTGTCCAACAGGCTTCACAGGAACTCAATGTCAAGACACAGTTGGTAAGTAGGTTCAATTTGGGCGATTTACAAAGATTGCGCCACCAAGAGTTTGCTATTGAGAGTCCATTTTTGGAGAGTTCATACATGTACGTGTGTGTTCAGCAGGTTCCTCAGGACCTCGATGTGAAAGCCCCATCGGTAAATAAACAGTTTTGTTCTTTAGTTTGATCACCCAGTTTGGAGTTGTTTTAAATACAATTTGGTTTGGTACAACATTAATTTGTTTTCCTTGCCTGAATGGTGGGAATTGTGTCCCACGGTCTGGGGTGGTGATCCTTTGCACTTGTCCGCTTACATTAACAGGAGATCGATGTCAAAACCCCATTGGTAATTAGCATATCCATTGCAAGTTTGATGACTTATTGGGGTGCAAAGTTTTTCAAATTTTCAAAATTCAGTTCTTTAATTAAAAGCTGTGAGTTATTCCCACATACCTTTTGTAAGGTATATTTGTTCACTTTTCATCGTTAACAAATGTACCTTTTCTTTTCTTTGTCAATATTTTGCTTGATCAATCTGTAAAGTTTATCAAGTATATTTCATTGATATTAAATCAATCAATTAATAGGAAATTGGATGTAGAAAGAGGGAAAACATGACGGATTACTTCATGTCGACTCCTGTCCATGGTTCCCTCTAATTGTCACACTTTTTTACCGTTTGTGTGGAAAGACCTATTTACAAATTCAAATCAATTTGTGCAAATGTTATTGCTTCCAATACTGATGTTACTCCAGTAAGAAGCAGTGTGCTTCAAAACCAAAACTTGCACACACTCAGAGACCGTTTTTTATTCACCTTTTAGCCCAAGATCCCTGTCAACCATCACCATGTCAGAATGGTGGCACTTGTTTCCAAGGCAGCACATCAGGCGGGTTCATCTGTACCTGTCCAACAGGCTTCACAGGAACTCAATGTCAAGACACAGTTGGTAAGTAGGTTCAATTTGGGCGATTTACAAAGATTGCGCCACCAAGAGTTTGCTATTGAGAGTCCATTTTTGGAGAGTTCATACATATACGTGTGTGTTCAGCAGGTTCCTCAGGACCTCGATGTGAAAGCCCCATTGGTAAATAAACAGTTTTGTTCTTTAGTTTGATCACCCAGATTGGAGTTGTTTTAAATACAATTTGGTTTGGTACAACATTAATTTGTTTTCTTTGCCTGAATGGTGGGAATTGTGTCCAGTCTGGGGTGGTGATCTCTTGCACTTGTCTGCTAACATTAACAGGAGATCGATGTCAAAACCCCATAGGTAATTAGCATATCCATTGCAAGTTTGATGACTTTTTGGGGTGGAAAGTTTTTGAAATTTTCAAAATTCAGTTCTTTAATTAAAAGCTGTGAGCTATTCCCACATACCTTTTGTAAGGTATATTTGTTCACTTTTCATCGTTAACAAATGTACCTTTTCTTTTCTTTGTCAATATTTTGCTTGATAAATCTTGATATTGGATGTAGAAAGAGGGAAAACATGACGGATTACTTCATGTCGACTCCTGTCCATGGTTCCCTCTAATTGTCACACTTTTTTACCGTTTGTGTGGAAAGACCTATTTACAAATTCAAATCAATTTGTGCAAATGTTATTGCTACCATTACTGATGTTACTCCAGTAAGAAGCAGTGTGCTTCAAAACCAAAACTTGCACACACTCAGAGACCGTTTTTTATTCACCTTTTAGCCCAAGATCCCTGTCAACCATCACCATGCCAGAATGGTGGCACTTGTTTCCAAGGCAGCACATCAGGCGGGTTCATCTGTGGGTGTCCGACAGGTTTCATGGGAACACGATGTGAAATCCCCACTGGTAAATAACCACTTAAGGTCTTCAGTTGGATCACCTAGTGGTCATCTTTAAAAAAGGAATTTTAAGAGCAACTTTTTTTTCAATGTATAAACATATGTACAAATTTGGTTTTCTTTGTAAATATCTGATATGATCCATCTGAAAAGTTTGTACTGAATTTGTCATTTGTATTTCACCAATCAATTATAGATCCCTGTCAACCATCACCATGCCAGAATGGTGGCACTTGTTTCCAAGGCAGCACATCAGGCGGGTTCTTCTGTTCGTGTCCAACAGGTTTCATGGGAACACGATGTGAAATCCCCACTGGTAAATAACCACTTAAGGTCTTCAGTTTGATCACCTAGTGGTCATCTTTAAAAAAGGAATTTTAAGAGCAACTTTTTTTTCAATATATAAACATATGTACAAATTTGGTTTTCTTTGTAAATATCTGATATGATCCATCTGAAAAGTTTGTACTGAATTTGTCATTTGTATTTCACCAATCAATTATAGATCCCTGTCAACCATCGCCATGCCAGAATGGTGGCACTTGTTTCCAAGGCAGCACAACAGGCGGGTTCTTCTGTGGGTGTCCAACAGGTTTCATGGGAACACGATGTGAAATCCCCGATGGTAAATAAACACTTTAGGTCTTCAGTTTGATCACCTAGTGGTCATCTTTAAAAAAGGAATTTTGAGAGCAACTTTTTTTTCAGTAAATAAACATATGTACAAACTTGTTTTTTGTGTGTAAATATCTGACATGATCCATCTGAAAAGTTTGTACCAAATTTGTCATTTGTATTTCACCAATCAATTATAGATCCCTGTCAACCATCACCATGTCAGAATGGTGGAACTTGTTTCCAAGGCAGCACATCAGGCGGGTTCTTCTGTTCGTGTCCAACAGGTTTCATGGGAACACGATGTGAAATCCCCGTTGGTAAATAACCACTTAAGGTCTTCAGTTTGATCACCTAGTGGTCATCTTTAAAAAAGGAATTTTAAGAGCAGCTTTTTTTCAATATATAAACATATACAAATTTGGTTTTCTTTGTAAATATCTGATATGATCCATCTGAAAAGTTTGTACTGAATTTGTCATTTGTATTTCACCAATCAATTATAGATCCCTGTCAACCATCACCTTGCCAGAATGGTGGCACTTGTTTCCAAGGCAGCACATCAGGCGGGTTCTTCTGTTCGTGTCCAACAGGTTTCATGGGAGCACGATGTGAAATCCCCGTTGGTAATAACCACTTTAGGTCTTCAGTTTGATCACCTAGTGGTCATCTTTAAAAAAGGAATTTTAAGAGCAGCTTTTTTTCAGTAAATAAACATATGTACAAACTTGTTTTTTGTGTGTAAATATCTGACATGATCCATCTGAAAAGTTTGTACTGAATTCGTCATTTGTATTTCACCAATCAATTATAGATCCCTGTCAACCATCACCATGCCAGAATGGTGGCACTTGTTTCCAAGGCAGCACATCAGGCATGTTCCTCTGTTCGTGTCCAACAGGCTTCACAGGAACTCGATGTGAAAGCCCTGTTGGTAAGTTACCACTTTAGTTCTTCTGTTTGATCACCAAGTGTTTCTGTCCCCCGAACAAAGTTTTGGGGGACACTTACTAATCCTAAATTCTGTATCTCTGTATCTCCTTATGACCGTCTGTTAAAGTTTAGGCTATCTTTTTGAGAAAAATTGGATGCAGTGTCCCTAGGGGACCCTAGGGTCACTGCAACACAAAACATATAAGCCTAGACTGCAAATAAAGGCAACACGTGATTTGTGGATCACTTGTTAAATGCAGTGATCATCCGTAAAGGAGAATGTTCAGGGCACACGTTCACTTTTCATTGTAAACAACTTTACCTTTTCTTTTTTGTTTATCAAAAATTCCTCTTTTTTTAAAATAAAATTAATCAATTACAGATCCCTGCCAACCATCACCGTGCCAAAATGGTGGCAATTGTTTCCAAGGCAGCACATCAAACCAGTACATCTGTGTGTGTCCAGCAGGTTTCACAGGAACTCATTGTGACGTTGGTAAATAAATCTCAATTTCTTGTGAGGAACGTTCAAAGTAAGGGCAACAATGGCTCAGATTTCAAGACACTAAGCAGTATTATATTGTAATAAGGGAGCACTTTCCAACAGCTAGCTGGCGCCCTACAAATTTGACTTTGCAGTCGTGCGTGTGCGTCGCATTCGCGTTCGCACGATGTTACGCATGTTACCAGAAATAAGGGGAAGTTGTTTATCCTGTGTAGAGGATCCGTGATTTGATCAACACCAATTTGAAAAAAAAACAAACAAGTGCACTCAAGAAATACTTATTTTGCTCATTCATATTCTGCCACATTTTAGCTGGCTGTCAGCCCAATCCATGTCGGAATAACGGAATATGCAGCTTTGTGGCAAACCAGGCTTTTTGCCAATGCTTCAACGGCTACACTGGACAATTCTGTGCAACTCCTCCAGGTACGAGATTCTTTTTTTCAAAACTTGTGCAAAAAATAACATTGGACTCAGAGAATATATACTTTGTACTGTAGTCTTGTGGATGCATTTTTAAGTCTGATCCAGGCTTTCCAAGCTGACTGGTTTGATGTTTAGTCTTGAGTCCAAATTTGTAATGGTTTCAGCCTTAACAAAAACCCACTTTAATTGCAAGTACTGATGTGTCACTGAAAATAGTGTGGAGAAGAAAAATCAGACATAAAAGTTTATATTGTACAAAAATACTAAACTGACTTTTTATAATCACCATAATGTATAACGTTGATACCAAACATATTTTGATTTCCTAACCCTCAACTTTCTTTTCCCAAATTGCAATGTATAGCCCCAGTCACACATTTACGTTTGGAGCTACGAATATCCACGATTTACCAAGAATCAATCGATCACAATGAACCATCGAGATTCGTGGAGAAGTCAACTTTCTAAGAATGCACTACGGTTTCAGGACGGATAGCCACGGCTGTCCTAAGGTTTCTGTACAAATACACCACGGTTTGTCAAGAATATAAACGGATTGTTGAAGAATATCGCCGGTATTACTAAGAATAATGACGTTAACGCCATGGTTGTCTGCGATTGGGCCATAGATGACCAAGGTTTTCCTACGAATAAAGCATACATATTTGTAGTACAACCTTGGCAGAACCCTAGCATATCCGGGCATATCCGTAGGACAGTCGTATAACGATCTTGTAGAGATATTCTACCACGAATGAGCTACGAATCTCCAAGAGTACGAATAACACTACAAATTAGTGCGGTTGTCCTACAGATGTCCCACGGTTGCACTATACGGATTGATTTTCATGACGATTCACCACGGAAGTTTGGACAAGTTTAAAAGTTCCGTAGCCCCTCCACGAATACCCAAGGAAGATGACGGACAACCACGGACGTACTAAGGATGAATACAGTATTCCCACGGTTTAACACGAAGTTTAAACCGTAGATATCCGTAGCTCCAAACCGTGAATGTGTGACTGGGGCTCATGTCATGTCAAGGGGTTGAGGAGTTGTGATCAAAGGTCGTAGCCATTGCCAAAGCTTTCATAGTATGCCTACTGAAGGAATATACTTTTGTTAATTCTCCCTCCCGTTATAAGCGCAGCTATGAGCCACAGACAGAGATCTCTTTGTTTTGTGCATTGCAGCTGCATCTTTGTGTATTTTGATTGCCCCCCTCCCCCTAAGTTGATCATCTTTTCCCCTTGTCAAATAGTGACGCTAATAACCTGTAACTCCTCCTTGGATATCTATTTGTGTAGATTTATGTGCCATCAATCCGTGTCTGAATGGCGGCACCTGTAGGCAAATTTCTGATCTGGTGCACATGTGTGTCTGCCCCATTGGCTACAACGGGGCAGACTGCGAAATTCCACCGGGTAAGTTACCATCATATTTGTTTAGGAGCATGCCCGAAATGGTCTCCAAATAAACAACATAAGTACACGTAATTTACAAAACAAAACCAAATTGTATACTGATGGTTGCATTTAACCAAGTGTTCGTTTTTTTCACAGCAACTCATAAGAATTGAACAAAATTTGAATACAAAAAAAAAAATGGGAGAGCGGTTGAAAATGCTTGTGAAGTTTTGACACGTTTTCATAGGCTGTGAAAATTATGATCCTTTTTCTTGAAATCCTGCCTCTAATTTCAAAGCCTTAATTAGCAATGTCCCCCATCCCACATGGAGCAGGAGTAGGTTGGGTAAAGTCCTAATAGCTATTTTCATATGTCACTTGTTAAATTTATTTTTTAACCCTTCCATGCTTGAATTGGCATGGTGAGATCATAGAAGCAAACCGACCGAACAATTGATCACTTCATGAATTGAATGGTTGCTCCTGTAAAGTAATGGGGCTCTCTAAACTCCCAATCAATTCAGCATGCAAACTTGGGCCAAGTTCGGGCAAGGACCATTAGTCGACTAGAGGTTGATTTGTGACGTACCTTATGCCTGCGCACTAATAGCAACATGCGAACGTCTCTAGTCAAACGCTGGTCAAAATGTCATCGCAAAACTTCTGGATCCTGGCTCTCTGCTAGCGTTATGAATGCGCGCGGCTATTGGTTACCAGCGAAGCAACCAACCCCAGTAGGCTGGTTCCAAATAGTCGACTAGCGTAGTCAACCACCGTCGACTAGACAAAGTTTGGGCAAACGTTAGTTAACCATTGGTCAACTATAGTCCTTGCGCGAACTTGGCCTCAGCTCCGTGTGCCAACAAAAGAGGGCGTTTTTTTTACCACTTTTGAGAGCCCCGTGGACGGGACACACAGCATGTGTTCGTGCGCGAAGTATGCACAACTTCTTCAATATGCCAAAGTTATTAGCTACAGTGCGCGTCTTTGCGTAAGCATTGTCGGCACGCGAATGTGTTCGAATTTATCTTGCAATGGTCTCCCAGACTAATCCCCGCCCCCAATAACTTTGAAACATTCGAAATACGCAGTGGATGGACTGGGAACCAATCTAGGTCTCCCCCAACTCTCCTTTTGTGGTTGTTGAAAAGGTCTTGTGCATGGAGCCCATAGGGTTAATGGAACAAAATAAAGTTGATCATTAGGCCAAAAAAAAAAGTCTCCGGTTTCTGGTATGGAGCTTGCCCCAAAAAGTGGCTTTTTTTTTTTTTACCGATTTTTTCCTTCAAATGTCGGCTGATGACTGCAAATGGTGCCCGACTAAATTTAGTGCAAATAAATGGGAGTCCAGAGAGGCCACATAAAGCTTATTCTCGATCGCAACCCCATCTAAAAACACGTTAAAATTGTGCAGCAGCAGGATTCCAGTCAAAGCAGTGAGTTTGGCGGTTTTGAGACATCATCTTTCATTGAAAAAAAAACTTTTTCATTTTGCCGATGCGCATGGCTACGGCGACGCGCGCATACCAGAAACCGGAGCCTTTTTTTGTGTGCCTTATATGACTATAACAATATGCAACTTTCAGGTATTTGCTCAAGTCAGCCGTGTCTGAATGGAGGGACCTGTTTTGATCAAATGACAAGTTTCAACTGCATGTGTACTGCTGAGTTCACAGGTCCTACCTGCAACATTCCCGGTGAGAACATTTAAAAAAAAAAGAAATCTTTTCTATCTGATACTATCCTGTAGTGTACCGTGTCAGAACATTGGATCTCTTCAGTCAGCCAATTTTGATGAAAATTTTAATGTCTGTGTGGTTTGTATGAACAAGGATTTGCCAAAGATATGGGACTTTATAAAAATATAACAATTATGTGTTTGAGAGCGAAAAAATTAAAGTGGTTAAACGAACCAGGAGCCAATTTCACGAAACTTGTCTTATCTTGCAACTCATCTTAGGACTTAAGATGAGTCCCCGCTCGAAGATTGATCTTAGCTAAGACGCGTTCTAAGATTGATCAAAGACGCATCAAAACTACCAATTTGATGGCTCTTTCATGTTTGTTTTTACCGCTTGACAATTTACCGCTTGACAGTTATTGGAAATAAACGCGCAAGACCAATTTCTTGCGCGCGAAATTGGTTTCTTTTCAATGACTTTTACGTCAAGCGGTAAAACAAACATGCACATGCACATAGAACAAGAACTTTGGCCAGAAAAATTACTGTTCTCAATAGATTTTAAACACAAGGTAGTTCTACACAAGATGCGATAGAGTCATTCTTGGTCCCCATTTCGTCACTCTATTTTAAAAAGTCGACTAGTTGTTGGCATATAATTACATCTTGTAAATAATTTATTTTCATTAAACCTACCCACATATCAGAAATCTTTTCAAATCTGTCTCTACAGCGGTTTTCTTTCTTGAAACTATTACTCTAAGCCAGCATTCGTCTTTAACAAGAAGATATTGTAATGATTTCCGGACGACTATACAAATGAGCCTAGCATTAAGGAGATAAGGTGACCCTCAGACCGATCTTAAGAGAAGACGAGTTCAGCTTCCTTGCTAAGGAAGATAGGATGTATTGAGCATCTTAAGTTTGGTGAAATCGATCTTAGGACGAGCCGCGAGTTGAGACAAGTTACCCTTCCTTAGATGCATCTTACCATTTCATGAAATCGGCCCCGGAACAAGGACTGTACCCGTCTGGGATGGGTGTCTTAATCACTCACCCAGGTTTGGTTTGATTGCAAGTGTATGCATGCTTTATGCCACTGATTTTCCCCCAGACAGCAGATTCACTGATGCAGGTTGTGGGTTTGAGTCCACATCCACGGACCATCTGTCACAGCAAAGCAAAATTCCTTCTTTTGCCATCCCCAGACATTTAACATCCCATTAACTTCCTGATTTCCAGTGTCATTCACCTTGCACACCCATGGCTCCATACATGCACATACCCTCTATTCCGTTGTGTCACTTTCTCACCTTATCTCTATCGGTTGCCTCTTGAACAAAAATATTAACAAAACTGACCATTCAAGATGTGGTAAAAATATGATAACCTAATCCCTTTTCTTTCCTTAACATCCTTATATTTTGTTTGAAATGAGTGGAAAGATCCCAGTTGTTCCACCGTAACTTTGTACTTCCACTCTGTTTTCCACGAACTGCTTCCACTCATGAGAACTAAGATGTATTACAGGGATGTAGTCTAGTCCATCACTTGTCCCTGCAAGTCCATCACAAGTCCTCCAGTCCCAATTCAACTTGGAAGCTATTTGAATGAGCTTTGACAAAGCATTCCTTTGTAGTTGTTCATCCACTGTGCTGGTGACTGGACATGTGTTGGACTTGGTGACTAAATCCCCGATGTATTTCCTTCCATCAAACTATCATTTGTGCATCAGCTGTTACTGTATGTCCATCATTGTTTTCATTTGTGCCTGTTTTCCCCCCATTCTTCTGCACGTGACATTTCTATGCTTATTTCACGTGGCGTTACGGTTTAGTCTGTCTCTGTTATTCGTGTTCATCCTGTATCCATTTCACATACCTGCATGTCGCCTTTCCATTCATTCACGTCAGTCGACAATACCCACCCGTGTAACCCAAGCCCCTGCCAAAACGGGGCAACATGTTACAGAGAACATGAATCGGAGATCACCTACTTCTGCTTTTGCACCGCCAACTATTTTGGCAAAACTTGTCAAACTGTGATCCCTGGTAAGTTCAGGTGCCTGTCATCATCATCGCTCCCCTTCTGGCTTGCTGGTAGTTCCTGGCCGCATCTCACCTCTAACAAGACTTTAGTTTTCTGTTTGAGTTGGGGTTGGGGAGGGGAAAGAGAAATAGAAAAATGGAGCCTAGTGGAGGAAAATGTTTGGATTGTGCTGCATTTGTCAGTAAGTAGATTTCATAGATATTGCAGAAACTAACCACCTGAAAGCAAATTTTTCCTGGTGCAGAATAAAGTCCAGTCTTCAAATCAGTAGATATATGCCAATGTGACTGTTGACATTGGCTTACTGGTTGATCATTCTTGTTCCGTACCCTTGCACATTGCACATAATTTTAAAGAATTGTAATGCAAAATAATTATGACTGACCTTGGTTTAAAAAAAACCCAAGGCTTGTACAAGAACTGCAACCATGTGTTGCTTGAGAATAATAATTTCCAAACTGGTGTTTTATTTGGTGGAATTTTGCCGTACTCTGATAAAATAGACCACCCATTATCATTGCTGCCTTTGCTGCTACATTTGTTTTTAATGAGTGGACTAAAACAAACGTAGCTATTTTAGTGGCGTAAACAAAACAGCTTGCTCATATACATTTAAAAGTGCAGCATCAATACTTCAGAAAAAAAAAGCAACATGGATGCCATCTATAGTCTTATAGATCATCGTTCATCATGATAATAGTTATAGTGTGGTGCTTCTATAGAGCTGTATACCAAAGTCTCAAAGCGTTTCACAACATGAATTATCTTCAGGTCGGGTAAATATTTACTGATATAGTCACCTTGAAATAGACACAAAAGCCTAGAACAGTGCAAACCTGAACACAGTGCTTTAAAAGCTGTCAACCCAGTCTGTGTAGCCAGGCAAGAATGGAAAATTATAAATTCAAATTATCCTAACTGAGATTTCAAATTTAGATGCAGTGTATAGAAAAGGTAGTTTAAAGCTACTTTGTTAGTCCATACTGATTTACATTTTGTCCTTGATATGGGTTTCGTGCGCTGCCATCAGCGAAAGAGGGCACCCTTTTACCTAGCAACGACGTCCCCATGGGTGGGACATTTAAGCTGGTTGACGCGCACCGTTCCTTGTGTGTGACGCACGTACACCAGCAGCTGCAGGGGATTTGTACAATGTACACGCAGCGGTACGGCCGCGCGTCGCGGCAAAATTGCAGTCAGGCAAGATGGCGTCGGTCGGTCACCCCAACTGTACTTTCTTTGCCGGTGAGGGGGTACTTGTGAACGGAGCGGATAGTATCAATATTTCTGTTTCCTTTTTGTCTTTTACTCACAGCGGGTACTGCATGTGACTCTAGCCCATGTCAGAACAATGCTGTCTGTTCACCTTACGAAGTTGGAAGAGGCTACGCTTGTATTTGCCCTCCAAGATTCATTGGTGTCCATTGTGAAATCTGTGAGTATATCTCTTTAGGCAAAGTTAATTGATGCCTTTATTATTTTCTTATGTTGGCATATGTGCCCGTATTGGAACAGTTATAGGAAAAAAAAATGGAACCTGATGCCACTTCCGCAATTGTGTACAAAGTCTATGGAGAGTCCAGAAAAGTATTTCCTAACAAAATTGGAAATGTTTCTCAGTCCCAGATTCATGTCTTATCATTTTTGCAACGAATGACCTTCATTGAGATGATATAAGAAGAAAAAGTGACGTCAGTCTGCAACATTTTTTCCCAGGTTATATTATGTGAGTAAGTGTGCTACAAGATGAGTTTCCAGAGATTTTGAATCAATCACAGCAGTGGCTGACAGAGATAACATCAGCTGAGTGAGTGTTACTATCCACTCTACAAATTGTCAGTGCTGATTAAATTAGCCAAAGCCCCCATCTTTTGACCACACCTTAAATAGAATCCACATTGTACTTTACTGACACTGCAATGGAAATGTGTATGTTTGATGACCCTTCAGAGCTAGGTGTGATTGTTATCTCATGTTATTTGCGTAACAATGTCAAAATAACCTGTGAAAACCTGTATAAAAGTTCCACTGCGGGGGTACTATGGCATTCAACATATATTCACCAGGCTTTGTTTGCTTGGGTTGAGCTGATGAGAGCCTGGAATGTTCACCACATTTCTCTTTTGTAATCAAGAAACAAGAATATTACTCATTAAAGCTAGAGTCCATCATTTGCAGCTATCTGAAAAGTAACTGGCGTCATTATTGTTGAAAAACATTCTTGGTTGAAAGGTAGTAAGGGGACTAAACTCCCTGTGAAATTATTCTTTCTGGCAAGCTGTCATTTTGAAGAAATCAACAAAAGAAGGCCTTTCCATTGCAACGGTGCTTCTTAAGATGCACTGTAGGAAATTTAAATTAGTAGTTCGTTTTGTTATTTGGCGAGGCGCGCGCGGTTGCTATAATTTGTCGGATCAGTGTTTGACATCGCGTAGCTGAAATCGGCTCAGTGAGAACGTGTATCAGAAGCTGAATTCAGGCCCAATTCAAAACATGATTCAGCAACTTTTGATTTGAAATCGAGATCCTAGAATGCTCTTTTTCTCGGAATATACAGCTGAAGCTGAGCTGAAACTTCATCAGGTAGGTTAGTTGTTCAGTACCCTCCTTTAGATTTTGAGCACTTTCGTTGCTTCAAACGAACAGAATGCATAAATTACAAATGATGGACTATACCTTTAATGTGTAAGATTTTTATAAGTCATGTAAGATTTAATAATGTTCAATATTAGGTTTTGCCCTTCACTGACATATTTTATGTTGTCCCAAGTGATTGTGAGAAAAAAATCACTTGGGTGGGACTGAAACCCACGACCTCCTGCTTATTGCAGACGTCTTCTCTTACCAGTCGATCACCAAGCTTGCCCGGGTCGACAGGTTGGTTAGAATCTGATATGTCAGCGGGTATCGCAATGTCAGTGAAGGTCAAAACCCAATATTGAATTGTATCACCCCGACGCAAATTCCATAATTTAATAATGTGTTGCTTAGATTGGAGTAAAAGACAAAGTTGGTTCCAGATGTTCAATAGAAACTCTGCTCACTTTTTAACTGAGTACTAGGAACTGATCATCGGGTATTATCATATTATTTCGACACATCATGGGTGGCTAGTGCATAAAGTGCTTGCCTCTCATCATTGTGGCCCGGGTTCGATTCCTGGCTCGGACCATATGTGAATAGAGTTGTTCATTGATTCTCTCCTGTGCCGCGAGGGTTTTTGTACGGGCCCTCCGGTTTTCCTCCCTCCGCAAAATTCAACCCTTTCGATCTCTGGCTGTGCTCCATGGTCAGACAAAGCTCGTATGGCGGCAGCCTGAGGCGTCTTTACATTCCTTTGGCTCAACCATGTTGAAGCCATGTCACATAACCTGAACCCCATCTCCACTTCATCAGAGAATAACTGATTATTTGACTGGTCATCTAGATCAAATGCCGTGTGAATCGTCGCCTTGTGAGAATGGAGGCACATGCCAACACAACGGTTTTGGCTTTTTCACGTGCGTGTGCCCTGCGGGTTTCACTGGGAGAGTGTGTACGACTGGTAAGACAGACTTTCTGGAGTATCCCCCTATTCTCAGGGGATCATCTTTGACCCTTTAACATTGTCGTAGTTTGCCGTGGGGCAATCACTGATAATGATACTAATGACATTAATGACATACAGCAATTGACGTCTGGACTAACGTTAGTAACGCCCCTTAGACAACCCTATGAAAATGTGTACGTTAAATTTTGTTGTCTCAGATTTTGCGCGTTCCGCGTCCATTTGAGTATTATGCAATTCGACAATATTTCACAAGCTGCATTGACGCGATACCACCACGATAGGTCAAAAATTGATAATTTGCATGCGCTTTTAAAATTTTGTTGGGGGTGTTTGTTTGGTATATGGGCTTGAACGGGCTTGGACTGAAGGCCGGTTCAAACAAATGCTAATGTGAATGTGAAGCCAATTGATGTTTTGAAACATTTGACATGCGTTCCATTTGTAACAATTTGCAGCCCGAATAATTGCCATGATGTCACAAATATGTGTTCATGTTCGCTCTCAGGTCGATTTTGAACCAGCCTTTTTACACAATCATTGCATATTAGAGATGCCATTCTGACTTCAAATTTGTTACAAGTAGTGATCCTTACAATCAAACAGCCGGTGTATACCGTGTAAAGCTCAGTCATTCAGTATTTTATCCCATACTTTCTACAGTGTCACAAACTGCTGCAAATGGCAGAATAAGACTTGCACCAGACTTGTCACACTTGCAATGCTGCATGTTACAAAACCTTGTTCCTCTTGTTACTTTGTGGGCTAAAATGAGTTATAAATTTTAAGAGTACTGGTGGGATGGCATAGTTAATTTTTCTAATGAAGTACCTTTGTACTTGATCTAATGGTGTACATCTGTAGTCAGTAGTAGTTTAGGACTTGACAGTAGTTTTTACACTTGCCAGTAAGCTCAGATTTTTGATATCTGCATTTTGTTTTATGGTTCATTCTATAAATTTGGGGTGGCATTTTTTCCTGTCCCTGTTACATCTGACATCTATGATTTTATAATGCTGGCTGCACTCCTTAATGTATTCTTCCGCTAAGAGTGATTATGTGAAACAATCGACCTACCCCCCCCCCCCAAATAGTTTGAAGATGTTTGTAATGACACATGACTGGCAACTTACAAAGTTCAGAGGTATTAGGGGCAGGAAATATGCCACACTTTGGACCCTAAATTTATAGAATAACCCTTATTGCTAGACGTCACCAAGAACTTGGTTTGCGTCATCTTTTATACTGACGATGCAGCCATTTGAGCATGGTTCGGACTTGTGGTAATACCACAAAGGCTTTTTGTCACTTGATTGGATATCCAATGATGCTGCGAACATGCACGATATCACATATTGTCACTGATGAGCATATAGGGTATGCGTATGGCTTGATGTATGAACGATTTTTATCTATAGCCCGGTTCATACTTCACGCGAAAGCGAAGTGAAATTTGTGACGTCAACAATACGTTCGAAGCGCGTCCACCATTGTTGACGACAGGAATTTCGCTTCGCACTTGCTTTCGCGTGAAGTATGAACCGGGCTTAACTGTGCAAAAACCGTAGCCTCTTTGCATGAATACCAGGCGTATATGGCGGCAATCTGTTCAACTATTCAAGAGCCGCGCTTTATGCTGTCTTTGTAACAAGCCAGTTCGGTATCTCGATGAAGTAGTCCAAGTCAAAGGTCATTCGGTATAAGGCAAAAAAAAAAAATAAGTCGGTCTCTGGTCAGCGCGTGCATCGATTTTAATCATGCGCGTCAATCTTTTTTTTTTCAAAATGTTCCGCGGTAGCTCCAACAGCGCCCTCTATTGCTGCACTTCCTCAACTTTTTCTACCAAAGAACACCAAGGAATTAGAAATTGCACCAAGGCAAATGATCGAGAGCACCAAGGCAAATTATGGAGGACACCAATGTTCATGAGGACACCAAAAAAGCAAAATAGTACCCCACCTTGTCTGTACAATCCAAGCTTGAAGAAAAAAAAAAAAGCCAAAAAAAAAAAAAAGCCCCGTCGCCGCGTCAATTCCGGAACTTTGGTCTGACCAGAGACCGACTATTTTTTTTTTGCCTAAAATGGAAGCGTCTTGTATTACCGCAATGTTACCTGAACGCCCATACTATAATTCACATGCGAGCATCGTGCTTCCGTCTCCTTGCGCGTTCATGTGTGTTCGATGAGCATTTATTCAATTATCCGAAAGACCAGTGACCCATTTCGTTGCGCGCATGCGCAGTTGAAATGCTGAACTGGTTTATTGAGAAAATACTTGTGCGCAGTCTTGGGTTCTAATGGTATGATTTTGGCTGTATTTTTAAACTTAGTTTTGTTCTTTGCATGAGTGCACGTTAACCTTATATAACTAATATTCTTCAACAGATGTTAATATTATGTTAACTTCTTTGCTAACCTTTGCTGTTTGTGCATGATCTTGATCTTGACCTTGATGCATGAATGACTAATATCTTATTTCGCAGAGCAGCATGGAGGAAACACACCTTAAATGATTATCTGATTAAACACTTAAAACACGCTGTACGTTGATGACGGACGACATTCAAATTTTACACGTTTTATGCAAAAAAAGTTGTCAGGTTGTAAATTGCTTTACAGAAAACCGGTCAGTTCCATTTTTACAGTACGACGTTCAAACCATTTTCTTCAGAAGTAATATCATGGAATGCTTAAAAGCAAGCACAAGAGTTATTTTCCAAGAACGAATTGCTGTGTGATTGCTACTACATGCATGATTAGCCACCTCCTTGATGTTTCCATTCATTTATTAATTCTGCCATTCACCACTAATGTAGTATATCACCAGTCAATGATATAAATCACCCAGTTATTTAAAATCATTTAATCATTCATCCTGACCCATTACAATTCTACTAATGATAGCAATCTTCTAGCTGAATCGAAACTTAATACAGTCTTATTTCAAAAAGGATATTGAAATTTATCCCATATATTCCCCTGATTTGAGGAAAAGTTTTGACAAAAACTGATTTGTCTTCACACTGTACGTCTTTCTTATACACAGCTGTGGATGCCTGCATATCCTCACCCTGTAGGAACGGAGGGATGTGTGCACCAAGTGGCGACGATTACATCTGCACTTGCCCTCCGGGCTACATGGGCAACAGATGCGAAATTTGTAATTAATTCATTTTCTTCTGCTATTTAGTTAATTTTCTGGGTGTAGTATAAAAGAATATGTACTGCTTAACCATTTCAGAGGCAGTTAATAAATACTGTAAATGAAATGTTTATTACATGTAATCATGGTTGTAGGTCAGACTATTTGTCTGACATCCCAATTAGAAGAAAATGCACTTGTTTCTTTCAAACATTTTCACAACAAGAAGTAGAAAACAATTTGGGGGGAAAAAGTCATCTTCCTGTAGCATCAAGAACTACTTAAGGAGTTACTTATCATATGTGACCACATTCCACGAGTCTTCAGGACTTTCTTTTACTGTTTCATTTTCCATATGCATTAGAAAGAATATACTCAGCTCTTCATGTCGATATTGGACTCAGTTTGACAAGTACTTGTCTTAAGACATGTAAATCAAAAATAGCTTACTGCAGGCAACATTGTACCAAGGGCGTCAATCGCTTCTCAAAAGTTTGGGGGGGGGGGGGGAGGAACATAACTTGATCAGAACTAATGCGAGCGCAAAGAGCAGGTCCCGAACAATTTTGGATTCTAGATGCTCTGTGGTGCAATCTGAGGCAATTTCTAACAACTTCAACTATTTGTTTTTAGCAAAAGATCATCATTTAAACATCATTTTTGAGTTTGGAGTCTTTGTATTAGCTATTCTGAGCTATAGAACCAAATGTAGGTAACAACTTTTATTCAGGGATGAAAAAAGTGGGGAGGGGGGGGGGGGGTTACAAACGATGTGATATCCCCCCCCTCCCATGGACCCCCTTTGTCTTATTTTGACCAACGTAACAATAGTTGCTTGTGGAATCTATTTCCTCCCCAGACCGCCCGTGCAGCTCCAGCCCCTGTTTGAACGGCGGTACATGCACTGAAGACTCAACTGACATTGATGGCTACATATGCACCTGCGCTGCTATGTTTATGGGGAATAACTGTGAAGTAGAAATGCGTAAGTTGAATTTCTAGTCTCTATGTATGCTTCTTCACACTGATATTACTAAACTGAATGCCTTTAACTACTTATCTAATTAAACTAAATGATCATATTGATATGGTTATAGCATAGAGCTATTGTAAATTCCCATTACTGTAGGCCTACCTTTTATGAGACATGTTTTCGACATAAGTTATACCCTAGAGAGACACCGAACATTAGGGAGATATTTCTATGTCTCCCTAAAGTCACAACTCCTTTTTAGAGGCAAAGGGCTAGATCGATTGCTTGTGGCCCAAAACATAAATATACCAAAATTTGTGGGGGTAGGATAAGAGAAAAATTGGGGTTAGGGGTCATTAAAGTTGGAAAAAAGTTGCACGGGAATGTTTCCCTAATGTGCCATTTCCCGTAATAATTATTACTAGAGCGCTAACTCCTCATTCCATTGCATAGAATATCTTTGGACACCTTGTGAGTGCAGACATATTGATTGTGGTATATCTTGAATGGTATTTTACCAGTGGGGCCACTGGGGTGTAACCCGAGAGTATGGGCTCCGTGCACAAGTACCCCAACAACGGCCAGAAAAGGAGAGCTAGGGGGGATTAGTCTGGGAGACCATCACAAGTTAAATTTAAACGTATTCGCGCGCCGACGACACCTGATGCTCACGTGCGAAGACGCTATGGCTTAAGTTTGAGCACATTCTGGATAAAAAGTCGTGCGTACTCGCGCGCGAACCAGTACAGTACGCACATGCGGTGTCAAAAGTGGTTAAAACGCGCCCTCTTTTGTTGGCGCACGGAGCCCATAAGGGTATAAGTATAGGCTAAGTTGAAAAGTTTGAAGAAAAAAAATCTCAACAGAAAAGGATATGCCTGTTTACTGGCATATACATGGTAATGCTCATTTACTGACTGTGAGTTTTTCTTTTTTGGGGCACATACAGATGTGCATAAAGCTTTTCAAAAAACTGCACACAATTTCAAACTTTCCGTAGGTTTGTGCACAATTATGGATTCAATACTAGAGCGCCTATGAACTCCTCATTCCATTGCATAGAATAACTTTGGACACTTTCTCAGCGCACTTTTGTTGAGCAGGTTACATTGCATACTGATTGTTAGCTCTCAATGAAACAAAGTTATGGAATTTATGGAATTTACGGAATTTTAAACACGACCACCATTTTTAAGTTCTGTCTACGAATCACAAAAAAGGTGTGCATTCTTTCAGCAAAATGAAAACAATTCACACACATCCCTACGGTGACTTGTTTTTGTTTTGCTGAAAGAACACTTGCCTTTTTGTGATCCCTGGACAGAACTTTAAAACAGTTCCGTAACATAAAAATTACGTGACTGATTTGAATGATTTTTGTACTAAAAGAAAGCTTATGAATTGGGCTTTCATATCTTAGATTTTTAAAGTGCTACATGCAGAACTTCACTAAAACAATGGTCCCGATATCTGGGTGTTTTTTTTACTCACCTGTATTTCCCTTCCTGTTTCCCCACAGCTACTGCCTGCAGACCTACCAATCCTTGCCAGAATGGAGGAAACTGTTCCCTGGTCCCAGGAGCACCTGATCAGTTTACTTGTCTCTGTCCACCACAGTACGAAGGGGAAAATTGTGAGACAGGTAGGCAGACTTGTTGGTTGTTCTTTAAACTCAACAAAGTTCAAGTGAAATATCAACATACTCTTTCTCTCTCTTTATATTATTTCTTGATTGTGATCATCATTTTGAGTGGCACTTGGTCTTGTGGTTGGCGATTTTCATTATAAAATAGACATTTTTTTTTGTTTGCGCAGGATCAGTGAAATCAAACTCAGTGTATTGAAAGACATATTTCGATTTGCAAGTTTGTACATTTGTCTTAGTGAAACAGCTGCTTATATTGATAAAGAATGTGTTATTGATGATGAAAACTTTTTGTTCTTCTGAAACTAGGATATGCTTATGCACATAAGAAATTTCCATTGTTATATTTCGTTTAAAATGTGTGTTACTGGTAAATAAATGAACTCGGCATCATATAGGTTAAGTTATATTAGTAATTTATGGGTGAGTAACCATCCAGGACCAATTGCACATTATATGGGACTTTTTATTTTGGTTTTTTTTTCCCATAATTCCCCTCAATCTAATCGTTCATACCATGCGTATAACATTTATTCATAAATACCTAAGACAGTTTACCAATTCCCATTGGTTGAGAGCCTGTCACGTGGCCGATTTTAAACAGTTGATAAAATATGGCTGGCTGGTCTTAAACACTTTTCAAGTGTCACATGAAATTTTTACTTCTATGAAATCCGGTGCCAGCACTGTTTTATTGGTTGAACCTTCACAATCCTCACGTAGGCATGCGCAATACTACCAGTGAATCTGTTTTTTTTTAGTCCTAAATTCACACCAACTGGTACAGCTGCATTCTGCACCAAATTGTGCAGTACGTGGCACGCGCACTGAACTCCATATAAGGACATTTTTAGTACAACTTGGAGAGACACATAAACGTACATGTAGCTAGTGGGGTGTTTAAAAAAACATGAAGTAAAATTGTCGAACAAAATCGTTCGAAATTTATAATTTTTTACTTTATCAGCATCCAGGCTCCCGGCCGGTTTAAAACGTAATTGTTTAAAACCGGCCAAGCACATAAATTATTCCCTTAATGATAGCATGGTACTGCTATTCTGGCCTTGGCATTCACACACATAATGTCTGAAAAGATGTGAATACAAACCTTGTACTTTCCATGTTTTGTTTTGTTTCAGAGATTGGCATGTGCCCAGATATGTACTGCCAGAATGGTGGGACGTGCGCGGTCATGACCATCCCTCAACCACCAGGTGCCACACCCATGTACAATTACACTTGTACTTGTCCAATCACCCACACTGGTGATCAGTGTGAAATGGGTAAGACTATTTTCTTCTCAGTGTTTACCAGAGTGAAAACAAATATGCAAGGTGGCATATTGGGCAGAAGTTGTTTGCATGAATGTTGAAGGCTGTAATTTCAAAGAGGACACTCGTTAAAAAGGTACAGATGCTGCTCTTTTAAGACATTTAATCCTCATTCTTGCTTTTGTGCAGACCATGCAAGCTGGCGGTAGCGTTAACTGTGGCACTGACTGACATTGCCATTATACTGCAGGGTATCTTGAAAAAAAAACCGAACCTTCAAAGTGTCCTCTTTTCACAGCTTTAAAAAAATACATCGCAAATATTTTATACATATTTAGAGAGTATAATCCATTGGCGTTTCAACAACGTAAAACTTTTTCCATTCAGGTGAATATTTATTGAGTTATGGCCAATTGAAAACAAGTACCACCTTTTGATTTTGTCCACGGCGACTGACATTTTGACTGTCGCAATAAGGACAAGGACCGAAACTTGCATTTGTGAAAAAAGGCTACCAAGTAGAGGGCAGAGACAAAGCAGCACAGTAAACATCTAAGAAGCTAATAGTTAACAAATTCTTTTCAGTACTGCCATTACTTCCAGAAGGATAAAAAGACCATTGTTGCGAAAAAATTAGTAATAAAATGAACAAAATAAATAGAAAGAGATTAAAACATTAAAGAAAGCAAAACTACCCTCACCCCAAATCCATTGAATAATCAGCAGATTGAATAATCAGCACTTAATTTGAATTGGCCATTGCTACGTAAATATTTACCCAATTGGAAAGATTTGTTGGTTGTTGAAAAGCTAATGGATTATACTCTCTAAATATGTATACATATTTGCGATGAATTTTTTGTAAAGCTGTGAAAAAGAAGACGCTTTTGAGGTTTCAGGTGTTTTTTGTGAGACTCCCTATATATTGTGCTCAAAATCTGAGAATTTGCATATCTTTACGTGATGAGGAAGTGAGCTGGTGGTAAAAATTTAATCAGGGCAGCAAACTTTGAACAGGGCGGCATAAGATATTGTCAGGCAGCCTGCCCTTCTAAAATTCCTCTTTTTTTCTGGATGACACAATTGGAGGTTTCTTCATTAAATACAAGGCTTTTGAATGAATTCTTGTTAGTGTGGTACTGCAGGTTTGTAACTAAAAGTGAGTCATTAGCATTGTATTACCGTGCATATGGGTGAAAGAATAACAACAAATTGATGGATACATCGAACGTTTGCCAGATCGCTGTGATGGATACTGCCTGAATGGAGGAACGTGCACTGTGAGCTTCACGGGTGAGGCTATCTGCAACTGTGCAATGGGATACTTCGGAACACAATGCCAACAAAGTAAGTTCTGTTCAGTCATATGACTGGTTTTACTTGTGCGCTGTTTTGTTTTCAGAAAAGTTCACTTTAGTTTAAAGAAAACTTAGTACAGCATTGGGTGTTTGCCTTTCACCAACGTTATTTCTTACACTTGCTATACTCAGTGCGGTCTGAGAGCTTGCAAGAAAAATTCATGAGCTTACTTTGGGCGGGACTCAAATCTATGACATAGAAGCACTGCATAGTCTATAGACCACTACCAAAACTGACATGTTAAAGTCCCTCTAGCTAGGCCTAAATCTTCCTTTTTTGGGGGGTAAATCGGATAATTTTAAACACTGAGGTTATTTGCAGAACTTGAACGTCCATACAAAAGGCTGGTCTGGAGCATTCTGCAGGTTGTGGGTTCGAGTCCAGCCTGGGTTTATGGTACGTGTGCCCTTGGGCAAGGCACTTTGTTACTCTCCACCCAGTGGAGAGAAGCAATGAGTACCTGTGAGGGCAGAGGTGGTTATTGTGGTTGATTTAAGCTACTTTGCGCCGAAATGGCAACATCGAGCTGTAATACTCTCAAGGGAGCTGAGATGGTATTTGGAATGTTTCATTGTCCCAATGAGCAGGGTAATAATGATGTAGCGCCTTGAGCACCAATAATGGTGGATACGTGCGCTCTACATATATTATTTTTATTATTATTATTATTATTACTATTAAGACATGTACCCCTAAACTGTGAGAGGGACAGATTCTAAGATGCATATTATACGCACATTGAAGTAAGTAAGTCTGTCCCGAGCCAACGTGGCTCATCAGGCTGGCGTTTATCTCCGGTTTCAGTAGCATGAAACGACTGAGAATATTTCTACTCCCCCTGGATGGGATGCTAGTCCATCGCAGGTTACTCCCCAGCTAATGCCGGTACCCATTTATACTCCTGGGTGGAGAGGGGCAAGTGGGGGTGAAGTACGCACATTGAGATCAAACTTAATTGTGTGAACTTTAAGTGCCATACGCATGGAAACCAATGCGTGCATGCAGTGCGCTCAAAGAATTCTCCGTCAGTAATATTGATTTGGCACAATGTTGGCGTCGGTCTTGACTTTCCCTCCAATCACTCATGCTTTGATGAAGTTTTGTTTTGATCTCGCTCAGCTGTGACTACCTGCACCGACACGCGGTGCCAGAATGGAGGCACCTGCAGAGAACTGAATGGAGGTGTTGAGTGCCAGTGCCCCCTAGCAATCACTGGGATGTTCTGCGAGAGAGGTAACTAAAACCTTTAATTCATCTGAAAAATTAGCGAGATTTTGGATTTGTGGGAGGTTGGATTGATTACCAGGGATGTAGTCGAGTCCATCACAACACCTCAAGTCCAGTCACAAGTACATCACAAGTCCTTTAACCAGTCCAGTCACAGGTAATGCTTGAATAGTTTGTGAAATTGACTTAGGACTGGAGGACTTGTGATGGACTTGCAGGGACTTGTGATGGACTTGACTACATCCCTGTTTAAAAGAACACCAAACCCTACGGGTTCTCACAAGATGATGTGGACACATATCCATCCATGGCCACTTTTGCTGTTTTTATGTGCGTACATATTAAAACGAAAGAAAGTCTGATTGCCATATTTTTTTTAGGTAGCCTATGCAAAACATTTATTTGGAAGTGGATAGACTTGGGAAAAAACCCTTGCATTTTTTTATCTGGAGAAAAATAATAATACAAATAATATAACCCCAAAATATACCATTAGGGAGACAATCCCATAGACATGTGCACAAATAATAATCTGACTTTCCTGACCCCCAACCCCAATTTCCCTCATCCTACCCCCACGAATTTTGGTATTTTTACTAATTGGACCATGAGCAATCGATCTAGCCTATTTGCGACAAGCAAAATTTTGCCTCTAAAAAGGAGCTGAGGCATTAGGGAGACATTGAAATGTCTCCCTAATTCCACATGTCTCCCAAAGGTAAACCTCCCACGCAAAAGAGTCTGCCAAATGGTATAAGTTGTGATTGTTTTCGTAATAATATTAATAATGATAATAATAATTACCCTTGATTGGACATTTGGGAGACCATGACATCCCCATAGACTTGTGCACAAAATTTTTCAAACTTAAATGTGCCCTAACCCAATTTTCCCCTGTCCTTTTTCCACGATTTCGGTCTGTTTACTAATTAGACCACGAGCAACAAAAATGGTCTAATTGCGACGGTAAAATTTTGCCTCAAAAGGGGGGCTGTGACATTAGGGAGACATGAAAATGTCTCCCATCGTGCAAAGAAATTACGATAACGTGTCTCCTTAATGGTACCATTACATGTATAATGTGGTGCTTATACAGCGCTTTATGTCGAAGGTCTCAAAGCGCTTCACAATTATTACCCCTGATTATCAGGCCATGAGACCAATTTTTGCAGCAGCACATTCTGGTCTCTGCCTTAATTCACAGGTACCCATTTATACTCCTGGGTGGAGAGAGGCAATTGTAGTAAAGTGTCTTGCCCAAGAACACAAGTACCATGTTCCCCGTCAGGGTTTGAACCCACGTGCCAAGGCACACGAGTTGAACACCGTAACCATAAGCCATTTGCGAGTAAACCTATACCATTTGGGATTTACATTTGAAAAACATCTGGTACACTGACTTGCTCAAAATGCTTGGCACTTTTTAACTTTGAATTCTCCAGAACAAAGACACTGTTGTTGCTAATCACATGATTCGGGGCAAGCTTTTGCATAGTTACGTAAGAGACGCTCAGCACCAAAGCATTGTTCACAGTGAGTGAGAATGGCACAAAGACACAGACCATGTCGCAGCTGGGTGTTGCTAGCATAAGGCTTGCCTGAATCACGTGATATAGTAACAGTCTCTTTGGTCAGGAGAATATAAAGTTAAAACGTGCAAAGCATTGGATTAAGTCAGCGTTCCAGATTTTATTCAAATTTAACCCGCAAATGGCTTATTGGACCACAAGCGCTTCTTGTGGTTTTTTTTTTTTTCATTATGAAATCTGTTTGCTTTTGATGTATTTCTGCACCTAGTTCCTTGTTCACTCATCACTTGTCTAAATGGAGGCACCTGCTCTGATACTGAGGGCCTGGGATCCTGCACATGTGCATCTGGATTTAGGGGGCCGCTGTGTGCCACAAGTAAGTATCAGTACACATATAAAGCCAACGTGGTTTTAAGGGAAGGAATGTAAAATTGCTGGTGGTGAGATGTTAGATGATAAGAAATCATCTGCATTCCAACACCAAGGAGGGACCAGTAACTTGACACTCCTTCCCTAAATAAACCCTGCTGTATAAATTTGCTCTGATACACACCCTTGTAGGTTTTGATGGGCTCTAGAGAGGGCGCTGTGTAGCACGAAGTACAAAGTACACACGTTTTATTCTGAATGTGCACAAAGCCATATAGTGTCTTCGCTTGAGCTTCGGGTGCCGTCGGCAGTGCGTTCTTATTGACTTATCGCGGTAGAATCGTGTCAGCGCAGCTTGTGAAATATTGTCCAATGACATGATATACAAATGGACGCGGAATGCACAAAATCTGAGACAAACAAAACTTAAGTGTACAAAAACTCCATAGGGTTGTCCAAGGGGCGTGGCTAACTTACAAACAGCGGTAAGTCAAATTGTCTCCCCCATGGTCTCCCTGAAATCTCTCATTCTTACCGTTGAGGGGGTACTTGTGCAAGGAGCCCGTTGCGCCTCACTTGTAGGTTTATTGAAGATTATTTCAACAAAAACAAAAAAATGATGGATCAGGTAGAGACTTCCTACACGCCATACACTAATGCATGGTTTATGGCCGGTACCTTGGTGGGACTGACCAAATGTAAATTTGTTCATTTTGCTATGTTGCCTGTCCTTCAAATATTAAAGGGCACTCTCCAAATTTCACCAATAGAGAACCACTGCCATATAATGATGAATTAATGCATTGTTATTTGTGTTGAAATAAATACAAGTAAACCCATCATTATTCCTGCAAATAAAGTCAAAACTTAAATTTTGTACTGATTTGCTCACGGATTTTGACTTTTTTGACCAAAAAAAAAGTACTTCTGTATTATTTCAAAATGTGTGAATTGTAGTTTTTGTCTTGTAAGGTCAGTTTTTGGACTGCCTTTACGGCTTTCAATCTTACCCCTCTTGCAGACATTGACGAGTGTGCCAGTGTTCAGTGTCTCAACGGTGGAACCTGTCTTGATCTCAACAACAACTATTTGTGCGAATGTGCTGACACGTACACAGGTCGACACTGTGAAAACCGGACCGGTAAGAACTACAAATATCCATGCTGTTGAAAATGTTATCAAATTAAAAAAGAAACTTGTATCAAGGGATGTAATCGTGGATATTGGGGAAGACGAAGTATGATGAAGTTATAAGTCTGCATCCATGGTCCGTACTGTGAATGGATTTTTTTTTAAACAGGATAAATTTCCTGTTTTCTATGCCAGTATACAAATATATTGAGTGGCTCATCGTGGAATGGGAGGAATATTATCGCAAGGTAAAAATCTGGACTTTTCCATTTCACGAGGCAAAGCGGAGTGAACTGGAAAAGTCCAGATTTTACCAAACGATAATATTCCTCCCATTTCACAATTTAAAGCCACTCAATATTTGTTTTATATAACTGACAAATAGATCCCTGTCATTTGATATTTGAACTTTTATTTCAATACAAAATTGGTAGAAAATGTATTGCTGTCTTTTGAACCACCCCTTCACGAAAATTTTGAAACCAACACTGTAGCGTCGGCTCTTTGGAATAATTCACGCTACTCGCAGCGCTGAACGCGCACACCAGCATGTTGCACACAAATACCGCGTCATGGAACAAGAATGATGTTGAATAGTATTTCCCATTCCCCATGGGCGAATGGGACTTTTTGAGCCCCGGCATGAATGGGAACAATATTGAATGTCACGTGATGTGAGTTCCACCAATCAAATGACAAGGATCTGTATGTCGGTTATATTATTTCAAACATTGCTACACTCATTTTAGTTTTCAGTGTATAGGGCTCTCGCACAACCCAGCCTACATCTGGGTATTGAAAAGTCAGCGTCACCACTGTAGTATATAAAGATCATGTAAAGTGGACTGCACAGTAAGTTTTGGCAAGCTGTGATGGATGGCAGAAACAGTGGGAAAAAAACACAGAGCCAACACCAAGTACTGGTACATAAGCTCTTCAACCAAATGCAGTCTCATGGGCTCTGTGCGCCAACAAAAGAGGGCGTGTTTTACCTCTTTTGAGAGCTCCGTGGACGGGACACACAGTGTGCGCGTAGTGTACTTTACTGGTTCGCGTGCGCGAAGTAGGCACGACTTCCTGAATGTGCAAAAGCTATTAGCCACCGCGTTTTCGCGTCATGCAGGCGTCATCGGCGCGCGAATAAATTCGAATGCAACTTGGGTTGGTCTCAGAGACTAATCCCCACCTCTAATAACTTAGGATACATTTGAAAACGTAGTGGATGGATCGGGAACCAGTGTAGGTCACCCCCAACTCTCCTTGTCTGGCTGTTGATGGGGTACTTGTGCACAGAGAGCCCATAATGTCATCACCCTTGTTATTGCAGATGTGTGCGGTACCTTGGACGGCAGATGCAAAAATGGAGCAGTATGTGATATGCCAAACAACATGTGTCTCTGCCTGCCAGGCTGGGAAGGAGTTCTCTGTGACAACGGTAATCATTGAAAGCAGCAATTTCCGTCTGCTCCTATAGCTTACATTATTTCAGACCTACATAAGGCCCCCAAAAAAACTCTCCGGTTTCTGGTATGCGCGCGCGTCGCCGTAGCCATGCGCGTCGGCAAAATGAAAAAGTTTTTTTTTTCAATCAAAGATGATGTCTCAAAACCGCCAAACTCACTGGTTTGACTAGAATCCTGCTGCTGCACAACTTTAATGTGTTTTTAGATAAGGTTATGATCGAGAATAAGCTTTATGTGGCCTCTCTGGACTCCCACATATTTGCACTAGGTTTAGTTGGGCACCATTTGCAGTCATCAGTCGACATTTAAAGCAAAAAAAAAAAAACGGTTAAAAAAAAAAAGCTGCGTCGCCGCACCACTTTTTGGGCAAGCTCCATACCAGAAACCGGAGACTTTTTTTTGGCCTAATGTAACACATCCATGTTTCCATGTCCATCGCGTCAGTTCAAAATTACGCGGTTCGGTAAAATACATGCGTGTGCCGGGCACACACGCATCACCGAGAGTCAGTTTGTGGTGACGATACATTGACAGTTTGTGAAGATAAAGTGTCTATACCGGAGTTGCTTCAGTTAAATAAATTGATTTTAAGCAAATTCCATCTTAGCACTGAGGGTTTTCTGTGCGCATAAAGTCCAACAGTGCTAAAAAAAAAATGCAGAAAACTGAAATATTATGCATTGCTTTTTTTTTCCAGATATAAACGAGTGTGCTTCCAATCCTTGCGAGAACGGTGGGGTTTGCGTCAATCGCAACAACAAGTTTCAGTGTGCCTGCAAGCAGTTTTACACTGGAGTCAAGTGTGAAATGTGTACGTACTTTTTTCCCTTTCCGTTAGATGAGAGCAAGAGCATTTGTTTTGGCAAAGTACATTCCTTCCCCGCTGCCTTCTTCTATGGTTACGTTTGTCAGCTTGTGCTTTGTGTCAATGCAGTTCTTGTAGTCATAGCTCTAAAACCAAAAGATCTATTTTTTTGCCGTTTGCAGTTTTGGAAAATGTTTGACTTCTACCTGAATTTTGGAATGAATGGTAAAAGTTTGTCTTAAAAAAACCGGCAAATATAGTTTTGTTTCTGGGTCAAAGTCAACTTTTTTGTGATTGCATTCTTGGAAAGTTTCTTGAAATACTTTCGTCTTTACTGTTGAAATTGTTTCCAAAAAAATGTATTCATAAACATTATTTGCCAAAACAATATCTTTCATAATCAAAGTCAGTTTTTTGTTGATAGCATTTTTGGAAAGTTTTGAAAATTATAAAAAATTTGTACTGAATTTTTTTTCACTTTTCAGATTTTTTTTTCATTCCAAAATATAAAAAGGCAAAAAAGGGGGCTCTAGACACACAGTTTTACAGCCCTAGGCTTCCTGTGCGGTGGCATAATGCGTGGTCTACACTTACAGTGTTGTCGGTTGCTTAGTGTGCATTTTGATTTCTGTCTTCAATAGGAGTACGACAACATTTGTTCCCAAACACCTACCTTAACCCACCCTCCCCTTCCCAGTATATCTCCTCTGCGCCCCAAAGCCCTGCCCCTGTACTCCATCCCTCCGTCCCTCCGTCCCTCTGTCCCTCTTCCCCGTCCTTATCGAGAGGCAAGTTTTTGCTCCCGCATGGCACACACTCCACGCCTGCTTCTGCTGGGTTGAGCTCGTCTTCGGCTCAGGAAGCTGATATAGTTTATTGCTGCATGCCGTAAATGGGCAGTATTGGTTTTGTTTCTCCTCTCCCTACCTGGGCTCTTTCCTCAGATTCCTTCTCTCAACCCCCCTCCCCACACCCCCTAAATTCCTCACTATAATCCTCCCCCTTAAATTCCTCATTATAATCCTCCAAAGACTTTGTCCTGCTCCTTCATAATTTACCTAATTTTGTTGTGGCAAATGCTTAAGAATCTCTGAAATCTGACAAAGTTAATATGTCGGTGAAGGGAAAACCCCATCATTAAGTGATCTTTCACAAAACGATCAAATCTCAAGTCTTAAAGGTAGAGTACATCGTTTGCAGCTGTCCAAAAATAACTGACCAAATTATTGTGAAAACGCTTACTTGGTTTAAATATAATAATGGCACTAATCTCCCTGTGATTTTTTTTCCTTCTGGCATGCTGTCATTTTGAAGGAAACAATAAAAGAGGGTCATTTCCAAAGATGAGTCAAGTGACACATTTTTGGAAATTTCCTTTAGTAGTTGGATTGTAATTGGGCGAATCCGTGAATGGGTGTGTGCAAGCATTGACACAACACACAGGCGCAATGTTGCTATTATTAGATAATATATAAAATGCACCCGCTGTTGCTCTTGAATGCTACTTTGCACGCAATCAATCAAGCACATTAGATGTAGTTTGAGTTGCAAAACTTTGGAAGGTTTTCTTCCAATTTCCTTTTGAAGCATATGTCTTTGCATTTGAATGATTAGAAAAGAGCTGTTGAATTTCATTGTTGTTTCTCTATTAGGCCAAGAAGCTGCCATTTCCAAATCTACACGCCTCTTCCTATGCCCTATTCTGAATCCCTGAATCTAACTTTTATGAAGTAAGGCCAAGTAAAAAAAAAAAAAAAAAGTTTCTTGTCCCTGCCCGCTTCCTTTTTCCAAAGTGCCTTTTTAAAATTATTTTTTTAAACTTATACCTTTGCAATATAATTTTGCCTTTTTGTTTGTTTTCAACAAAATTGCTGCTATGTAGATAGGGTTACGTCTCCTTTGGACACAATTTCGTATACGCAAAAGAGTTGAGAAAATGGAAGAATCCATCTGTCATCTTGAAAAGTCTGTCATCTTGGAAAGAAAAAGAAAGGAAAAAACGCCCGCCTCCTTCATATTTTCGAAAAGCCTGGACGAGAAACAACATCTTCTTTTTTTACTCGGCCTTATTTGTTGAACTGCTTTGTATTATAAAGTTTGTCCTAATGGACAAAACTAAAGGAGAATTCCTAAATATTTTTACTTCGCTTCAGCAAAGAAGTGTCACATATTCAATAAAGCAAATCACTTGGATTTCTTTACTGTCAAATTTCTTGATTAGCCCGAAGAGAAAACATTTTCAATTCTTTATTTCTCTAACCAACTAATTACAAATAAAAAACTGAACACTCATATCAAATAAGTAGCTGCAACCTACCATGGGAAAACTTGAATTTTTTCATATAACATTTTTTTAGACACAGTAAAGATGCCTTTACGTGAGACAACAAAATCAATGGTTTTACATTCAGTGGACATTAAAAAGCTTTAAAACAAAATTTGGAACCTTTTGGTCTGGTGCGAAATGACGGTCTTGGTTTGGCTTCAAGTGAGGCCATCAGCCTGGGGGTTTGGTCGGTATCAAATGAGGGGAAATGCTCATTGTGAGTTTTGGCAAGGTATGCACCCCTGTAGTTGGAAAATATGTGATAGCATTGCAGCGGTGGCAGCTTTTTGGGTGCTATCACTTTATAAGAAAATGGTGGCCAAAACATGCTTGTTACCACATATAGCTTATTCAGTAACAAGCATATTTGCGGCCATTTTGAAAAAAAAATATAAAAAGTGATAACACCCCAAATGCCTCTGCTCACACTGCAAAGCTTTCACACATTTTCCAACTCTAGATGTGCATACCTTGCCAAAAATCGCTATGAGCACACCCCCTTTTGATCACTTGATACCGTTGGCCCAATTTTTGGACCGAAACTGATAGTCTACATCTTGGTGCAATTTGGCGTGAGTGAAATTGTTGATGACTTGACACTGCATTGTGATATCTGAGTATTGTATAAATACCCATTACCAATTTTTTGTATCCGCATACAGCCGAGAACGACGTTAATAATGCTGCACAGGCCGGAGCCCTCCTGGAGCCCTGGTGGATAGCGCTCATCTGCCTGATTGGTGTTCTGTTCATCATCTTCCTCTTCATTGTCATCTGCACCATGAATCGCAGCAACGACGACGACCTAAGGAAAACAATCATCTAGTCTCACTCTCTCATCCGCTCCTGAAAATCCAGAGTGATTACTTGACTCTTCATCATCTTCCTCTTCATTGTCATCTGCACCATGAATCGCAGCAACGACGACGACCTAAGGAAAACAATCATCTAGTCTCACTCTCTCATCCCCTCCTGAAAATCCAGAGTGATTACTTGACTCTTCGTCATCTTCCTCTTCATTGTCATCTGCACCATGAATCGCAGCAACGACGACGACCTAAGGAAAACAATCATCGAGTCTGACTCTCTCCCCTCCTGAAAATCCAGAGTGATTACTTGACTCTTTGTCATCTTCCTCTTCATTGTCATCTGCACCATGAATCGCAGCAACGACGACGACCTAAGGAAAACAATCATCTAGTCTCACTCTCGGCTGAAAATCCAGAGCAATTACCTGACTAAAGGCCGGTTCATACTCCACGCAAATGCCAATTCGAAGTGAATTCGATGCGATGAAACATTAGCTGCGAAATTGGCCAGAACTGTTTTCAAGTTTTGCAAATACACGTACTTTGTTGTGAAGTCATCACAAGTTCGCGTTCGAGTTTGCTTTTCAGCCAAGTATGAACCGGCCTTGATGTCACTTGTTGAGATTTGAATTGAACCAATACAGTATCACATCACCATTATAGTAGAATCCCACTGCAATGAACACTGTGTTCTGAACATTTGGTAATAATAAACATAGCCTTTGGCTCTCAAATTTAACTACAGTACTTTTTAATTAAGAACATTGGCCGCAGCCATTGCTCTCATTGTGTTCTTATAGCGTCGTTTTACTGTAAGATTGTTATCTGCAGAGTAGTATTATTAAAAGAGATTCAAAAACCAATTTATAGTTTTTAAAGTAGTTGATAACTGCAATCATGCCTTGCGCATAAATACCACTGGCTTTCTGTCAGCTTCATAACAGGATTTTTAAATACCAATAAAATAAAGTTTTCTGGGTGTGGCTGTTTTTCTATAAATTACATGGCTATGGTTGAAATACTGCAAGATTAAGCTTTCTAGTAATGCCATTTTGAAAATGTTGTGCATTTGCTTGGTGACTGAAATGCTGGCTGTCAAGTATTCCTACTCGCCCTACTTTTTCCTAGTTTATTTGTTTTGCCTTACTCCCACTTTTCCTACTTTTTTTTTGAAATTCCTACTTTTTCCCTACTTTGTTTTGTACCACAACTCAAAAAAATGAAATATTATTGAATATTTTTCACAACAGTGTTACACACTGTCATATATAGATCACATAATGAAGGGCTTGGGCGCAGGAGTACTGCAACTGTACTTCCAAGAGCTTAGTTGAGGATGGAGCCAGCAAAAGCTCGACTTTTATCCTGATTTTGTCCTCCAAAGTTCTACTTTTGTCCTGTTTTTTTTTTTTGTGAAAATTTTTGATCCTACTGTTTTCCTACGTTTTCACCTGGGTCTGCTTGAAAGCCTAGAAATATTTTACAGTAAATTTAGCACGAAGACAATGTAATTTAATTTCAAAATTTTATATAAGTGAGAAATTTTAAGGTACGCTTAGAGGGCACGCTTTATTGATATTGACAAAATGAATTTATTGTCGGAACTTTTTAACTGCTAAAGCAGATATATATGTCTATGCAAATTACAATCTTTTGTATATCAAGATGAAATTAGATATTATAAACATTGGAATATGAAACGTTTTGTGTATTATAGGGTGTAAAATATGAATTTTCAAAAGTAGGATATTTTGTATTACACATGATCTTTTTCATTGTACTTACCGTGGATATTTTACTTCAATTTCAAACTAATATTTTCTGTATTTACTGCAGGAGGATGATTCTAACTACATAAAATGATAGAGGACTTACTTTTTCAATGGCTCTACATTAAGAGTACTATGGGCTGCTTCAAGCAAAAAATTAAGGATACTTTTGGTAACTGTATATGAATGAAATTAATCCGTTTGGTCGTTTAGGGATACTTTTTTGATGAATATGAAAAAAATGAAGCAAACAATTTATGTTGAATGTTGAATAAATATTGATCTGTGGAATTTCAAAAACAGTATTTGTATAACCAAAAGATTCTGGTATTTTGTTGGCCGTATGGGCATTATGATTCATTCCTCCTGCTGTCTGAACAGTCACAGACAGTAAAAAAAAAAGACAGTTAAAAAAAACAAAAAAACAAAGCAATCCTCTTCCCTGTCGTGCCAGTCTGTATTCACAACAGTTAGATCATTTTCAAACAAGCACTGCGACTAGTCAATTTCAGGCAGAATTACAGAATGTATGTTAGCATAGGAGCAGGGTTAATGTTATTTTTCTTGGATCTCTTAAATCCAAATACTTTTTTTGTTCTGTGGAGTTTCTTTTGATCTACCTGTGCAGTTACTTTGTATGCAAAAGGTAATGTAGAATTTGATACATTAATGATGCTTCGGTTGTTCCTTGTGATTTTAATTGCTATAAATGCTTGATTAGTTATATGATAGCATGTGCTTTTAGGACAATCTTTCGCTTAATATTATGTAGGAAAATGGATTCTCAGTTTATAATGTTGAATATTCTTTCAACAATGCGTCTTTCCAGATATTAAAAATACAATGTCTTTCATATTGCTATTTTTTTGTAATAAATGCTGTAAGGGTAATTTGATAGAAAATAAAATGAAGGTATTGTTTTATCAACATTTTTAACGAGTATACTGGCAAATTATATTGAATTCACATTGGTCAGAAATGTTCTGTAACATCCTATAGCATGCACTATCGTTTATCGGTTGTCCTTACACCGGCAACAATCGCCTAAATTTAGTTTATCCACATAATGGATTAATGCAAATGGAATAGTCCAAAGCCAACATTTTTGGAATTTTCTCGTGAACTGGGCAATATACAGGTTGAGTCAAAATAAAGGAGACCCATTTTTATTTTTTTTTTTAAAGAAGTTCAGCACGAAGCACTTTTCAATTCTAGGATGTGAAAGCCCAATTCATAAGCTATCTTTTAGTAAAAGAATAATTCATATCACTCTCCTACTTTTCTAGGGGTGCAAACTTATGTTCCCCAATACCGATGTTCCCCGAAATCCGTACCCTGACCCTAAATCCCAAGGATTTCGGGGAACATCGGTATTGGAAAACATATGGGGAGCATCGGGTGGACCCCCTTTTCTAGTTATGGTCTTTTTATAAACACAAATACATTTTTGAAATTTGGTCCACGGATCACAATAACGGTAGGAAGTGACAATGTTAGGTACGGCTTATAAGAAATTTTGTGGCGTAAACCCTTTTGGGGTTATTTAAATAACTGTGCTGACGTCCAAAGTATCCACTCGCTCTCATGGGCGTAGCGAGGGGGAGGGGGGGGGGCAAGGGGGCACTTGCCCCCCCCCCCCCCGGAAAAGCAAAAAGAAAAGGAAAAAACGAAAAAAAGAAAAGAAAAAAAAAGTAAAGAAAAAGAGGCGCGAAGACAAAGTGGTGTAAATTTAATGAGGGGGGGGGGGGCAAAATGTCCCTGCCCCCCTCTAAAACTGATAAATCGAGAATGTGTTGAGAAATACAAGCATTTTTTGGCAAATTTTTTTTTTGCCCCCCCCCTAGAAAAAATCCTGGCGACGCCCATGCTCGCTCTTCAATAATCACAAACTGACAGGGGAGATCAGTCTTGCCCTGTGTATACAAACCGACTTCAGTCAATTTTCTTATTGCGGGAAAAGAGATTACATCACAAGACAAGTCCTCGCTGACGGGTTTTTGGGTCTTTTTGCTGAGGCCTATGGCAAACGTCGACCTTCCTATGTTGAGGTATAGCGTTTAGTTTTCTGTGGTCTAGGCGTGCGACTTTGCCTTGTATCAGTTGAATTCCTCGTTTTTACTTCACAAAACGTATGCCATTAAACAAAAAAGGAAACACAAAGTCTTGCAAAGCTTGGAACTTTCCCCGTTTTTTGATACGTCCCAGTTAATTGCATGCCATGCATGCCGATCTTTCGCATTAATGCGTGAAAATTAGTTGTATTGGAAGTCGAAGCATGATCTCGTTTACAAAATGGATAATTCAGTACACTAAAAAAATGTTGTGAAATGTTCATTTTCTGCTGAAACTAAGTAGACTTTGTTGTAACGAAAAGACCATTAATTGGTGGAATTTATTGTAAAAGCTGCCGCACTGCTAATAAGAAAATGATGACCAAAGAGATATAAACAGTGAATTTGATCAGTGGAGTCTGATGTAAATACTTGTGGTGGAAATAAATCAGAAATTTGCACCCGGTTTTGGGAGTCCAAAAGGTCAGTAAATACCCTGAAATTCAAACATATTTTAGTAAAACAAATTCAATCAATACCTTTCCATTAAACCAGTAAATTGTCCCCCTTTTTTCCAGTGTTTGTAAACCTGAAATTAATTGACGACACTCTCAAGGAATTGTTACTCTTTCCCACCAGTCGATTCCCCAATGTAGGAAGGCTATCGGCAAAGGAGGATAACGTTTCCCTTTTTTCAATAGCAAATAAATAACCTTTTTTCTTCCATTTATGAGTATGAATCATTTCTATTTTTTTTTGTGTAAAACAACGCCCAAAAATGTGGGGGTTTTTGTTCCATTTAAACAAAACAAGGTTAAAGTATAAGACCAAGTTTGATGCCAATGACTCACCCCAAATTCCAGCATTGTCCACCCAATTGAAAAAAAAACCCTCCTACGTATTTGTTCATTCAGGCGTTCGGGCCCATGGACAGAAAAAAATTCTATTTTTTTCCCCTTGGCTCAACAACAGCATACTTTGGTATCAGCTAGTGCTTTGCTCGGTTGATATTTACTGAAGAGAAAGACATTTATTGTGTGGGGATTTGCATCATAAATTCCCTCTTTTGTGTTCGTGGAGCGAACCGAAACTGTCCCCATACTGCTCTGTGTCAACTTGGGCGGTAAACGTCACAGTGCCAAAAATGAAAGTGTGCACTCATGCGTAACCATGGAGCGAACTGGTATCCGGTACTAGTGGTACACTTCATCAATACACTACACCTGTTATCACATCTAGGCGTTTTCTGTCATCTCGGTCGCCAGAAATTGAAACCTGAAAACGTCGATTTTTTTCACATTTAGAAGTGGACAAAAGTGAACATTGTATCCAAAAGCTGACAGAACTAACACGTTCTGACGTTCTTCGACCAGAAGGAGAATATAACAAGAGATAGGTGGGACGGAAACTTGGTGGAAATAAGTGCGAGAAGTTTTGTTTTTCCGTGGATTATAAAAATGGCCGTCAGGGAAGTTTTCACTTCCGTGTTGGTGGTGCTGACCGTGTTTTTGGCGAGTCGTGACGGGGCGTGGGGCCGCCCATCCGGGGCACCGACAGCCGCTTGTACGACGCTCACACCCGGACATCTTAACAATGGTCAACCCATCTCTGCTCAAGCTTTTGCTAGCCCCTATGTTATTAAAGTTCAGCCAACGAAATACACTCCTGGGCAACCTGTCACGGGTAAGTTTAATTAGTATACGTAATTGTACATGACTTTTTAACAAATGAGCTAATTTTGAACTTTGAAGTAAGTTTTCTTTTATCAAGGCAAAGGTTACTCCAAGAACTATGACAGGCTCCACTACATAGTTCTAGGAGTAGGCAAAGGTTTCAGGAATATGAAAAGGATACAGTATTTTGATGCCATTAATTTGGTAAAATCTTGACCTTTACCTCAGTGATACACGTATTTTTACAAAACATGAACTTTAGAGACATTTCCAATTTTGGTAAAAAAATGAATTTAATTTGTAAATAAAAAACATTGGAAGTTTCGAGTAAGGTGACATTTTGTTCAGTTTGAGGAAAGTTTTTGTTCTTTTTTTTACTTAATATCTTTTGTGAGTGAGATTTTTCGTAAGTTACGGTTTAATTTTCTCTGATATTTGGACTATTCTGAATTTTAGAAAATGACCTAGGATATTGTCATTGGTTGTGTTTTGGGACTTATACATTGTAGGCCTACTTAGTGGGTAGAAAAGGAGTATCTAAATGCCACTTTTTATATAGTCCTAAAGGAATTGTTGGACAATCATTGCAAATATGATTCATGTAAAATGAAAAACCTTTGAATTTGCAAAAAAATTTTTTTTTTTAAATTTCTGGGTTTTTTTTTATTTGAAAATGTAGTGTCAAAGTCTGAGTCCACAATTGTGCTTTTTGAGGTGATTCTTTTGATTTTTGTTTTTTGTATAATTAGGGTTTTTTATAGAGAAAAGTATAAAATGGGAAACTCTTAGGCAAAATAAAAAAAAAACATGTTTAGCGTCCTGCCTCTTTGACAAAAAGGAAGGAGGAGGCCCTTTTTTTTTTTTTTTCTTTTCAAAATGGCCGCCCGACACATTTTTCAAGACAACGCGGGCGGGCTATTTTTCAAGATGGTTACCAGCTTTTTTCAAAATGGCCGCCACTTGGACTCATTGACTATTTCCACAGCTTTATACATGGTATAAAAGTCTAAAAATATGATTTCTTTGGTCAGAGATCGTTAAAATTTATCAATTTTTGTCTTTAAAAAAAAAAAAAAAAAAAAAGAAAAAAAAAAGAAGGCGGCCTCTAAAAAGGAAGCGGGCGGGGACGCTAAACATGTTTTTTTTTTTACTTCGCCTTATGTGCTGTAAAAATGATCACAAACTTCCAAGAAGCATATTTTTGAAAAAAAAGTCCCCTTCAAACAATAAACCTTGAAGGGGAATATTTTATTTTTGTTTCAATGTCAAAAACAGTCTGCTTTTGACATAACATCACATTTGTTTGTGATATTTTTTAAAAACACCTTAAGACTTAAAAAAAAAGATGGGCCTAAATACAAAGGGGGACCAGGTCAAAAAAGACATTTGGAATAAAGTTTGGTCTGGTCTTGTTTTCAACATGTTCTTGAAAAATCTCAAAATTACCAGTTGCCAAAAAAGAACAAAACATGATTAAAAAAATATGTATCAATGCCAGTTTTCAGGGTTTTTTTTACTTGAAAAACAAAAGAAAAATGCATACTGCAGGGTTAAAAGTATTGAATTGAATTAATAAAGTGTAACTTAGTTAATTGAATGCTTGGTCAGATTGATGGTTTTGATTTTAAAATTTTGAATTGGAAAATATATTGGAAACGGGACTTTAAACAGAACTGTTTTGTGAGTTGTTGCTTAAACCACCTTCAATCTATCAAATGAAAAACATGTTTGTGGTCAATTCATTATTGGATAGTAGCTAGAAATCCATACATGTGTTGAAAAAGGATTAGTGCTATTGATCGTTGGGCCAAGGTGAGTTCAGAAGGATTTAGAGCTGGTGAAATAAATGACTGAAAGTGCGAATGGTCCATTGTTGTTGGTTCAAAACGTGCCAGCTGAATTTGGTGCTAAAACGCATGTTTGAGATTTGTTTGTAACATGTCAAATGCAGGCTTAAAACTGAAGAGATTTCATTGGTTGATGTACGCTGTGATTCCTCTTCCGTGGGGGGTACTCATTGGCTGGTTGCACAGTTCAGGGAAGAAAACTGTTTTTTAAGTAAAAAAAGGTTACACTCTAAATTGAAGCTGTTTTAAAAAAATATCAATTTGCTGTGTGTGTGAAGATTTATAAAAGCTGTTTGAATTATCAATGGAGAGAGGTGATTCCAGTTTTAAAATTTTACATTTGATAGAATCAGTGAATTTAAAATAATGCGAAGTCATGTGAAATATAGGCTACATAAAATGTACTTGTCTACGATACCTTTCTTTTTTTTTTTACAAAGGTGGAATTCAGTGCATTATTTTTAGCTGCGGGATAGCAGCTCAACAAATCACTGTGTCTCTGCGTTAGTTAGTAACAAACGTTGACACTGTCTATTGCTCTACATATTTTCACCGATTTCAACCAAACTTTGTCAAAAGTATCAGTAGCCCAGTCTTAACATGTCACATGACCAAGCTGGAGTCAAAGGTCATCATGGGATCACTGGGGTCATAAAGCCGATTTAAAAAAAAATCAAAACACTTCTCCAGTTGCATAAATTACATGTACGTATATATCGCACAGTCACGTGACTCATGCATGAACACGAATTCAATGGCCTGCAGCTTCCACGATCCGATCGAGCTTGTTTGTGATTCAATGGTTGTACATGTAGTGGGTGTTGGTTTCGGGTGACTTTTACAAAAGGTACATGTTGGCCTATACATATTGTCCCTTTCATTTTGTAAGCGGCCATGCATGCATGAATTCTTGTTGAATTGTACAATGTACATGTACATGCACATATTTCACAAATTGTGCCTGGTTTAACAGATGGAAAAACTATGCATTTTTATTAATTTAACCCAAACAGAACTCCACCCATCAAACCCCAACAGCATGTTTTGTTGGAATCTGTCGGGATGGGTACAGTACCCCTAAACACTAAACTGACAGTCTTTTACATTGGGTTGGCACACCTCCAGAAACTAAGTCAGAAATATCCAGTTTCTCATGGTGTTGGAATTTGCCAGAATGGGTATGGTTCGTAGTAAATCATGCTAGGGAGTAAGGGTTAATGTTGTTGGGGAAGTGAGATACCGGTACTACCAGTTATTTAATGTGACTCTTTTTGTTATGCAGGTGATAATATTTTGAACAAATTTGTATTTGAATGGGTATGAATAATGTATTATTGGCACATACATGTAGGCGTTGCCTGTTGTGTTTTGTGCAAATAACCTCACGGTTGCGTAACTTGTTGAGTTTATGTTCCTCTACATGCATCATATACAGGAACATAAACCTACATTCCTACCATTTCTAAATCTTCTCATTAGGCCAAAAAAAAAAATAAGTCGGTCTCTGGTCAGCGCTCGCGTCGATTTTAATCATGCGCGTCAATCTTTTTTTTTTTCCAAAATGTTCCGCAACAGCTCCAACAGCGCCCTCTATTGCCGCACCTCCTCAATTTTTTTTTACCAAAGAGCACCAAGGAATGGGAAATTGCACCAAGGCAAATGATCGAGACAACCAAGGCAAATTATGGAGGACACCAATGTACATGAGGACACCAAAAAAGCAAAATAGTACCCCACCTTGGCTGTACAATCCAAGCTTGAAAAAAAAAAAAAAAAGCCGCGTCACCGCGTCAATTCCGGAACTTTGGTCTGACCAGAGACCGAATATTTTTTTTTTTTGGCCTTATATTAAAGTTTCCAGTGTTTTGCTTCTACTTGCACAAGGACAATTTCATAGCTACATGTACATCAATTACTCTTTTGGCACTCTTGTACTGTCATTGTTTTGTAGCTTTTTATCAATTAATTGATTTTACCAAACCTGGTTTATTTTTATGAATCAGCTTATATAAGAGAAAAAAAATTAACATTCACAAATTTGAACATGTCTTACATTTATTTGACATGTCAAAAATTTGGCACACTTTCCATTCATTGTTTCCTAACACAAAGTATCAGTTTTGTTCGTGCTGTGTTTATGTTAACACACTGAAGGATGTGCAAATTAGGGTTAAAATTTAGCTTGAAAAGGAAACTTTAAAGTTTCTTCCCACAAACGTTTACTACTTTACTCAACGCATTTAGATTTTTGATCAAATAATGAGCTTCCTCTTTTAGATCTAGTGTATTCACATATTAGCACAAAGTGATAAGGACTTTTGGGATGGACTTTCAATTTTTTGGTCTCGTGTTCCTGTTTTTGCTTGCCCAAGAGGGGTAGCCCAGTGTCCTCTCTGTACCCATCTAACTGACTACTGTTACAACTGATAATGTAGTAATCAACGCATAATGTATCACCAACCGATAATGTTACACAAATTGACCGATACTGTATCACTAACCGATAATGTAACAGAAATTGACCGATAGTGTAGTAAAAATGTACTACACTATGAGTCGATTGTTGTTACATATTATTGGTCTTAACTGATAATGTAACAAATATTGACTGATAGTGTAGTAACATTTACTACACTATCGGTCAATTTCTGTTACATTATTGGTTAGTGATACAGTATCAGTCAATTTGTGTGACATTATCGGTTGGTGATACATTATCAGTTGGTTACTACGTTATCAGTTGTAACAACTACCACCAATTGTGACTTAGACTTGGTGTACACGAGGATGAAAAGAGCCATGCATGCAGGCAGTGCTATTGTTTATGATTAGCCAGGAATGCCAATGATGGGACTATATTCAGCCTATTTTGTAGACTACATGTAGATGCGCAAAAAGACTAGTCACTAATCTGAATCAGTTGAATAGAATTTTGTGCACTCTGGTCTAGGACCAGCTTTAGCACCAGGCTTGTCTAGTTTTTTCTTTTCTGTACCTTAATGTTTTTAATTTCTTTTGTTGTCAGTGACCATTGAAAGTTCCTTCAGCTTCCGAGGAATACTCTTGCAAGCTCGAAGTGGTGACACACCAGTTGGTACTTGGCAAGCCCCTATTGGTTATCAGCTTCTTCAGTGCACCAATCCAGGAGACTCCCTGACCCACACAAGCATGGATTTAAAGGCAGGCGGTGCCCAGTTTACGTGGACTCCACCCAATTCTGCCACAGGAATTATCAAAATAATGTACGTTCAACTTGTTCAAAAGCAAGTTTTTAACAAGCTGAAATCCATTTTGGATACAGTCAGAACAGAAAATCTTTCTCGTTTTTCTTCATTTTTGAAAACAAACCTTAAAATAGAAAACAAAAGTGTTGTTAAAAAAATGTTTATAATGAAATCTTGCATTCATTTTACAGTGCTTAAGTCCTTAAAAAACAAACTTGTTATCCTGTTGAGATTGTTGCTGGTATTGATTTTTGTCGCTTTTTTTAAATTTCTTGTAGGGGAACAATTGCCCTCCAAAAGGAAATTTTTTGGACTGGACACGTTGCGGCCATTTCACCAGCATCTGGAGTTCCAACAGGTAATAATTGTGTCCATCATTGCATATCTCCAATATGTATAGCATGCAGGCACACTAGAAATAATATGCATATGTTTTTCAAGATTCCTACCTTGTTTGCTTTTCTCTTTTACTGCAAAAAAAAATGAAAGAGGATGACTTTATATCACTGTCCATAATAGTCCACTTTGAACAGCAGCCCGATAAATTCACACTCAAACCAAACTCTACTAAATATTTTGTCATTTCTAAATCTCCCCACCACATAATTAATTAAAGGCCCTGGTGTTTTGCTTCATGTACTTGTGCAAGGACAATTCCATAGCTGCATGTACAAGTTTCCATTACTCTTTTGGCACTCTTGATACCGTCATTGTTTTGTAGCTTTTTATCAATTGAGTTTAGGCCCCCCCAAAAAATATTCGGTCTCTGGTCAGACCAAAGTTCCGGAATTGACGCGGCCACGCGGCTTTTTCCTTTTTTTTTTCCTTTTTTTTTTCTTCTTCAAGCTTGGATTGTACATTGTACAGACAAGGTGGGGTACTATTTTGCTTTTTTTGTGTCCTCATGTACATTGGTGTCCTCCATAATTTGCCTTGGTGCTTTCGATCATTTTCCTTGGTGCAATTTCCCTCTCCTTGGTGCTCTTTGGTAAAACAAATTGAGGAGGTGCAGAAATAGAGGGCGATGTTGGAGCTACCGCGGAACATTTTGGAAAAAAAATAAGATTGACGCGCATGATTAAAATCGACGCGCGCGCTGACCAGAGACCGACTTATTATTTTTTTTGGCCTTACCTAACTTTTTTTTTTTTACAAATCTTGTAAGACAAAAATTTAACATTTGCTTATTTGAACATGACATTGTTTGAATAAATTATATTACATTGATTTGACATACTATATCAAAACTTGCCACAATTTCAATTCAAAGTTTCCTAAAACAAAAGATACCAGTTTATGTTCTGTTTATATAACACACTGAAGGGTAGGTGTAAAATAGGGTTAAAATTCAAAAGGAACCTTTTGGTTGAACAGTAAATGGAGAAAATACTGTTCTAAAGTGGCCCCAGTGTCTAGCACCCCATCCCTCCCTCCAATTTTTTTTGTTTGTGCAGAGGACGGGTCTGGTTTCCAGACCCGTCCTCTGCAAAATGGGAACATTTCTAGATCCGTAGCTCCCCTATGTATTGGAAGTTGTCAAACTACTTTGCCTTGGGAACTAGTGTAGTTTGTCAGTCATCTTCCAATATTGAGGGAAGCTATATGTAATATGTGTATGTAATATTGTCTATTATCCACCTGAAATAACCATGTTGTACATGTATTTGTTTGATTACACCAGTATTATCGAGTTACATGTACACAACAATTTTCTCAGCAACACTTGTAGGGTATGAGCTGCCATCTTTTCATGAGCTAGGATGATAATTGATATTCGTGCGTGTGCATGCAATACCCCCCGTGCAATAGTTCAACAATTGCATGCTAAGGAGAGCAAACTTGTGTAGTAGACTATCGTACACTTAACCCATGCGATAGTCGACTGCGCTTATTTATCAACCTTGTGCATGAATCCTCGCCTGTGTTCTGGGTAAAAAGCAAAACTATAGCGACCGACACGTGATGGTGAATGGACCAGTGGCAGAACCAGAGGGGGCGCAGCCAGCACATGCCCCCCCCCCTATTTTTCACATTTTGAAAACAAATATTTTCTAGGCATGGCTTGTCCTTTTTTCCCATGCTTCTTCTGCCGTCCATTGGTTATTTAATTGTGTCCAATACAGAAATGTTCACCCACATGAGCAAATGTATGCCCCGCTTGTATTATTATTATTATTTATTTATTTCTTATTTTAACTGGGAAGCCCATTCAGTGGAATCCACTGATCTCCCATGGGGCCCAGTAAAGAGAAGACAATGTGAAGAAATTACAGTTTTAGATGTGGGAGGAAAAGCCCAGTAGAGTATTATGTTTGGGTTTCGCTTCCATTTTGAGGTTGGAGGGAAATCTCTTTACAAAAATACCAATATTAAACCTCACGCACTAAAGTCCGACATGCCTGCACGCGCGTATGATGCGCGTGGAAGGAAAAAGCAGCGTGGCATTGGTGAGGAGCACGAGTTAATTTGCCCACGTGCGCACTGGGCAGAGCTTACTGGATCAGTCCATTCCAGGGCGAAAGGGACCGGGAATCGCCTCAGATTGCCCAACAGAGCATCTAGAATCAAAAATTTCACGGGGCCCTTAAGCGGGCCCCAGACCCCAAGCCTTAAAAGGCCTTTGCGCTCTGCGCTCGCATTCGTTCTCGAAGCAGTATGACCCAATGGCGTACCCCCCGTCTGAAAAGATCCTGGATCCGCGCCTGCCCCCCCCCCCTTTTGTGCAAATGCTGGATCTGCCACTGAGTAACAATTTATATTATTTCCTAAAGTGCCTAAAAACTGAACATACCCGTTTAACTATGACGAACAGCTGTCAAACTTTCTGGTCCAGCTTAACATACAATGTAGCAAGATCACTCTTAAAATACAGTATTTATAACCAAATTTTATTGCAGCTGATTGTGCAAGTGAGCCTTGTGTCAATGGGCTGTGTTTCCAAGGGAGTCCTGGCGTGCATTTCTGTTCATGTGACTCGGGATTTGAAGGACCTACTTGTAGTAGTCAAATATACAGTAAGTACATTGCACACTTTTATGACAAGAAACCGATCACTGTATTTTGTCAGTGTTTGTCTAAATGACAGTAAGACAGTTTGTCAAATCATTTTCAGATGACCAAACTAGTTATTGAACTACATGTAGATCAACTTTCCCAGAAAAAAAGAGCCTCAATTTGTTTGCCATGAAATCTATCTTACATGCAACCTTAATCAAGTTTTAAACTTTATTTTTTATTTTTTTATGTTTCATTAACATTAAACATTTGCATTCATAAATACCTACAGTTTACCCATTCTAATTGGTTGAGAGCCCGTCATGTGGCCGGTTTTAAATGGTTGATATGAGACTGGCTAGCTGGTCTTAAACGCTTTTCCAGTGTCACATGGACTCCTATGAAATCCGGTGCCTTTTACCGTTTTGTTGGTGGAACATTCACAATATACTACAAGTGAGTCAGTATTTAGTCCTAAATTCACAATTCATGCACAGCTGTGCTCTGCGCCACATCGCGCAGTACGCCACATCGCGCAGTACGCCACATCGCGCAGTACGCCACATCGCGCAGTACGCACGATGCAGGTGCCAATCTCCGTATAAGGAGTTGTTTAAGACTAGGAACGTACCATAAAATAGCTAGAGGGGTGTTTAAAAAAACATAAAGTAAACTTTTGAACAAAATCTTAGACGGAAAAGGTATTTATGAATGGGAATAAGTATGTGCTTGGCCAGTATTAAACACACACTATGTTTAATACTAGTTGGAGTCTGGATGCTAAAAATTACCCTCAACTTTGGCTCGGGAAATTATCACCCATCCAGACTCGACCAGTATTAAACATAATGTTTAAAAAGGCCAAGCACACAGGACCGACACACAAAGGGACTACAACAGATCCTTTGTGTCCTAGCTCGGCTGTTGCGTCTTTTGTTGAAAACGGTCCTCCATGGTACAGTTATTGCTTAGTCTATGGGAGAGTGTTATATTACAGGGACAAAGGGAAACACAAATCATTGTCTTGGGGGGTATAGTAAACTCGACTGCGTGTACTTGTTATTATCCCTAAAAATTCAGGTGAAACATTGACAGCTGAATTCACTTTCATCCCTGGTACATGTCGGGTGCTAATGGGCTGAAATTATTATAATGGATATATGGTTGTCTTCCAATTTTTCAGGCCCATACTGTATGGATGGTCGTGTTTGTGGCATGGGAGGCACCTGTTATCAGTCATCTACGACTCCTGGTACATACTTTTGTGTCTGTGATACAATGCACACTGGTGCCGACTGTATGACGGAAAGTAAGTTACATGTACCACCAACTCCTCCCATTTAATTCAATTCCCCCCACTTTAAAAAGTGGGGGGAACTTATCCCCCCCCCCCCCCCCCGTCCCCCACCAATTGATGCCCATGGATCTATTATACTAGTAGTATACTAGTTTTTTTTATTTTGACTGCTCCATGCTTTACAATTCATCCCTACTAGTGCATACTAGTTTCTGTTTAATATTAACATAATATTAAATAAATGAATTATTGAGCTATAATTTCCCCATGCATTAAACAGTCCCAACTAACCCACCAAGATTAATGTGATGCCTCCTTAAAATGTTCAAGAATTTGATAATGTTCTAATAAGCTTTTGTTAAAAACAATTCCCCAATTATCAAAGAATCGAGATTATAAAGAATGTTGTCCCTCATAATTAGTCTAGCACCAGCGGCAGCGGAACGGGTTTGAAACTGGGGGGGCAGCACCCAAAAGGGGCACTTGCAAACCAAAAGGGGCACTTGCAAACCAAAAGGGGCACTTGCAAACCCGTGCTGAAATGTCGCCACGTTTTTTTTGACGGACACTTGGCCTCCGTAAAATCAAATAGGGGGGGGGGGGGGGGGGGGGGGGGGGGGGGGGGCTTGTTCCATCTTCCAACATAGGGGGCGCTCTTCAAAACCAATGATTATATGCTAAACATACATTATGTGCCCATTTTCAGGGCGTCTTGTATGGGTTTTGGGACTTGGTTTTCATATTCCTCGTTTATATCAAGAATATCTCTACCATTATTGGGAAAAGGTTACTTCTAAGAAATACTAAGATACTTTAAGGGCATTTTTATTTATCTCGAGGGGGCACATTTATGGCCGCAAAAGGGGCACTTGGGAAAATCTGGGGGGGGGTGGGGCAAACGCCCCCAGCCCCCCCGGTTCCGCCGCACCTGTCTAGCACATCATCAGAGTAGTACTCTCAAAAACCCTAACCCTAAAGTTAAGTTCCCTAGGACTATCCTGCTAAATCCAACAGAGTAAATTTGACGATCATATGAGTTTCCTGCTCAATCCAACACAGTCCAACAGGTCATTTTGCTGGGTAACTTACGTTACAAAATGACTTGCCTGCTCAATCCAACAGAATCCAACACTGCCTTATTTTTCTGTTGCCTGCTGAACCCAACTGAGTCCAACTTGGCGTTATTTACCAGCACCCAACATATTTTGACTCTTAATGTTTTCATCAGGTTAAATTAGTATACGATTACTCAAAACTGTGTTTGACCGAATATTCGGATATTCAAAATTGCCAGCTACAAATGGGTGCTGTGCGGGTCAAAAGTTGCACGCAGAGCGCGCCAGTTAGAATTTGCATGCGGCGATCGATATGAAGTGTTTTGCAGTAATTGTTTTATAACTGTCAAAAACCTGTTAAAAGGATGGAAACAATGAACAGCCGTCGGAAAAAAAGTTACCGTTAACACAAAAAAGTGCACCTGACAATGCAACGTCCCAACTTTATGATAAAGTGGAACGTGGCTACACCGAACACCGCTATACCAAACATTCATTTGGCTATACCGAACAACGTCCTTGGCTCCCGATTTTTGTGTACAAAACGTACCAAACATTGTTGTTGAAAAATGTCAATGGACTAGTGGCTGTTATTTCCCCAAGGAATAGAAGGGGAAAGCCACCCATTACTGTAGGTAGTAAGCTAAAAAACTATAATCACATAATTCAATAGTTGGCGCGTGTTCAAAGTCGTCTTTCAGTAACTACCAGGGCGTGCAGGGTGAAGTTCTGAAGGGTGCTATTTATTGAAAAGTGAGTACCAGAACACTGGTAGCTTAAAATATACTTGAAGCGGCAAAAATTAATTCTATTATTGGGTTGATGATCAAATATTTGAATATTCGGTATAAATGGGACAGCGGTATATTCCAACGGAAAAGTAACATAGTTGGATCCTGTTGGGTTGAGCAGGTTACATGGAGTGTCATCTTGCAAGTCTTTTTTTACTGTAAATTCTATTGTAAAATAAGAGGATTATCACCTAATGGCTTTTCAATCGCAAGAGTTCATTTTGGTCTTGTTTGTGGTCTTGTAATCGACAATTACAATTTTTTTTTTTATTTAATGATATTTTTTCATATTGATTTTAAACCCAATTCTTCTAGAATGTCCTGACTTTATTAATATTTTGATGTTGAGGTGGCTTGAAAATTATTTGAGCAATAAGCACTTTCACTGTGATATGCGGCGATCTTCACGTGGCAAAAAAAACATGCATTGCTGAGCACAGGCGACAATTGACAACTTTGGCGATTCCAAATCATCAGGCATTTATTCCAATATGCGCTCACCTCTAGCAACGCACGTTCTTGTTGCACCGTGAACAAGATGGCCCTTTATTGCCATCAAAGTGCTTTTTTCTAAAAGGAGCCAATTTTTAACTTGAAAATGATATGGAAAGGGTTAATGTAACCAGTTGGCAGATATTGGCAGGCTGAACACTTATGCTCCACATATTAGTCAATCTCTCAGGATTCCAGACACAAAACTGCTGGAGAAGTGACAGCCCCATTTCCTGAATGTATAACCATGACTGTAAAGTTGAGTACATGTAAATAGCTCAAATACTGCACTTTTAAAAGATAAAAGCATGCGTAGAAAGTGTTAGCTTTTTAACACGTTTAATTGTCTTGAAAACGTTGCAGTACTTTTTGCTGGGACAATAGTTCTGTGATGTTTGTGAAAGCTTTCTACCTGTTAATCTAACCGACTCCAGAAAGTTTTCATTGTTTGTGTGTGCAACAATCAAACATTTTAGGGAATTTTGTGGTATTTGGCAAAACGTTCTTCCCGAGTTTCCTTTCATTTTGGCTTTACTTTAAGCCTTTAAAAAATTTGACTGTTCCTGTCCACAAATTTAAAATCAATGGTTGCGAAAATTTGTAAAGTCCAGTGTATACAGAATTGCCCAAGAGAACCCTTGATTTGTTGCCCGATTGTTCATTCTGTTGTCCTCTCGTAACAACAGCACAATTGACAACGCAAATCCCAAGCCTGGCCTGCGAGTCAGGCCCATGCCAAAACAGCGGTACTTGCCGAGAAGGAGCCGGCAACTCGTATATCTGTGATTGTCCCTCCGATTACGACGACTACATTGAATCTAATTACCTTAAAAAACTTGAATCCTCGATTCCGATTGGTTGGTCCAGCATATTGACAACAGTGTATAATATTGTCCCATATACCATGGTCAATATCCCATTCCTTTTATCGATTGCACTGTTTTTACGATGAGCTCGCTATTCCTGCTCCTCGTAAGCGTGATAACTGTTGGAAAATTCCTTCCATGATGTGTATTTCCATCTTTACTGTGCGTCAAGTTTGCTTGTATATATATTAGTTGTCTCACTCGCGCGCATTGAACTTGATCGGAAAATGTAGTGTGTCTGTGTCCCACATACACACTACATTATTCCGTGTTCCAATTGCGTTTGTGGTATTATAAGTTATCCCGCGAGCGCGAGCTCGAGTGGAACACGGAATAATGTAGTGTGTCTGTGTCCCACATACCATGAGGCGGAAGGCCGAGTGGTATGTGGGACACAGACGCACTACATTATTCCGTGTTCCACGAGCGCGAGCGTGATAACGAATTTATCTTCAAGCAAACTTGACGCGGCAGTACAGTTGGAACAAGCACGCTTTGCACGGACATTCTGCAGTATAGCGTATGCAGCTGGAATGTCGCTCGTATCTTGGCACAACGGAATACGCGGAGTGCGGCATGGACCGAGGCCGTGCTACATGGTTATATGTAGCACGGCTTGTTGCCATGGACTGACCAATCAGGATCGAGGATTCAAGTTAACTTGAAGATAATAACTAATATCTCTCATTCATACCTATTCATTTCATATTATACATAACGTAGGACCATTTACATATCATCCATCCATTACTGAACCAGGGTTTATCAAGTCAATTGCACTTTAATGCCTGTGAAAATCCACTCAAGATTTGAAAGAGCAAATCAAACAATTTTTTTTGCTTAAAGTCAGTTTATATAGATTGCGCCCAAAGAATGGTGAATTTGAGAAATGAATTATGATTTTATGAGAAATGAAAGAGATAATTAAACTACCTGTGTTTACATAGCGCTGGAGTTGTGTAGTTGGGTAGAAGCACAACATCGTTGCAAATCTGTAATCTGAGTTACAGTATATTGGCATGTGATCACTCGTGAAAAAAATTAGGACATGCGTGGAACAAAAAATAGGGCATGTGTGGATAAAAGGGAACTAGTTAAAAAGTATAAGAGGCAGGGGGCTACGCCCTTGTTAATGCTATTTTCGCAAAAACACATAAACTGCTCACACTTAGTGCTTTCAATAGGTTGGCGCGGACGTCCGGGGAATTTGTACATTGGCATATCAAGCTCCAGCCCAGACTTACAACTGTATTTGCTTGAAACTCAGTGGTTCTTGAGTCTGGAGTGCTGAGTTGTAATACAAATAGCAACCGATGAAAACTGGTGTGCAAATCAATAGATGTTTTCATCGGATGACATCATATCATCATCATATATCTGCCCCAATCTATAAAGTAATGCAGGGAAAAAGAATTGATATCTCCGTTGAGCCTCATCGTAATTGGTTAGAAGTGTATATAATCTACACAAATAATCAGATCAGTAAAAAGAAAAACTAAACCTAAACCCAGCCATCCTTTGATTTGCATTTTTACATTGGCTTTGATTTGCTTGTACATGATTTGCTTGTTGATGTTCAGTTGACTTAACCTCCCTGTTTTTGTCATGAGTTTCTCCTTTCCATCCATGATAACCTTTGTAACTCAACCCCTCATGTGCCTATAACTCCATGCAGTAACCGCATGCAACCCTAACCCATGCCAGAACAGCGGAACCTGTGCCCTTAACGGAAGTGGTTTTTCTTGTACATGCCCAACGGGATATACCGGCACCATGTGTGAAACAGGTACACGTACATTGGTATAAATTGTGTGGATTTACCGAGTTTTTATTCAGATTGCCTGATGAGAAACCTGAATTCATAACTCAATTGATTTTGTTTGGTATTTTCGCTTGGAGTATAAACTGATCTGAAGCTCTTTCAAATTACGTCACTTCCTACAAATTGTAACGTGCATTGGCATTTTTTGGTGTCAAATTGTCCTGACGTGCAGCTACTGGGCTGTTTATTTCGAAAAAATTTCGAACAACATGACCGCATGTTTGGAACATTTTGCACACTCCGCGCATGTGCACCTATGGCATTACAGTTGTAATTTTCCTACGCAGATGGATGTCTATAAGAGGGGTCTATTATTCCATACTTTAAAATGAGATGAAAGTATCGAGCATTTTCGTTTTGTATTTTACTGCGTGTTTTTATTTATTTATTTTATTGATTTGTTTGTTTGCAGTACCTCCTCCCAATGCTTGTGATTCCAACCCTTGTATGAATGGTGGAGTTTGCATGGCCAGTGGGAACACCCATACTTGCGACTGTCCGGACGGATTTACTGGAGCTAACTGTGAGACACAAGGTACGCCACCACATTTACCCCCAGACATCTTCTGGAGGACCTTTCTTAAAATCGTTCTTCCCTATAATTTGTTCTTATTTTGCATGCTGGCCGCAATGCAACTTACAGCCATACACATAGATGCCACATACTTTTCCAGTTTTAACAGAAATTCCGGTTTTAAAAAAAAATCTCACAAAATTCCTGTGTTTTTTTCCCTTCCGGTGTCAATTATTGAAGGGGAAAAAAAACCCGGAAAAATACTGAGTGATTTTCAAAATTTTTTTCCGTTTTTTTTCCGGCTGTCAAAAAAAAAAAGCATGGTAAAAGAGAAGAAAAACTGTGGAAATGTGTTGATTTTTACCTCGTAAGGGACTTGAGTTTAGTGCTTGTGCTAAATGCCTGACTCCTATACAACATTGTGCCATGATCTCCCCACCGGGCATACGTTGGACACGCACGCATACACAGAATCAATCACCTTCGCTGCATAGCACCCACATGACTGGTACCTGCGTGTTGCAGCTATGCACTGCAATTCATGATGGAAGTTTTAAGCCTACGTAATAGCGAGCAAGGTCACTGGACTTTCCTGATGATGGATCAGACACACATGTGGCAACTGATCCAGCCATTGATACTACACGTGTATTTGAAGCAAAAGTGAAATCATTCGGAAAACTGGTCAATAAATGCTACCTCACAATTGTGAGTTATTTCCCTGTAGGCTGTTGAAAATAATGCCTGTAGATTTGTTTTTCCAATTTGTTTATGAAACATTGCGCGTACAAGCACCTGATGGTGTTGAACACGCAGTTGTAGTTTTCCTACGCAGATGGATGTCTAAGAGAGGGGTCTATTAATCAGGCTTCTTCGTTTTGTATTTAACTGTGTATTTTTATTTATTGATTTTATTGATTGTTTGTTTGCAGTACCTCCTCCCAATGCTTGCGATTCCAACCCTTGTATGAATGGCGGAGTTTGCACGGCCAGTGGGAACACCCATACTTGCAATTGTCAGGATGGATTTACTGGAGCTAACTGTGAGACACAAGGTACGCCACCACATTTACCCCCAGACATCTTCTGGAGGACCTTTCTTAAAATCGTTCTTCCCTATAAGTTTTCTTATTTTGCATGCTGGCCGCGATGCAACTTGCAGCCATAAACAGAGGTGCCACGTACTTCTCCAGTTTTAACCGGAATTCTGGTTTTTAAAAAAATCTTACAAAATTCCTGTGTTTTTCCTCCCGGTGTCAATTGAAGAAAAAAAACCGGAAAAATACTGAGTGATTTTCGAAACAAATCCGTTCTTTTTCCGGCTGTCAAAAAAAAGCCTGGTAAAAGGGAAGAAAAACTGTGGAAATACGTTGATTTTTACCTCGTAAGGGACTCGAGTTTAGTAGTACATGTACATGTCGGCCCACTTACTTGCACACGCACGCACGGCACAACGTTGTTCGTTGAAGTAATCTTAAAAAACAAGTCTTTGTTGTTGCCGAGCCTCCATGCGATCATTTTAACGATGAAGAAGTTTCAAAGAAATGACATAAGAATGCAAGTTTGAAAATTAAGATTTTTTTTCTGACAGTGGACTGTTCACCTTCTTACCCTTGTGAGAATCAAGGGACTTGCAATGCCAACGGACAGTGCATGTGCCCCACTGGTTACACAGGCAATCGCTGCCAAACTACAGGTAGGTGTATAACTCCATGCTATAGAACTCCCAAAACTGGCATTTCCCAGTTTGGTCAGGCTGGGAAGTGGACGGTAGTACCTTTCCTTACAGTTAAAATATTGGTACCTTACCTTACGGTTACAATATTGGTAGTTTTGAATACCTGACCTACCTTACGGTTAAACATTGGTACCTTACTTTAGGTTTAAAACATTGGGAGTTTACCTTATGGTTAAAATATTGGTACCTTACTTTACCTTAATCATGCTGCTGTTGAATCCTTGTGAACTATTTAGTGTCATGAACTTTATTAATTAAAATGCAAACATGGTGGTGCCCATAAATTGGGCAAAAAAATCGGCTGAGTGCTTCCTAGCGAGGCGCCCTACTTTAACAAATATGGGTCATTCTATAAAATGGGGTCCGATTTGTGTGTGTGTCCCTGTTACATCTGATATAAGCTTTTATAAATTCAGGACACATTCTGTAATGCCTTCTCCAAGAGTGATTGCAATGTATTTTTCAAAGAAACAAAACTTAGTTTGAAGTTTTAAAGATACTCTCATGACAAATTACACAGGTCAGGTGTAACAGGGACACACAAAAATGTCGCATTTTTGGATCAAAATTTATGGAATGACCGAAAGGGAAATGGTAATGGCCAATCATACAACTTGAAAATTCCATGATTTGTCAAAGATATATAGTCCTCCACTGTGTCGCATTTTGATGTTTCCCTCGACTTGATTTGTATTTGAACATTTCAAAAAGACCCTTGAGGATGTAAAGGTAAACTCCATCATGTTTGGTAAATTGGGGGTACATGTAGTATTTGGAAAAAAAAAGTTTTTTCCAACAATGGCCGGCCGACCATATCATTGCAAATTGATACAGAAATTCCACTTTTCTTGAAAACGACAGCACACCAGGTGCCATGATTTCTTGAGACTATTATTCATTTATAGTCAAGTAAGGTTACACTGTAATTTGGCAGTTTTTTTATATTTGTGAATTTTGTATATTACCTTTAACCCAGTGTAAACACAAGCCTATTAACCCAGAGTAAACATAAATATCGTTATTAACCCTCAAACATAATAAAATAACAAAAATAATGATAATAATAATAATTAACATTTATAAAGCGCTTCATCCTCATCATGTACAGTAACTATTCCCTGCAAATCTAACCCATGTCAAAATAATGAAACCTGCATGGAAAATAGGAACTCATTTTCTTCCGTGTCACGTGATATGCGGGACTCACTTCTGGCGTTTTCACAAAGTAGCGCTAAGCGCTAATACACATAGTTAGCGTCACTTCGTGAAAACTGGAACATAGCGGTATCTGATGTTTGAGTTTCACGAAGTGTACTTATGGTTAATTAATATAACCACTCGTTATTTTGTTCCATAAAAATCATCAGACAATGCAACAAAATATGAATTTTGAGGCTAAAACAATATTCAAATCACAGTTTCAAAACATCAACTTAAATCGCTTGTAGTAACCTCAAAACACACATTCAACTACGTAGCGCTGGAGTATATAGTCGGTTAGAAACACAATGTGCTCGCATATAATCTGAGTTACACTATTGGTATGTACCTACTCGTAAAAAAAATATTAATAGCACGCTTGGGAAAAAAAAGGGCACGCGTGAAAAAAAAACTAGGGGTAGGGGGCTACGTACTTCACCCTTGTTAATGCTATTTTCCCAAAACACATAAACTGCTCACACTGAGTGCTTTTAATAGGGGGAGTTTTTCAATTTGTCGATATGGCAATTATTGGCAGCAATTAAGTCTTCACAAACTTAGTACAACTAAGTGAATTAAGCCTCATTTCTGGGGTTCATATTAAACCAAAGTGAGTCTTCTGCAAAGTTGAGTAAATAACTTGAATTTTCAATATGACAGTGCATGCTTAGAAAATGTATAACATTTGTATCTAGATAATGTTGCAGTATATTGTGCTGTGTAAATTGTTCTGTGATTTTTTTAACCCTTCTAACTGACTATTATATATATCTAACTGATATTTTACATGTGTAATACTTTTATGCAACAATCAAGCATCTTGGAATTTTGTGGTTTTTGGCAATTGTTTTCCTACTTTAAAAGGAACTGATGGGGGCATTCGTAATGTGGTGTTAAAGGTGAATTCTTGGATCACCGCAAGACGACCAACTGCGAAAGCATTTGCCAAGAATGTTTTCATTTAGCTCGTAAAAAAAACAGAAGATAATTCCTGTCCACAAATTTCAAAACAATGAATGCAGAAATACCACAGAATTGCCCCAAGAATGCTTGATTTGTTGCCTGATTGTTTATTCTGTTGTCTGCTGTTCTATGTGTAGTCACAACCTTGCCACCGCTCCTAACAACAGCACAGTTGACAACGCAAATCCCAAGCCTGGCCTGTGAGTCAGATCCGTGCCAAAATGGCGGTACTTGCCGAGATGGAACCGGCAACTCGTATAACTGTGAATGTGCCGGTGGTTACCAAGGCCTTAATTGTGAAACTGCTGGTGAGTCCACTGACTGGCTAATTGTTGGTGGCGGTAACCTGTCGGTGGTGGGAATTTATTTAGCCTTTGTGACTTTTGTCATTTCTGTCATTTCGTAACAACACTGTATACTGAAAAACTCTTGCCAGTAATGCAGTTATCTTTAAGTATTACATATGTTATTTCAAACTACCTTTCACAAAATTTAAGGCGGACTAAATTTAATCTAATTACCTTCAAACAAACTTGAATCCTCGATTCCGATTGGTTGGTCCAGCATATTAACAACAGTGTATCATAATATTGTCCCATATACCATGGTCAATATCGCATTCAGTGTATCGATTGCACTATTTTTGCATGTGCCCAACTGGCTACACTGGTGAAATGTGTGATCAAATGAGTAGATGTCTTGTTACTTTTCAAAAAGACCCCCTATCCAGTTCGTTGGTGTGACGTCAGTTCAGTTTAAACCACGCCCACTGACCATTCAGTAGCATTGGAACCATTAGAACTGGAAGCTAATGTAACTTGGGTTTTTTTCCAATTGCGCTAGTAATCAGTGGTGCGCGCGCGTGTATGATCTTTTACTAATGAACCAGATACAGTTGTCAGCCTTTTCACGAAGGGACGAATTCAGCCAAAATCCATATTTTTTTCAAAATTCTTTTTCCGGGCAAAATCGGTTTAGTAAACAGCAACGAACCTTTTGGCAAAGTTTTTTGGGTCAAAAATCAGTTCAAGTCAGTGAAATCATGACAATCAATGCAGGGAAATTTCACCTGAATGATGACGTATTTTAAGTTTTCACGAAGAGACAAATTCCAACTTTATCACGTTGTTTTATGGGGCAAAAATAATGCGCGTATAGGTGTTGGAGTTTTCACGAAGAGACAAATTGAATTAGCCCCGCAAAAAAGTCGTCGTTGCGGGCAGCAAACAAAACACAGTAAATCGTGACGTAATAAACAGGACTCGTGTATGCTACTGTGCATCGGGAGTCCTGTTTATTACGTCACGATTTACTGTGTTTTGTTTGCTGCCCGCAACGACGACATTTACACAGTTGCACGTTCGGGTCGAAACTGGACCTGAAAAACAGCTCTCAAAAGTATCTTTTGTACTCATTTCATGACAGAAACAATAGTCTTTTTTATTTCATCACACCTTAGGCTACATATACCCGAAAAATGACGGAAATGTCTAAGAGCATTCCACATCCTCTTTAAAAACAGAAGAAACCTCACACAAACATCTTTTACAAAGCTTTAACTGTTGATGATTTTTTTTTGTTCAATTTGTTGTTTGATTATTGCAGCCGACACCTGCGTGGTGGGAATGACTTGCATGAATGGTGGTTCCTGTAGTGCATCTAGTGGTCAGATCTGTGTATGTGCAGCAGGCTTCACTGGAACGAACTGTGGTAAGTATTGCTTGTGGTTTGATTCAGATCTAAACTTAGTAAAAACATTTAAACTTAGCCCTCCCCAAGCTAGGTTATTTTAATAGTGGGGTGCTGTGGTCCAATGGTTATGGTGTTCGACTTGTGTGCCGTGGTACATGGGCTCGAATCCTGACCGTGGGAACAATTACCATTATTGCTTTGTCCTTTGGATGGTATGTAAAGCCGTAGTTATTTTGTGTAATGCATGTTAAGAACCCAGTAACGTTTATCGCTAAGAGAAGGGGTTTGCCCCGGTGTTTCTGGCAGTGGCTGCAATATGCGCCGCAGCACCTTGTACACCCTTATAAGGTGCTACATAATGGGTCTCATATTTCTCATGAACCTCATTTACCTGTCTTTAATAATAGACATAATTACCAGCGCTTTGAGTACGTAATTGTTGGTAGATATGTGTGCTATATCAAACTCCAGTATTATTATTAATTGCTATTTTTCTAGCGAAAGAAAGTTATTCACTTTCGAATTAAACATCAAATAAAAATTCTAGCCAAGTTAAGAAGAATAATCACTTTATAAAGTTATAAATATTTAAAGCCTAGCAACAATTCAGGCAGACCTTTTTATACACGATATGGGCAAAACCAAAATGCAAATGCCCAAAATAGGAATAAAAGATATTTGGAGACATTGAAATTATTTGAAAAGCACAAAGTCCATTACATGTTGACTGCAGAGTTTATGTTGTACAAGTAACTAAGAATTATACAATTTACTAAATTAACCCTAACTCCCTACTAAGTTTTACTAAGTAGAAGACCATGTCTATCAAAATCCATCACTGATCACTCTGCTTCACATAATGCTTCAGGACCAAATCTGTTGAAATGTCCACCTCTGGTGCCGGTGGATTTTGATGGACTTGGTACACATGGTTTATCTGCCAAAATCCCCCAAATTGGGAGGATGGAATTTGATGGAGTTGGGAAGGTTAGGCTTAAATTCAAACCCCCCAAATTGAAATGGAATTGGTTTGTACATTTCTCTGCAGACACTACCGAAACAAATTATTGCACTAGCAATCCTTGTAAGAATGGCGGAACTTGCATCAGCATAAACGACCGGTTCACATGCGCCTGTAAAAACGGCTACGTGGGACAGACTTGTACCAGTAAGTAATTTCATTCAGATAACTATTACATTTGATTGATTTGTATGTTTCTTGCCAGAAATGGTAACCCATCCATTCTGCACCGACAATCCTTGTAAGAATGGCGGAACTTGCACGAATGACGGAAAATGTCTCTGTAAAATTGGCTATACGGGGCACACGTGCATAAGTAAGTATTTCATTCTAATAATAATTACATTACCCTGGCCAAATTTGATACGGAGTTAGATTGGTCAGGCAGAATTTGGCTTACTTCAACTGTGCTCATCTACTACAAAATTTACGAATGCTTGGAATTTGTTTGTTGATGCTTAATGATATCCCTACCCCTCCACCCTCAGCCGTTGGTGGTATGCTTGATTGTGGCTTGCTCTAAATCCTTGCCATCCCACAAAATGAGTGCTTTGGTTAAATATTTTAAGGTAATAGACACCATTTCCAAAAAAAAAAACCCCAACCAAACATACTTTTTGAAGATTTAAACAAAATAATTTCCATTTTAATAAAAATGAGAAAATGCATCTTTGTTTTTTTTTCCCAATGCGAAGCATGGTTTCTGTTGAAGACCCTCCCTTTGCATATTTTCATAGATATATTTTGACTTGCACCTTCTTGCGGTATGATCTCCAGTTTCTCACTCGGGAAAAAATACTTCTCATTCATGGATATGTAACCGATGGCAAACTAGACTAAATATGGTGAATTTGGGACAGTATTTAGGGCAAAGGCAATGCTGTTTCTTTGGTAATTCCTCTTTTTTTTTAGAAAGCCAGCAAACTAGGCGCAATAATTTCACAGGATGCTTGATGCTATTTTTTACTTAAAATCAAGTATGGAAATAAATGAATCTGCTGCAAACTTCTCACTGACTGGATTGACCTGAAATATTCAATTTCAACAAATTAAAATGGCCTGATATCTCAGCCTTAGCGAGGCCAGCCCCGAGCATCGGGGGGGGGGGGGGGGGGGGGGGGGCCAAAGTACCAACAAGGTGGGCCCACATACCGTAAAAATACAAAAATACACATGTACGGCTTTTGCCATTTGGGGGGGGGGGGACAAATTGCTCCCCAAGGTTGGCCCGGCCCCAGCCCCTCCAGGCCCCCCTTTGATGACAGGCCTGAGCAAGGCCCTCTTGCTGAGGCTGAAATATCAGGTCACTTTAATGTTTTGATTTTAAAATCAAGTAGTAAAATCAATTTTATACAATCTTGCAGTTTAGTTTTGTAGTGACTGCAAATGGGTCCATTACCTTTGAAAACAACGTGGCATGTTCAACTTGCCAGGAAATCCTGCAAAATCCATCTGCTTCTTTGAAAATTGCGTGGGTTTCGTTTTAGCACAGTCATCTTTACTTTTCAACATATCAACAAGTAGGCACTTCACATCATTTCAAAAAGTTACTCTAATTTGGCTCTCATGAGTTGGTCACAACGCCTTTTCCATTCGCCCTATACATTTAGAAGTCTTAGAACTTACATGTAAATAGGGCTCAGTCTTCAAAGTTGTGTTTCATTGGTGTCGCTGGTGGTCGCATTATCCGTGGAGGAGTTCTTGTTCCCCGGGGCACTGATTACAAATGGAGGATGCGCGCTGTTGTTCTGCCTGGCTCGACCCTTGCATCCAAACACCTGAGCCAAAGCAACTCGGTACTGCTCACTCATTACGCCGTAGACCAACGGATTGATGAAAGCGTTGATCAACTGCGGCAGAGTGGAAATCCATCGAGCGCCACTGCCAAGCGTAATCAGTAAAGGATCGGGGATGTGGCCAATCAAGCAGATCCACTCAGAGAAACTGAGGATGCGGTACGGGACTTGGCACATGAAGAAAATGACACCGTTGACGACCAACATCTTGGCCACCTGGTTCCGAAGGAGCAGAGCTTTCTGAGCTCTCTCCATGGTGCTGTTTTTACTCCTGCGATTGTTCAACTGTCGTACAATTTGGATGTACATATAAACATTGGCCGCCATGGTGATGAGCCAGGGAAAGTTTTGGAATGGCGGGACGGCGTATCTAACCCACGAGGACACCGCATCACAGCGAGTTACCAAGGACGGAAAATCCTGATACTCATCATCGTCAGGCCACTGGAACTTTTGTAGAATCAGCCGAGCTGAGTGGGGCACCGTCGAAGAGGCAAACAACAGCCCAAGCAGCCAGCAGAGCCCGGTCATTTTGTAGGTCCGCACTCGAGTACGGATTTGACGGTGCTTAATGGGGTGACACAGGGCCAGGTATCTCTCATATGAGACGGCCGTCACTGCAGCAATGGCCGTAAAGTAGCCAGTGTTTAAAACCAGAATGAAACTGACGCAGCTGGCAGAGTTCTCAAAAGGAAAGTCAAAGGCGACGGGAGATGATGCAAAAAGCCAAACGTAGATTGCCGTCGTCATGCACAGATAGAGTACATCGGCCACTGCCAAGTGGGCCAGGTAGACGTTGGTATCCGACCTCAGTTGAGGAACCCGGAACAAGACAAAGAGAAAAGTGGAATTGGTCAGGATCCCAAGAAGGCAAATGATGGGAATGACGATAGGCATGATGACACGGTCCGCAGGAGTATACAGCCACTGAGAAGCTGCCTCTGCGCTTATGTTGAAAGTCTGTAGTGTACCGCACTCGCCCGAGGATGTGCACGATCCCATGGTCCCTCCTGCTGACTTCTCTTGAATAACAGCAAAATAGTTACAGGAGATTCACGAATATGTCTTATTCAAATGACATCATTTCCTACAGACCATCCACGTGCATCTGCATTTTGAGCGTCAACTTGCATAACGCGCATCGGCTGCGTCCTATTTTGAACAAGAGGCGTATTTGGAACATTTATAACACTGCACAATGCGTGCTTGATTGCGCAGTTGCACTTTTCCTACAGAGATGGCCGTTATAAAGCGAGCCGTATACGCAACTTTTCTTTGCGTCAGCAGAATGGTATTGATGTGCAGCTGGGTTTACCCTTTTTTTTTCTAGACGCGTGAATTGGACGGTTGCTTTTCCTCAACTCTGCTGCTGCTCACTTGAACTGATTCTGAAGTCATTCGTTTACCACCTCCTATCAAGAGACATCGGGTACTGTGCCCTGAATATGCGCACTAGCTGTCTCATATACTGTTGACACAAAAGCAAGAGCAAATATCGTGCAAAAAAATTAAGAGCTTGGCGAATTATGAAACATAAAACCGATCTGTTAATGGTTAGAAGAAGTCTGATGTGAGCTGGGTTTGGCCAGTTTGTACCTGTCGGCTCGTGTGGAACAAAGTAAATGTTTCTGTGAATTACCGTATCCCATCAATCAGTCAAATAATAACGCTGACATATATGAGTACATCCCTTGAAAGCATTGGACTTGAGCATAAAATAGTCATCCAGCACAAGCTGGAGATGTATTTAATCTACGTAATTGCATCTCCCATTTTTGAGATGAGACCATTATTTTGTGACTTCAATATTTGCTGAGGTGATTTTGTAAATGAGATTAATACTTAAGCCGTCTATTGCTCAGACTCTGCCAGTGGGCCATTATTTTGTGTTTGCTCTTGTAGCCGGTACAAGGCCAGTGGAAATGCAACAGGCCATTCTGCGGAAATGAGCTTTGCGTGTCTACATGTAGATGGGATGTAATGAGTTTTGATGATGAATAATTGAGCTTCAGCTTCCTGTGTTCTTGTCATTCGAGACACTGGTCGGAAAATGTATTGAAAAAGGCGGTTCCCACTATATATCTTTGCAATTGGATATATTTGCTTTTTGTCCAGAAAGAGGGTGATGTATTGCTTCTCATCAGTCATTCAAAAGCCAATTTCAGATTGACTTTTCCATTGATCATAGAGCTATATTAAATACTAGAGTGCTGACTCGTGTACATTGTGATGCCTGCTGGGCGCATCCATGTTTGTGCCCAAACTTATGGAAAATTCAAAATTGTGTACGGCTTTTGAACAGCTATTTGCATATCTGTGTTTGTATTCTGTGTTTGTGCAGATGCGTTATCAAAGCCGATCCGCCCAAAACTGAAATGCACGATCAGCAAATGAGCGTTTCATTTTGCTCTTCCCAAACAGTGCAACGCATGCATGTATCCGCTGCAGATGATTACCATGACTTTTTTTTTAAAAACCGTCTTGAAACGCGCTTAAGTTGTTTTCGTGCTTTCTACTTGCGCGTTCCATTTAGAGTACACTTTCAAAATTCAATCCATCTAATTTCATTGTGTTCTACAAACACGCACATGAATTCAAAATGTCTGCGCCCAGAGCGGCTTCAGAGCTTCTCCGTGTGCAAGAATAAGGAGTTAGCCTATGGCCTATACAGACAGACTGTAGTGATATCTATAACTACCGGTCTAACATCTACTCCAATTGCACCTTTCACAGCTCCATAATATGGTTGTGGCGCCTGACTTAATCGCCAGTTATAAATGTACAGAGTCTATAAAAACAGCTCTCAAATTTAACTTATTCAAAGTATTTTATATGCCAGAAATAATTGCATTTTGTATTTTGATATGCCTTAAGCCAGTTATAACGAAATAATGATTTAGGTGGAGGTCCATTCTGCATTGACAATCCTTGTAAAAATTGTAGAACTTGCAACAGCCTAAACAACAGGTTTCTTTATCTGTAAATATTCTTTGTGGGACTGACATGTAACAGAAAGTAATTTCATTCAAAAAATAATTCAATTTCTTTGCTCAAATGAATTGAATGAAACCAACCAGCAGGTCAACAAGTTCTTGGTTGTTTCGTGCTCTGCCAATCTGTAAGCCATGGCAAGGAGAGCCAGGTGCTCGGCCCAGTCAGTTTGAGATCTTTTCACCAAAAGGCTCGGCATGGCATCCATGATTAAAATGCTCTACCATCCCGTCAGATCTTGAGTGGCACGTAGAGGTGTGAGTTCTCCTCAAGCCAAGGGTCAAGCACATCTCACTGAAGACTTCTGATTTGAGTTCTCTACCTTAGTTTTAGTGCATTTCAAGGGGGACTCCACATCGGGCGACAAACTCGTCCACAAGCTTGGTTGTGACCGTCTTTAGCAGTGTGATCAGTAACTGGAAAGCATTCAGTCCATCTGGTACAACAGTCGCCCACCACCACGATTTACCGCATACCTCGTTCAGTGAGAGGAAGGGGCCCCAAGACATCAATTATGGCTATTCACTCAATAGGTGCTCCCATTGGTAGTCCGCCATCCCCGCCCTTCTCATCCTTGCAGAGGTTACCGTCTTCAGCACTGTGTGCGTTGCTGGACCCAGCAACGTTTTGTCCGACGTATCTGTCCCATGCATGGGGGCCAGTAGGAACAACTTTGGCATAGCTAGACAATGCCCAGCATGGGCGTCACCAGGATTTTTTTCTAGAGGGGGCAAAGCACATCCCCCCCCCCCAAATCCCTATTTTTTTTCCAGCATTTTCCCAATTGATCATTTTTAGAGGGTGGGCAGGGATATTCCCCTCCCCCCACCAACCCATTAAATTAGCAACAATATGATTTCGCCCCTCTTTTTCTTTGTTCCTTTTCTGCGTGTGTGGGGGTGGGGGCAGTCGGGGTCACCCTTGACTGGACACCCCTCATTGTAGGGTGATACCATTGTCCTGAATGGGTATACAAAAAGTGCCAGTCAATGTACAGAGTATGACTCTACGGGAAGAACTGTACTTTTTCATTTTGGTTTGAAGTGTTATGGATATTTCAGTTGGGCTAAACTCAATTAAAAAACTGAGTATTCACTAGCTTTTGAACAGTTTTCCAACAAGTGCATGCAGACTTTTGGTTATCCTTTCTGTAGTTCTGGTTTTGGTGAATACAATGTAGTTTCTAATGTGAAATCTGTTGACCCCAATGTTGGCGTTGCGTGGACGTTTTAGAAAAATTGGTATTTCCACACAAAAATTGTGATTTACATATTTACACAGCACACGTTGAGCAGATGAGACCAGCGTTTCCACGTACCTTGAAAGTAATGGACTTGAGCATGAAATAGCCATCACGCTCAAGTTAACTAAGAGATGTATTTATTATACTACATAATTGCAACTCAAATTTTTTTTTTAAGACCAGACAGCTATTTTATGACTTTTTGGTATTTGCTGACTTGACTTTACAAATGAGATTATTACTGAAGCCATCCATTGCTCAGACCTAGGCCCATTTGTGATTGCCTTAATGTTTTTTTTATAATGATGGATTGTTGGGCTTGAGCTTCCTGTAATTTGGCCGTTGAACGTCACTCAAGATAGACACATCAGATGTTGTTTTAAAATGTTCATTCACTTGTGACTGGACTTTTAAATTAACAATTTATTTCAATTTTCTTTTCTTATTTCTCTCTCTCTCGCCATCTCTGGTACAGCTCTGACCACCAACGGCAATGGTACCAATAGCCAGACGGGACTCCCCCTGGAGATCTGGTGGATTGCCCTGATCGCTCTGATCGGTCTTCTCCTGATCATCATCGCCATTGCCGTCTGCGTCACCGTCATCCGCTCCGGCGATTCAGATCAGGCCCACATTATTGGCAACCGCAATGCCAAGGGATATCCCTAAACTCCGCCTCCGAAAAAAAAAATTGCACTGGTCTCTCCCATCTGGGCCCAAATTCTCAACTGGGCCCACATTCTCAACTGGGCCCAAATTCTCAACTGGGCGAAATTTCATAGAGCTGCTACGTACAAAAAAAGTGCTAAGCAAATTTGTGAGCTAAGCACGAATAACTGAGAAAGCAGTCAAGTGCAATACATATTACATGACATTTCGGCTTGTAACCTGTTTTTTTTGCTAAGCAGAAAGATTCTGTGCTAAGCACATTTCTGTGCTTGGCAGTTTTATAAGATTTAGCCCCTGTAATTGGCCAATCTTACAGAGCAGGGCCCAATTTCATGGCGCTGCTTAACAGTTAGCAGAAAAGTTGTGCTTGTACTACAGCTGAAAATTGTGCTAACATTAAGCACTATGTTTTTACGGTGTGGATGTGCTAACGGTTGAACGCGATGGAGATTTCCATTGTTACGTCACTAAGTAAAGCGAATTTTTCTTCTGAGGTACGCGTGCCCTTTGCTGTGTTTACTGCTTACGGTCTCCATCGCCATGAAATTAGGCCCAGCTCATCAGCACAGAAAGCAAAGTTACTTACTGATTGATGCTTATAGCACATGCATTACTTTTGCCTAGGAGCTTCATGACATTGGTACTCAGTGATCTTTGGTAAGCAAATAACACTCTGTTTGTAAAGATGCACACTTTAATTTTTCAGGGTTTTTTTTTCCAAAAAGTAAAGTCTTTTTATTGATAACTTCATTGTCTGTTAGCATCAGTGGAACTTTTCAACTGTACGTTACTTCCTCGCTTATGACAATATCAAAAATGGGGAATCCCAACCTATGGCTGGAAAGCTCAGTTTATTGGTATAGAGCACCGGACCGGCAATTCAGAGGTCACTGGTTCAAACCCCACTCCCCGGAATGTCGAGTTTATACCTCTGCTTTTCAGAACCAATCTCTTAGTTCAAGAAAATATTCCACATGGTGTTTAGGCAAACCTTTCATTCATTAGCCCGCCTCCAGTCAATTTCTTTCCTCAATTTTAAAATATAAAACACAAGTTAAATCTTTGGCACAGGTAACAAAAAGATGTGTATGGATGTAGTGTTTTTTTGTGTCGAGGACAGAGTGCATGAGTGAACTACTTGACATGAATCAGGCATGCAACTTGTCCTCGGATTGGCAGGTTTTCTCTTTTTTTTAATTTCCGTGTGTGTCATTAAAAATAGAACACTGTACAAAGTCTTGGACATATTTCAATTTCCTCTTTTTTTGTGCGTGCCTGATGAATTGTTGATGAGAAATCGAGATTGTCAAAAGCCATCCCATCGGATTGAAGAAAAGCCATCCCATCGGATTGAAGGCAAACTAATTTGATCAGCTGCGGGCAGCTTTCCTTCATGAATTGCCATTTTAATCAAGTGAAAAGCCTTTCAGTGTTGATGTTTGACTTCAAACACTGTCAGACAGGTACATTTAATTATCCGTTCTTTCCTCACAGTGCCAAGATCTTTTATTATGTGGATGATTGTAACATTTAAGGGAAGAGACCCTGCATTAGCTGATATATCGGCTAGAATGTCTTAAGTGCATTGTTTTAATTCTGTCTTCTTTATAGGCAATTGATAACGTACATGTACTCAAAAGAATGAACCCGCTGAAAAGTACAGTAGATTGCTTTTTACCCAGTACACTTCTGGAACCTAGTTTTGAGAGCTAAATATATTTTTTTTAAAGTAACCAAGTTTTAATGATTGTATAAGTAGAAATACACAGTCTACACTACTTGTATTAGTATCATTTTCTAGAGAGAAAAAAATTCTTGTCCATTTAAAAAAAATTTGGAATGTCTTCCAATTTTTTATTTTTTTTTAAAATTAATAAATACATTTAAGGGCTGGGCAAAATACGGTGATTCCGAGAGCTCGGTACGCAAACAGTAGACAATGCTTTGTTAGGCCTACCACTTGAGAAATTCAGTGGGAGAGACACACGCCTGATTGTAATCTGAAGTTGGGCCTAAACGTCCATACTCTCAGTTGAGAAGCTGAATTGCGAAGGACGTGGTTGATCAGAAGGCATGTCAAGTCGCCTCAGGCTGCCGCCATACGACCCCTTTCTGACCACAGAGCACAGCCAGCGATCGAAGGTGTTGATGTTGCATATTGCCAGGCTTACGGCAGCAATGCATTTAAGGGCCCCTCCAAGTGGTCCCCCAACTCTCTCTTTTAAACCGTTGAGGGGGTACTTGTTGCACATAGATCCCACTCTCCCCCAGCCCAATTTCACTCCCACCTAAAACAAAATTTGATACTAGAACCAGATTTTGTAAATTCGTTCAAGGACTGAACTAAAAAAAAAAGGCAAAGCCTTTAAAAATAATACAGCGCAATAATTGTGTCCTTTTTAAATTGATTTTGTTGCGGAGTAGATTTGCTGTAAACTTTGTGCCAATTACTTGCGTGCGCGCGTAGCTTCGTAGTCGTAGTTTGGGATAAAATATCTGACTTTTATAATCGCAAATCAGTTTAATCGGTTGTATATTTCAGTACCAAGTTTCAAAATGGATTGTACGCTTTTGGTATTGAGAAACAAAATATATATGCAATGTATTTAAAGGAGTTTCTTTTAGTGAATATTAGTGTTTTCTACCGACAAGCTTTCATATGTATACAGTGGGCCTTATATTATTTTAGTACATGTACATATGTGGATGGAATGTTTTTGAAAGGAATAATGAAATTCTAGATTCTAGGCTGAAGACGGATTTTGACAAATTTTGTATTTCTTCATGTACATATACACAGTCGTCAAGTGCTTAAAAGGAGATGTTATTAATTCACGATATTTTGTTGGGGGTTTTATGGTTTGGAAAAATGTAGTTTTTTTTGTTTTTTATATATGTACAAGTTAATGGTACCATGGGATCCCATTGGGATCCATGCTATTTGTTGTTTGATTCTTGACAATTAGAGAGGTTTCGCATGCAAACGGATACGTTTAGTGCGACGGATACGTCATCAGTTATGACGTCATTCGCCACTCACTATCCGCTAAATGTGCAGACGACACGCATATCTCGCTCGCTACACGCAAGTAAAAACGGCTACGGATAGCTAAACGTAAGTGTAAGCGTATCCGTTCGTTTGCGAAACCTCCCTATTACCCTAATTGCCATACCATTAGTCTGTACCCTGAGTGGACAACAAACTGTCAGGCTATGATAGTGCACTCGTTACGTATGGTCTCTAGGCTATCTGTCTTGACTGCTACCCTAGATACCATACCATTAAAGGATTTAGCATAGAATTATGGCTGGTCACTCTTACACGAAGCATGAATGGAAATTTGCGAGAACACGAACATGAGTAGAATAAGCCATTTGCGAGTAACCTATACCCTTTGGGATTTACATTTGAAAAACGTCTGGTACAATGACTTGCTCAGAATGCTTGGCACATTTTAACTTTGAATTCTCCAGACCAAAGACACTGTTGCTAATCACAAGATTCGGGGCAAGCTCTTGCATAGTTACGTAAGAGACGCTCAGCACCAATACATCGTTCACAATGGGTGAGAATGGCACAAAGACACCAGACCATGCCGGAGCTGGGGGTTGCTAGCATAAGGCTTGCCCCGAATCACGTGATATAGTAACAGTCTCTTTGGTCGGGAGAATGCTAGGTTAAAACGTGCAAAGCATTGTATTAAGTCAGCGTTCCAGATTTTATTCAAATTTAACTCGCAAATGGCTTATTGAAATGAAGAATAGAATAGAAATGAAGCCTTATCAAAAGCTTATCAATTTGTAGCGTAATGTCATTAAACGGCCGATTCAGACATAGCCGAATTCTTATCCGGCAAACATTCATATAATTAATCAATTTAATCTCACCCTTTTCAGATCTTTCATGGCAGACGGGAAAAAAAAGCTCAGGTGATCATCTGATATCCTATCACTTTATGATTACTTTACTTAATATGACGGTGAAAAACTTAATATACTATTGCAAACTGCAACGTATGTTTAATATTTTTTTTTGATTTCAGTAATACATACACGGATGAATTACATTTCGCAAATGGCTTCCAATATCTGAAGGTTGACTTTCAGTGCTGTGTCTAGACTTGTTTGGATTAAAAAAAACCAAGTATTAACAGAGCAATTTTGTACATTATGGAGAAATCTAGTTATGCCAGAAATTGACTTTTAACAGTTAAAAACCTGTTTGTTATGTAAATGCAATTTTCACCCTTTTTTTCCTAAAGAAGACAAACTACATGTGCAAAAAGTCTGTTCAGTTCAAAACAAGCAACAACATAAAAAACCTTAGTTGTGTATCTGATAGTTTGGTTTTGGTATGAATTTTAAAGAATGTTATGACTGCTTACATTTAACAAACTCAGACTAGTGAATAAAAGAAAGGGGATCTTCTTTCTGAAATAGTATATTTTCAACTTCTCAGATGATTATAATCATGCAAAGAACATTATGTGATGTGATTATGTAAAAAAAGAGAAATCATTGAATACAATTATTGCTGTCCTATCACGATTAATGCTCCATTTTTTATAGAAACACACATGAAATTTCTGAGAGTGATTGAATTTTGTGAATAAAATTTGCAGAGTATTAATCACACGTTATGAAAGCCCACACTTTATCTTGTTGTTATTCCACCCGCTCCCCCACGCGACAATACTGACCCTTCACCTACCAGAAAATTCCTCTCAAGAAAATGTCAAAACAAAATAGAAATATATGTATACAAACATTGCATTGAAAAGCTGCTACATAGTTTTGTGCGTAATTAAAAAAGTTAGTTACCCTGTACATAAGTATAAAACACAAACATACCGTCGACTCAATAAGCCTTTTTGAAGTATGCTGGCCACAGCAGGAGAGCATTATTTAAAGTGGGTATATTTGAGTAAATGCAGAAGCATTTACTCAATCAAATTATCGCCCTCCTATTGTGTCCGCAATACTTTAAACATGTTAAAAAGGGGAATATATTTCACACCATATCCTTTTATCATGCATACAGAGAGGAAAATTTGGCATGAAATTTGTTCAGACAAAATTAACTAGCATAATGAACTGAAGAGTGTCACATTCTTATAATAAACACTGAACACTGCACAAAATCCACATCAAGCACATCTATTTTTGTTGAGACAAATATATTCGGAAATGGTTTCATTGTTGGACCGCATTTTCACTCTCATGTATGCATGTGCTACATTCTAAATTAAAGTACTTTGCAAAACTTGCTTTTAGTACATCAGATTATACATTTACAACGTACCAACTTATTTTGTAGGTTTTCCCGTCCACTTTCGCAACTTGTTCATAAACTCAGACAAAACGCGAGGCACTCTGGCAAAAATAAGACAGAACTGGGCAGATGTCGAAATGAGGGTTTGCGGGTTTTAGGAAACAGAATACAATTCTCCTTACAATACTGTTGTTGCACTTCAATCGGGCATTCCGTTGAAAAGTTATGGCTGTTTTAAAGTTCGCATTTATCAACATGTCCAAAAAGTAAAATACTGGGAATAAGACTCTTTAAAGTCTCGATTGTATAGTCGTGAAAATAAAGATGCCGACTGTTTTTCCTCAACTTACACTTTTATTTCACGTGTTTTACACTAATTTCTTTAGAATATGTGTAGTAGACGTATCAAAGATAACTCTGTAAAATCAAAAAAAATCACCCCCATTCGTTTGTTTTATTTCTTCAATTTTTTTTTCCACTACGGCCTGTGCCCAGTTCCGTTTCATTTTGCCAGAATGCCTCATAAACGTTCATTCAACTTCAGGTTGAAACACTGCAAATGAAATAGAATGCTCTAACTGCATATTAGAGACCATGCCTTCATTCCCAACTCTCTGAAACCTCTTGAAATGGAATGAACATTCTGTCTGATTGAATAAACAAATTACGCAATTAGACGAGAAAAACTTTATTTCAGGTTGAAAAACAAACTTAACATAAACATGTTTTTCTGAAGTGTGAAGTATTAGCCCTTTACCTCAACCCACACTAGCCCACCCACCCACTACCCCCCCCCCCCACCTCAAACAAAAAATATATATAAAATTTTCTCAGTGATTAATTACACAATCGTGCAACAAAAGAATTCTTAAAAGATGATGCTGCTTTACAAGGTAGGAAAAATATAAAGTACAGTGTACACAGTTTGGGAACTTTACAAGTAAAAATATACACAAACTGTATTAAAGTATAACAGATAATGCATCTTCAGAACTAACAGATTGACCTATACTAAAAAAATAGATAGGTGCATATTCTTGTCATTTTGTTTGCTTCCTTCAAAGACAAGTTTCTTACACTGCCTGACTCCCTCCCCCTTAATAGTTAACACATTTTTATATGTTCTAAATATAAACTGATTTATAAATTATTCTTCCCCACAAAAAGTATCTTATTTGTGCATTGATTCACCTACTATTATCCCATGTGTAATGATTTACAGAAAAGATCACCCTTCCCCTCAAAAAATGAAGCAGAAAACAATATTTAGAAACGATTTCAATGGCAGATATACTTATACCAACTTTACTGCAAGCACTGTAGATAGTTGTATTACAAAATATAAGCTAGCTTTTGACATTTTAAGGAGAGTATGGGGGCAAAACATTCCAGGGACATATCTTACAAGTTTTTAAATTTCAGTTAAGAAGTTTCCAGTTTCAGATAATACTCTACAGAGAAATGGACGGTTGTTTCAGCAAAAATGAAAGTGGTTTAAAACAAGCTGCATACTTAATATTTCAAGTGAATTCAGAATGACTTTGTTGTCACCTCTATGGCAAGTTTAAAAGAAAACTGTTTAAACACAAGATATTCCAGTGACTCGTATTGATTAAATTTGGGACCTGAATTTTTTTAAAAATCATCACCTGGAAGTACTGAGAGTTAAGTCACTTGACTTGTAATTGCAAACCTTCATAGATCGCCAACCATTTGCATTGTTAATTTTTATTTACGTTATTGTATAGTTTAACATTTGTCGCTCTGCGCATGCTGCAAGTGCCATCTTGGTCTGGTACCCTGATGGAAGACATATCTAAGCATAGATAAGATCAGTAAGGTGATTTGCTACCAGTCTGTAGTTGAGTGGTTGTATTTCAAATCAGTCCTGCATTCAAGTGAATTTGGTTCACATATCCCTAACCACTGTTTTCACACATAGATAGCGGTTGCTCAATATAGAAAGTTAATGACAAATATAGGAATCTTTGTTTAAAATACATTTTTGTTATACACGATTCATATTACAGTGAAAGATACTGCATAGAAGATGAAACATACACATAAAAATATACAGTAGAATACCACAACACTAGAAACCACTTTGCTATGTTTCTTACAAACGATCAAAATTTCCTTTCCAAACTGACCTCCAACCTTTGTTATTCACTAGAGACATTCTAGTAAAACGTTGCCATTTGTGTATAGGCTTAAGTTAAATCACAAATCAATGGTAAGTTGACTAATGGCCCTCGACTAAACGTACTCATGTCAGTGACTGACTGTGAGGAGAACAAGACCTATCCGAGTTGGTCATCATCGGCACCTGCAGATGTCTCTTCCTTACAGCTCCTCATCGTCTCTAAGAGTTGCACTAACCTCCCGTCCTCCCCCTGACAGAACCGGCTGAAGTCCGCCAGCAGTGCCTCGTGGAATTTCTCGTCCCCAGTGGCCGACGATCGCCATTTCTTGCTCAGGAGGTAGTTGTGGACGTACAGGAAGCCAAACTTCCCGCCATAGCGCTCCGGGATCGGGGATTCGAACCCCATACCGTTGCTCTGCGTTCTGCTAGCGGAAGTAGGGCAACTGCTGTTGGTGTGGCCAGCCCCAAGCTTGCACAGACATGGCAGGTGTTGGGTTTGAAGGGTCGAGGGGGGCGGTTGGCTGAAAGGTAATGTAAGGAGAAACGCGCAGCCTGTGACGTGAACGTACTGGCTGTGAATGGGGAGAGCGCTGTGATCTGATTGTGTGTTGCTGGCTAACGGGCTGTGGTATGACGTCTGGTTGCTAAGGAAACCAAACCTGCATAAAAAAGAGAGGATTGTTTAAATTTCTGTCCCTATGGGGCTTTTTAGAGATCTGCATTTTTTGTGGAATGAGCTCGGACAATGAAATTGCCTTGAAGGTATATCAGCTCATTTATCTGCTCCGTTCACAAGTACCCCCTCACCGGCAAAGGAGGAACAGTTGGGGGTGACCGACCGATGCCATCTTGCCTGACTGCAATTTTGCCGCGGTGCGCGGCCGTACCACTGCGTGTACATAGTACAAATCCCTTGGTGTAAGTGCGTCACACACAAGGAACGGTGCTCGTCAACCAGCTAAATGTCCCGCCCATGGGACGTCGTTGCTAGGTAAAAAGGCACCCTCTTTCGTTGGTGCATGGAACCCATAGTAGGTGCCACTGCAAGCTCTTATACTGGTTCACTGCATGCAAAGAGTTCATTGTATCTTTTGTTAACTTGATGATTCTTTTGAGATGTGATTGCCATCCAAAATTCTATACAGTGACAATTTTACACAAAGATCAAATCAAAGCATGAAAGACAAATTAACTCCTTGATCAAAACACACCAGTGTTGCTAAGAAAAAGAAATTCAGGAAAAAACTTAATAATGCCCGAAACATAGACATCAAATCATATTAAACACACATGCTCGTGTCTCCCCTACATGTTTGTTTCTTGTTCCTCTGTCACTTGCCTGTGAAGAAGTCCTTGCTAAGGATGAAATATCAGGCCACTCTAATTTCTTTGTTCATATTAAAGGTAATTAATACAAAGACAATGAGCTTTCACTGTTACTTGATAAGCAAACAAAAAAGACAACGGAAAAGGTCCGTTCCTACTTTTACCTTGTAAGGATAGCCTGTTGTATTCTCCTTCCTACTTCCATCGCTGTGCTATCCTCACCTGACCCCTTCACCTCCCCCAGGCAATCCCCAGGCAGCCGTAGCTCAATGAAAAGAGGACTGTGCAGGGAATCCGAGGTGTCCCAGTTGAAGCCAAAGGGGTCTACGTGGGTGGGTACCAGGTGGAAGCCGCTGGTAACCGCACGCCTCGCCCAGTTGGTGATCTGTTTCATAACCAATAGAGAAGGGATTCACAATGGACTCAGATCAAAAGTACCCCCTCAACGGTTATTATTATTCTGGTTTATTCATATAAAAACACGAGGTAGGCAGCCACAAAAGAGTTGCTGATATAACCACGTTTACACTTTACAAGAATTAAAAATTGTTACATAGCAGTTTAAAGGAATAGAAGCATAAAATTACAACAAAGTATAGGATCATATATATACAGCACAAAACAGCACAATATTAAAAAAAACCTGATTTATAAAATTTAAAAAAAAATCAAACTTGAAGACAGGTCATTCAGGGAAGTTGGTCTAATAAAAAGTACTCACTTGCACCTACATTGTAAACAATTAAGAATTACAAAAGTTTAGCTAAGACAGGAATTGTAGACTTCATGTATCTATCAGTTTTGCACTTAGGTACAACTAGCGTAGATGTGAAACTGTCTCTGAGTATTCTGGTAGTGGTGTTATTCAATTTAAAAGGGGGAGCATATTTCTAAATCTGGGGGAATGTAATAGTTCTGTGCCAAAGTTATACAGTAAGGTGTCCCTCCTAGTTTCAAGGCTTGAAATACCTAGAGCACCAAAGCATTGGAGTAACTGTGATACTGATGAGAGCCTAACATAATGCGACAAGCACGTTTTTGTACATTTTCAATTCTATAAGCCAGTTGTTTACTTATCGAGGTATGCCAGACTTGGCTGGCATACTCTAAAACTGGTCTGAAACTGGTCCTTACAAGGAGCAAGTTGAGGAAGATCAAATTCAATTCAATTGTTTCTAAAATAATTAAAAAAAATTAAATGACATAAAACTTACGAGCTCCTGCAGCAGACTCGGCGTAGAGGTCAGCCACTGCAGCTCAATCTCAAAGGCCGAGACGGGGTTGTAGTTGCTATGGTAACCAACATGGCACCACTCCACGCGATCCTTGAGCTTGCTGCTGTCGATCTCCAGGAAGAGTGACTTGTAGGCCGGCTGTTGGAAGCTGGTCTCTGGTTCACTGCCGATACCTGGTGAGATGGATATTACGGTGAGGTAGTTGGACCAAATAGTCTAGATCTGATATTATGCAGCTGCCAAGCACATAATTTGGCTTAGGAACCTTACGCGCTTAGCAAAAATGGGATGGGAACCAGTCACCAGCATTAGGCATCTCATGATATTTCTGCCGGTTACCAGTCAATCAAACAGTATGCACCAACCAATTAAATCACGACTTTGGGTCTGGTGACCACGGTAGCTCGGTCGAACTCATAGTGCTGAACCGAATATTCAAATAGCTTTTTGCCCGTTTGAATATTCGAGAAAAAGAAATACTCGCTGTACACACGACTGTAATTTTACTATAATTGTAAAGTTGCGCCGCTTTATTGTCAAGTGCCACTTTTTTTGTCGACCGTGTTCCCATCCTTTTAGCAGGTTAAAACCCTTGACACTTATAAAATACTTGCTGTAAAACACTCCAGCGGTCCATAATATCGATCGCCGCATGCACATTTTTACCGGCGTGCTTTGAGGGCAACTTTTGACCGGCGCGGCACGCAGCTGCAGCTGGCGTGTGTAAAACTTGATCAGAGAGTTTCCAATATTTGAAAGTTTGGCGAAACGCAGTTTCAAATAATCAAATATTAAATTATTCTTAAATGGGCATCCCAACCAACTCCGTCAACATCACAGTGAGAACTAGTGGTTACAAATCAAAGGGGGGGGGGAGGGTTTATAAATAATCCAATTTACCATTGTCTTTCTCAACTTCAGCGGAATCGACTCCCTCCTGATTTTCAGCTGCCGTCTCGTCCCTATTTTCTGAGCTCTCCTCCGAGGGCTGATGGGATAGCTTCCCATAATTCCCTCCTTCTGGGTGCGAGCAGGACACCTCGAACCACGGGTTGCGAGAGGTTGTGTCAAAGGTCAAGGTCAAAGGGGATCGGGTAGCTGGAATTCCTGAAGGCCTTCTGGAGTCTAGAGGACAAAGGAAAAATGGGCCACGAGTTTTAGAACATGCTGGTCAATGAACAACAGTCATTGTGAATGGCCACAGTACCTATTGAAATCATGACACTGAACTTGGACAGGACTACATGTATCTATGGTCATGATACAGCTGCTGGATCTGTACCAGGGGCCAATTTGCTAATCACAGAATTCTGCACTTACGACCACAAATTTTGTGCTAAGGCGAGCCCTCAAATTAGAATCCCTCCCCGGACCGTTCGGGGTTGAGCCCGCCCAGTATGTTGAAGGGATCGGGACCTTGCATGGAACCGATCGGCCTGGATTAACTCCACCAGGCTTCTGCACCATGGCTCTGGCTCATCACAAAGGAACCAATTTGCGACGCGCTAATCCTCCAGTAGGCAACAATGACTGTGATGAGCTTCATAGAAGTTGCCGCTGGTAATCCCAGTGGGCCGAATAATCCTCCAACAATGGCCAGACTTCAATTTATGTTGCCTATTGCGAAACCCTGAGTCACCAGTTTGGACCGATTGGGGCGTCACGCTTCAGTGACCGGGTGGCTTCTGGCTTCGTACCGATTGGGGTGAAAGAAATTAGCATACCGGACCCGGTACCCGAACGGTCTGTTATCTGATGGCTCGCCTAACCGCGCTAGCAGACAAATTCTGCGCTAACAATTTGGGGTTAAATAAAGGCTGCACTTATAAATCAAAGACTCTTTTGTATCTTAATTCATCACAAAACTTTGCATTCTTGGCTAAGTCTTGTACACTGCAATGCATCTAAATAGTGGACTAGAATATTCCAACCATTATCACCCAGCATGCATTTGATGTAAGTCATTCAAACTACATGTATGTTATATCAATATTAAATGTTTATGAGTGCATTGGTAAGAATAATTTCATGAGGTGACAGATGGAATGTTCCCTTCCACAAGGCAAAAAATGGAACATTCCATCCGTCACGGAATGAAATTATTCTTTTCATTGCACGAATGTGAAGCATTCATTATTTGTTTTGCACAACACCTGACTAAATCCTCGGCATCTGATTGGTCAGAGTCGCCAAAGGTGTGACCATGGAATGGGAGTTCTATTTTTGCGGTGCGGCTGGCCCTTGCATTGGGACGAATATTTCAATGACACGTGATCAACGACCCACCAATCAGATGACAGGGATTTATTCAGGCGTTGTATAATTAACCCTAGTTCATGATTAGCCTTGCTCCACGTGAGCTGTGAAGCATCATGGTTTTCCAGCAAGCATCTTACCTGGGCTGGTGACTTCTGACTGTGGTACGAAGCAATAGATGTAGTAGCCATACAGGAATGTCTTGTTGGCCGTTGCACTGAAAACAGATCGGATGTGACCCTCCTCCAGAATCATCTAAGCCCCAAAAAAGAAGAAAAAATGACCACAACAATCAGATCAGAAATGCCGTCTTCATACTCGGTTTCTTATGTTTTTTTTTTATTCTGGAAAAAAGATTAACATGTATCTAATGCCGTGTCAAAATGGGCATTCTTGTCTAGGGCTAGGGCTAATCACTGTAACACACCAAAGACAATACTAAAGCCACAGACGCAACATGCCTAATCTGAACATGGCCTCATCTAGCAAGTTGGTAGGACATACTTTATTTGGGATAGGTGGGAGATAATAAAATCTTTATATTATAATCTGGTTCAGCCAAAATATAGAAGAAAAAAAAGGATCCACAGCAAATATCAAATCTCAAGCAAGATTTTTGGGCGAGCTGCACACTCACCAAAAAGTAAAAGTAATATAATCCCTCTTTTGCAATGACTTGGAAGTGAGTTCGTCTTCTCAATATCCACCCCCCCAAATAAAATAGGTGTACCCTTCTTACCTGCATAAGGCTTAAAGCCTCATCATGGCTGACGCTGCCAATCAAATTTTTCCGTATCCAGGCGACGGCATCTGCCGAGACGAAACAGTCCCCTGTTAGGCCCTTGACATCCCCGGTCATCAAACTGACCCCCTCACTGGAAGAAAAATGGAAAAAACGATGAGAGTTAAAGATCATTCTGGAGAAAAAAAGTTGAATAATTAGGTTAGTGGTAAGGTGGTTATATGAAGAGTGTGGTATTGTGGTTAGGGTTCGTGACTCATGATCAGGGGTTCAAATCCAGCTGCTGGTTATATATTGTGTCCATGGGCAAGCCACTTCACTTCTGCTTGCCTCTCTCCACCCAGGAGTATAAATGGGTATTGGCATTAGCTTGGGAGTAGCCTGCGATGGACTATTTCAATATAAGCAAATGACTCCGACTCCGACTCGACTTGTGAGGACTTGTGATGGGCCTGACTACAAGATAGTGTTGTAGGACTTGAGTCCAGGACTTGGACTCGAGTTTGTCTCCAGTCTCAATTTTGTTGACTCAGACTCAACTTGAGTCACATAAGCAAAAGACTCCAAAACAGACTCGGACTCACCCATCATGCTGATGACTCTTGACTTGCAAGTTATGTATTGTTTGACCAAAAAATTTACCTTTTAAAATACAGTTCTGATGTTTTTATTCCCCGAAAGTAATGTTAAAGCAACGCTAAAGAACATTAAAGGGAATATACAACATTTGCAAACATCGAAAAATAAAACTACCAAGTTTTTGCGAAATACCTTAATAGGATGTTGGTAAATGACAGTCTAAAGCATCCTGTAAATTATGGCGCCTGGTATACTGTCATTTTCAAGAAAAGTGGTATTTTTGTATCAATTTCCAACGCTGATCGGCCGATCAGCGTTGGAAACAACTGGCTTTTTTTTTCAAATACTGGCCCCAATTGACCATTGCACTTGTTTGCAATCGATTACAAACCTATGAACGGGTACGAGCCAGCTAGACTGGTTCCCTGACCTTACAATTCCCCAATGTATGTAAACTGCTCTGTTTCTTCTTATATGGAGTCAGGGAACCCGACTACAGGAAAATGATCATTTTTCTTGGTTTTTATAGCATTTTCGAACCCAAAACCTCCAAAAAGTCAGTGTAACTATATTTGCTTTATATTTCCAACCCCCCAATTCCATCCATTTCTGAAAATTACAGCAAAAGCAAATGATGTATATTCCCTTTAAGCACACAAACCGTAACACACAACCCTTCAGGTGTTGTTGCAAATAACAATGTTTGTTATGAAATGTGCCACTCCTATTTCCTGTGACAGTGCATCACTGACATTTGTGTCCATGTCCATGCACATCCATTGCGTACAAATGTGGCTTCTGATTAGAACTTGGACTGAATCAAGTGATCGAGACTCAGACACGGATTTGACAAAAGTGACTCAAGACTTAGATTCCGACTTGACTCAAGTGCCATGACTACAACACTGCTTCAAGACTTTGTTCTACTGCGAATCACTCGAAATTCAACTCACATTGGACTTCTCATGATGGAAGCGACATGCGACGCAGGTGTCAGCAGAGACAGCTTGTCCGGCTCCGGTGATCCCGGGCTCTTTGGAAGGAACACTCCGCCTCCTTCTTCCTTTCCCTTGGCCCCTCCCCCTCCAATGATCCCGATGCTAGCGAGGGCGCTGTTGATGCTGGCCGTGGACAACATAGGGTTGGGCTGGAAGGTGGTCGGGGTGCTGTCACCGCTGGTGGGCCCGCTGGTGGGCCCGCTGCGGGACTTCAGGCGACGGGGTGTGGTGGTTTGGGTGGGGTCTCCTACCACCGAAGGCCTCTGGAAAAAACACCAACAAGAAAAAACTTATTAGAAATGCTTAAAATCACAGTTTGCAGGACACACTGTTTTTTCAAGAGCTCCCTTTTTGGGTACTCGCACAATTGCGGAACAAATGGTACCCCGTAATTCGGTCTTTGTAACACGGTACCCCGGAAGAGAAATTCTGAAGAATAGGGATAAGACGTGGACACTACAAGTACCCTATAAACCCCATCCCAAAGATCTGATACACCGTGCCCTCTGGAGACATGCACACAATAGGGAACAAAAGATTGTATACATCTCCACAGGGCAATTTCTATAGATGAATACGTCTCCACAAGGTTTTCACAAAATAGATATATGGATTTTACTCAAAAACTAGGAATTTCCAAGGTATGTTGATGTGTCGCAAATGGTAGAGTTTTAGAAAAGGGATATCCGAATTTCAGCCAAGGAAATTAATTCTGGTTAAAATAAGAGCATTTTGAAACTGTACTTTCAAACTCGAAAACCTAAGTACACGGATACAAATTTCAGTATGCGTGGTGCGTGTGTGGGTATGGCGCCAAGTAAACATGACGAGATTTCTTCTGCGTGTGCACAAACCTGTACTGTCTTCATGCAGTGCCAGGCATACGGCAGCATTAAAAATTGCTGCCAGGCGTACTACAAATTTGAGGGGTACTTGTGCTATTATCTTGGAGTATGCACGATATTAATTGTGGGCAAAATTTGTCTACTTAAAAAGCCAATGTAAGGGCAAAAGACATGAGCCCATGACCTCCTGCTACTTGTGCAGATGTCCAAGCACTTGTTAAAAGTTGTAGTCATTTTAAGCCCATAGTCTCAAGTCGAGAGACAAGCTCTTAAAATGAACTCATTGTTTCATCCTGCTACTAAGGACCTGCCTTGGGATTTGATTTGTGGAATGGACTTGTGATTAGACTTGCAACTGACTTGTGATGGATTGTGACCGACTTGTGATTGACTTGGGATTGGCTTGACTTGTGATTGACTTGACTTGTGATTGACTTGTGATTAGACTTTTGATTGGACTTTTGACTTGACTTGTGATTAAACTTGTACCCCGACTTGTGACTACCTTGTGATTGACTTGTGATGGAATTGCTATTGACTGGAGATGGACTTGTGATTGGACTTGTGATTGCCTTCTGATTGCCTTGTGTTTGGCTTGTGATAGACCTGTGATTAACTAGTTAAGGATTGCGATTAGACTTGTGATTGACTTGGGATTGACTTGTGATTGACTTGTGATGGACTTGTGATGGACTTGTGATTGACCAGTGATGGACTTTTTATTGACTTGTGATTGACTTGTGATGGACTAGTGATGGACTAGTGATGGGCTTGTGGTTGACTTGTGATTGACCTGTGATGGACTTGTGATGGGCTTGTGATTGACCAGTGATGGACTTTTTATTGACTTGTGACCAACTTGTGATTGACTTGTGATGAACTAGAGATGGACTAGTGATGGACTTGTGTGTACTGAAGGTTGGTCAGCACTAACTCACCTGACTTGGAGGTCTACTAGGGGCCCTCCTCTTGCGGTTCCACCCCTCCACAAACCTCAGAAACCCATCCAGGAGTGTCAATCTCTGAGACATGCTACGCTCCTCAAAGACATCCACTGGGCCCTGGTAGCCCTGGTCTGAGAGCTTACGGACCAGGGAGGAGGCGGAGGGGAGGAGGATGAAACGACTACGCCAGAACTTCAAGGACTGTGGATGTAATGATCAGAAAATGAGATGTGTGTAAAAATTACAAAAATAAATTTTTTTAGAAAAAAGAAAAATAATGTGGTAGAAATTTAACAAACACAAAGCCAGCTTTATCTCCAGAACCGACTTCATCCCTTGCTTCAGAATAATTCAAAAGCCTTCAATTTTCAAACCAAGCAGAAGCAATCTAAACTTCGGCCTCATATGAAAGGATTTGATGTTCCTGCTGCAAAACAAGGATCGACATTGAACCGGAGATCACCAAGTACAGGGAGTGTTATCTCCTGAAGCATATGCTGGAGACAAAGCAGCCTCGTTAGCCAGGCCAGTCTCACGCCGTAAGACACCCTGGCAAACCGAGTCAGAATCGGTACTATTATGACACTCATCGTCAGCCAATCAGACGATCCGCGTAGACTTTGGGATATTTTCCTATGCACGGAGTATTCACGTACGGAATGACAGGGTAAAGTTTGTTTACCAATGGGAGACTGCTTTTCAGGACAGCACAACTTGCTGCCATTTTATTGGCAGGCGAGGTCTGGGTGAGCATTTGTAACAAGCAATCTGATTGGTCAGAAATCATGTCAGTCCATATTTGGGGATATGAATGATTAATCTCATGAATAATTAGTCCCACAAGGTAGAAAGGGACGCAGAAATGAATAACGGCACATGAACCCCGAAACGACTTCAACAACTTTATTCTTGCTTTTACGCCTTATATACAACATATTTACAAAGACCTTAACCAATCAACTGTGAGCGTATTGTTCCAAATAGTCAATGGGAAAACAGGAATGTGGCCATACATATGTTGTGTTACGTTTACTGAATATGACAAAGGTCAAAATGAGAAAGATACGGACTCGGTTTGCCATGGTGCCGTCTTACGACATACGTGAGTAACAGTACCCTAGCTAGTGAAGATGGAGACAAAACCACGATTGCAACAAACCTCCTATGACCTTTAACCTCTCACCTCTTGAAGGTCAAATCCTTCCCTGGTGGCCTCGCCACCGAGGCAGATGTAGTTATCCCGATGATTCCACTTGTTGTCCACAGGCTTGTGGTAGACTCTGGTGTGGGCAGTCTCGTAGCCAGATTTACGTATCGCCCAGAGACGGTAGGAGTAACCCAGCTTGGGACTTGTTCTCGGTTTTCTAGGAAAAATAAAAAAGGAAGACATATTGTTATTATTATTATTATTAATCATTTCTGGTAATGAAACCAAGGATTCCTCAAAAGCGCCCTAGGCACTGTAGCTCGCAAGCCTGAAGAAACCTGTGGAGAGAAGACAATGAGAAGAAATTACAGTTTTAGAGGTGGGAGGAAAAGCCCAGAAGAATATTCTGAGATAAACCCATGGAATCAGGCAGGAACTGAAAAACCCAATCCACATATTGGCCAAGGTGGGATTCGAACCCGGGGCACAAACGGTGGAAGGCGAGGAAAGTACCGTTACACCAACGCCAACCTGACTCCCCGAGGGTTTTTAAAGTAAATACAAGGCACCACATGTCCAAATGTCACTCAAGAAGTTTGCTACAGAATAGGGGACGAAAAGGAAATGAAGCAAATTTTTTTTTAAAGCTTTGAGAGATTAAAAAAGAATAAAGGATTATAAACTGCAGGAAACTGGAGAAAATAATACTGGACTTAGGAATAAAGACAATGTGAAAAAAACACAACTTTTTTTTGGTCAGAATTATTTTAATTATCTGTTTGTGTTATTTTCAAGCTGTTTGTTTTTTAAAGCACTTACCTTGCATTGTACCGGACTATCTCCACACTTTTCATGTCTGGTTTGAGGATAATCTTGTGGTAGGTTTGGCCGTAGCTCAATATGTACTCATGCTGTATACAAAAAAAATCAGAAAGTTAAACAAAGAAATTGACGCGAGTGAGATTTGAACCTGCGATCAAAAAAGGTACAAAAAGCAAATGATCCTATGTACCTTTTAATATTGATTAACATTTTGCAATTGACAAGCTTATATATTAAGGGAATTATGTGCTTTGCCGGTTTTATACAAGTACATTTAAAACCAAGTAGGGGCCTGGCCAAGCACATATTTATTCCCATTCATAAATACCTTTCGGTCAAAGAGTCAAAACAAGTAAAAAATGCACACATTTTCAACAATTTTGTTCAACAACTTACTTCATTTTTTGTGAAACATCCCTCTGGCAATGTCTATGGTATGTGCCTCGCACACGTTGGGTTAATATCTCCTTATATGGAAATTGGTATGCGGACGGCACGTACTGTGGGATGCGGCACAGTACAGAGCAATTATGTTTAAAACCAGCCAGTGTTTTATCAGCGGTTTCAAACCACCCATGTGACAGGCTCTTGACCAATAGGAATGGGTAAACTGTCTCAGGTATTTATGAATAGCACAATAATGACAGTCAGAGTGTCGGCAGTTTGGTTCAAATATCGAGGCATGCTGTTTTACTCCGTCGTATTTGGCAATCATTTCCACACCTACACAGAGGTAGTGAAGAATTCTTTTACCTCTCAGGCCTAAAAGACTGATACTGTTTTGGTTCCCTTGGGACACATTCAGGAAAAGGAAAGAAACTAATGCCAGACAACGCTCACCTTGCTTGGGGTAGTGACCAGAGGAAGATGGCTGCTTCCTTTGTGTGCCAGGAAAAGGAAAGAAACTAATGCCAGGCAACACTCACCTTGCTTGGGTTAGTGACCAGAGGAAGATGGCTGCTTCCTTTGTGTGCCAGGAAAAGGAAAGAAACTAATGCCAGACAACGCTCACCTTGCTTGGGTTAGTGACCAGAGGAAGATGGCTGCTTCCTTTGTGTGCCAGGAAAAGGAAAGAATCTAACGCTTGGCAACACTCACCTTGCTTGGGTTAGTGACCAGAGGAAGATGGCTGCTTCCTTTGTGTGCCAGGAAAAGGAAAGAATCTAACGCTTGGCAACGCTCACCTTGCTTGGGTTAGTGACCAGAGGAAGATGGCTGCTTCCTTTGTGTGCCAGGAAAAGGAAAGAAACTAACGCTTGGCAACGCTCACCTTGCTTGGGTTAGTGACCAGAGGAAGATGGCTGCTTCCTTTGTGTGCCAGGAAAAGGAAAGAAACTAACGCTTGGCAACACTCACCTTGCTTGGGTTAGTGACCAGGGGAAGATGGCTGCTTCCTTTGTGTGCCAGGAAAAGGAAAGAAACTAACGCTTGGCAACACTCACCTTGCTTGGGTTAGTGACCAGGGGAAGATGGCTGCTTCCTTTGTGTGCCAGGAAAAGGAAAGAAACTAATGCCAGGCAACGCTCACCTTGCTTGGGTTAGTGACCAGAGGAAGATGGCTGCTTCCTTTGTGTGCCAGGAAAAGGAAAGAAACTAATGCCAGGCAACGCTCACCTTGCTTGGGTTAGTGACCAGAGGAAGATGGCTGCTTCCTTTGTGTGCCAGGAAAGGGAAAGAAACTATTACCAGACAACGCTCACCTTGCTTGGGTTAGTGACCAGAGGAAGATGGCTGCTTCCTTTGTGTGCCAGGAAAGGGAAAGAAACTAATACCAGACAACGCTCACCTTGCTTGGGTTAGTGACCAGAGGAAGATGGCTGCTTCCTTTGTGTGCCAGGAAAAGGAAAGAAACTAATGCCAGACAACGCTCACCTTGCTTGGGTTAGTGACCAGGGGAAGATGGCTGCTTCCTTTGTGTGCCAGGAAAGGGAAAGAAACTAATACCAGACAACGCTCACCTTGCTTGGGTTAGTGACCAGAGGAAGATGGCTGCTTCCTTTGTGTGCCAGGAAAGGGAAAGAAACTAATGCCAGGCAACGCTCACCTTGCTTGGGTTAGTGACCAGAGGAAGATGGCTGCTTCCTTTGTGTGCCAGGAAAGGGAAAGAAACTAATGCCAGGCAACACTCACATTGCTTGGGTTAGTGACCAGAGGAAGATGGCTGCTTCCTTTGTGTGCCAGGAAAAGGAAAGAAACTAATGCCAGGCAACACTCACATTGCTTGGGTTAGTGACCAGAGGAAGATGGCTGCTTCCTTTGTATGCCAGGAAAAGGAAAGAAACTAATGCCAGACAACACTCACCTTGCTTGGGTTAGTGACCAGGGGAAGGTGGCTGCTTCCTTTGTGTGCCAGGAAAAGGAAAGAAACTAATGCCAGACAACGCTCACCTTGTTTGGGTTAGTGACCAGGGGAAGATGGCTGCTTCCTTTGTGTGCCAGGAAAGGGAAAGAAACTAATGCCAGGCAACACTCACCTTGCTTGGGTTAGTGACCAGAGGAAGATGGCTGCTTCCTTTGTGTGCCAGGAAAAGGAAAGAAACTAATGCCAGACAACGCTCACCTTGCTTGGGTTAGTGACCAGAGGAAGATGGCTGCTTCCTTTGTGTGCCAGGAAAAGGAAAGAAACTAATGCCAGGCAACACTCACCTTGCTTGGGTTAGTGACCAGGGGAAGATGGCTGCTTCCTTTGTGTGCCAGGCTTGCAATCTCAGACCGGGGCAGGACTATCAGTTGATAATTCTGACAGCAAAAACATCAAAACAACAATTTTATCATCTTCTCTGTAAATTTATTTCCTAAAAGAAAGAAATCAAGTATTGAAAGGGAGTTGGAATTTTGCCTCTTCTTCTTCTTATTTTTTAAAAGCACCCGTCACATGTTGTAGTTATCACACAAGACATTTCTTTCAATCTACACAATGACTTTGTTAAATTCAAATTTGAAATTTTGAAATATTGCAAACCATATTCTGCGAATATTGCCTTAAATATAGGTTTTCCCGTCCTATTCCCCAACTTGTTCCTTCAATCAGACAGAACGTTCATTCCAATTCGCGAGGTTTCAAAAATCTGGTACGAATGCGGTTTCATTGAGTATGTGCTACATTTGTAAATGTGTGCACCGACTTGAATTCCCGAGCCCAAAATCCAAAGCTCATGAAATTCAATGCAGAAGTCACGTAATTTGCTGCCTGCATTTTTTACGAACAAAGATACCCGGAAATATTTTGAACTTTCGTTAATTTGAACTAAGTGTGAAAATGTTTGCACATTTTTATATTTATTTGAATAAAAATTCTGTCTGATTGAATAAACGAGTTGTGAAATTGGACGGGAAAACCTTTATTTGAAGAATTCTTTTAATTTCTTTGTAAGAAGTGCCGTGGCCTAGTGGTCTGGAGCATTGCATTTGTGGTCTGCGGGTAATTCTGCAGGCTGTGGGTTTGAGTTCAGCCTGGGGTTATGGTGCGTATGCCCCTGAGCAAGGCACTTTGTCACTCATTGCTTCTCTCCACCCAGGAGTGGATGGGTACCTGTGAGGACAGAGTTGGTTACTGTGAGAGGTTGATTACTGCCAAGAGCACCGAAATGGCTGCTTACCGACCGTGTATGCCCCATAGGGAGTTGAGAAGGCTTCAGGAGTGTTTGCCCGTTGAACAGAGGTAATAATAATTGTAAAACACTTTGATACCCCGTTTAAAAGCGCTGTATATTTGCTTGCTATTAAGGATGCAAGGAAGAAAGGACCATTTCAAGGGAAGGTTTCCAATACCCGACTATAAAGGAGAATGGTCTTGGGCCAAATAAAATGGCTATGGCTAACGGTAATACACAATCTAAGGGAAGTGGATTCAGCCGCTGTCATAGACGCATGTGTTATGGCCAGCCGTAGTCACTGGCTATGGCTAACAGTAACACACAATCTATGGGCAGTGGATTCAGCCGCTGTCATAGACGCATGTGTTATGGCCAGCCGTAGTCACTGGCTATGGCTAACAACAACACACAATCTATGGGAAGTGGATTCAGCCGCTGTCATAGACGCATGTGTTATGGCCAGCCGTAGTCACTGGCTATGGCTAACAGTAACACACAATCTAAGGGAAGTGGATTCAGCCGCTGTCATAGACGCATGTGTTATGGCCAGCCATAGTCACTGGCTATGGCTAACAGTAACACACAATCTATGGGCAGTGGATTCAGCCGCTGTCATAGACGCATGTGATATGGCCAGCCGTAGTCACTGGCTATGGCTAACAGTAACACACAATCTATGGGCAGTGGATTCAGCCGCTGTCATAGATGCATGTGATATGGCCAGCCGTAGTCACTGGCTATGGCTAACAGTAATACACAATCTAAGGGAAGTGGATTCAGCCGCTGTCATAGACGCATAAGTTAAGGCCAGCCGTAGTCACTGGCTATGGCTAACAATAACACACAATCTATGGGCAGTGGATTCAGCCGCTGTCATAGACGCATGTGTTATGGCCAGCCGTAGTCACTGGCTATGGCTAACAGTAATACACAATCTATGGGAAGTGGATTCAGCCGCTGTCATAGACGCATGTGTTATGGCCAGCCGTAGTCACTCATTTAGCCGTAGCCATACCTGGATGAGACGCTGGGAGACCAGCTCCTCAAACGCACTCTGGATGGTTTTACCAGACGGGGAGAAGGCCTCGTCCCCATCGTCAGGGATAATATCCAGGGTGTGAGGACTCTCTAGATAGTCCATCTCTAAGGTCTTCTTGTCAGGGTAGAAGTCTGTCGTGATTGGGAAACATGCCGTCGCAGTCAGGGACTTCCAGTCCACACCTGAAGATTATAAGACATAATCATGTTCCTTTTTGGAAGGCTACATATGAACTTTTCTGCATGGGGAGTTAATCTATTAATAGTACATTGTTATAAGCACTGCACCCGCTTTCACGAAACTCATCGCAACTTACGATGCATTGCCGCACTGCGACTCATTGTATCCCTACGTTCATTTCACAAAAAGGCATCATTAGTGCGATGCGTCGTAGGTGTATTTATAGCACAACATGTTGACTGTTGTATGTATTTATTTAGCGTACAGTAAACAGTCGTCTGATATTCAACAAAGAGTCGTTGGATCTCCTCTCCGATAGGTTTATAAAACGTGAAAAAAAATGGCGAACGTGTGATGCAGTTTTAATGGAAAACAAGCTTGCGGTGGACTAATACCTACTTTGGAATTTCAACTGCAATATTCCAGGGTAATTATTAATCACTTCAATTCATTTTTTTTTTACAACTTTACACACATTGTCTCGGTATTGTAATTTTTATGGCATAAAATTGGCTAAGAAAAGGACGCTTCTTATTTTGTGATGACAATTAGACATGTCATTACTGGCGACGTGTTTTAGCACAACGCATTTAACACATCACAAGTTTCGTGAAATGGATCGTATAACGCGTTGTGAGTTGCGACGTTTACACGTCGTAACTTGGGTTACGATGTGTCATAGCATTTCGTGAAATCGGGCCCTGTGTATTTCAATCCCAGAGTTCATGGAGCAAGATTCTATAAGATTTTATAAGATTTTATAAAGTCTTTAACCACTCAACCTATGTGATTGCCAGAGTCAGCTGGCCAGTCTGAATCTAATATTTTTGAAGACATTGACATCAGCACATTATTTTTTATACTGGAAATGCTGCCAATTTTCATGGAGATTGTTGGCCGTTAAAGCATGATCACACTAACAGCAGACTAATGGCAGACTTACTGTGCAGAAACATTATATTAAAATAAAAATAATAAAAAATACCAAAGAGATTTCCACTAAAACATGAAGCCGTGCAGTGAAATATGTTTAAAAGTTGGCCAATTTTAGGGCTACTTTTAGCACTGACTATCTGATACAAAATGCGATAAAGGGGCCAGTACGTCATCATCAAACTACTAAAGCTTTTACCACTATACATAAAAATGTTCAATATCCTTTTTTTGTACAAATACTCTGATACTCTGAATCTTATTCACAATCGAAAGCCTAACTACTCTGACCTCAATTTGTAGTTCTTCCGGCTTTAATTCCTATGTACCACACAATATTTCAGTACACTTTTTGGATTGCAAAAGAACTCAGCTACAAAACTGCTATAAACACTAAAAGACTGTAAAGATTTGGGGTCGTTAATCGTCGCACCTGTTTGGAGGAATGGTGTCCATGCCTGCTCTCCAGTAATGCCCCATCCACAGCCAATCCGACGCTTCAAGTTGACCATCAAGCTGCCAATTCTGCTGGGTGATTCTTGTTTTATTTTAAAAGAAAACAAACATAATTGCACTTACACTACAAGTAACACTTTCAAGCCAACTTCCTTGTCAAAACCAATGAACTCCATAACTTTGTTGGAAAAATTGGCAAATTTCAGAGGAATATCTTTAAATGACAACAGCCCTCAATATCAAAATGAAGAATTGTACAGACTTTTCATCTGTAAGGAACTGTCTTGTAAAATAAACCAAATAAAATCACCTAGAATTTCTTAAAAAACCATTAAGAAAGCGAGTATTTTGTACAACCCCCGACCCTCCCAAAGAAGGGCACATTTTTAAGATCATCTCAACTACAACTCTGTCGACAACACACGACTCTGTGCGAGCCTAGTCAAAACAAAATCAACCTTTTTGTGCAAACGGTGGCTGCTCCTTATTGGCCACAGTGGCTTCATGTCTAGCATCATGCAGAACAATCTTTAGGCCTGTAAACCAAATAAAATAGTTCAAAACTCTGGCTGTGCATAATTGGGTATTTCTGTACCTTTCAGCATCTCTAAAATCAGGGCTCCAAACTCAGGGAGAGCCTAAAGCCAATGCCAGACAAAAAAACCAAGGTTTTGGAATTGGCCTTGCTCTACGTGACTTTGACCTTACCCTCTGCTGTAGTTTCCTCCACAGCGAACTCATTGCACAGACTGGAGGCGCTGGAGGAGGAGCTGAGTTCACTGCCACTGCCCCCGCTAGACTCCATCAGGCTCTGGGAGCTGGACCTGTGATGAAGTTGAATCACGTCGCCATGGGGACCTGCCATTGAAACAAGCCATTTGACTGGTCAATTTTGTAAATCTAAAATCCAGTCCATCTATCGCTTGAGTAATTTTAAACCCAACCGATTATTTCCAGATTATCGCGTGCCAGACAGAATGACTTCACATGGCTCTTGGTCCTAATTTATCAATTTCCTTCATAATTTGCACACTTGTATAACTTGCGGGACCAATGAAAAATGACACCGAATTGCTATCTGCAACTCAGCAAAATGCCACATTTTGGTAAATCAAGCTTCAATTTGATGTGTGACTTGAACATCTTGGAGAGTTAGGAGCATTTTTCTCAATTTTTAGTGTCTACGACAATTGTGGTTTGCAACACAGCACTCTAAACAGTCCCTAATAAGTACATAACTGGGCCAAATTTCATAGTGTTGCTGAATGGTAAGTAGATTTTACTCCTCACAACAGCACAAGAAAACTGCTTAAACATAACTGTATGTCTCGTCCAGTTGATTTATTAGTTACAGAAATTACTGCACAGGCATTTTTATATTGTAAATCATCTGCTTGTGAAAATGAAGACAAAACGGCAAAAGTATCTTCCTCCTATTTTACCTTTACCTATTCACTTTAGCGATGTCGTTTAAAACTGTATGTGTTTCTTTGCAATGTTGTACAATATTTATAATAGTTGCTTTACAATCATGCAGTAATCCCATATGCTTTTATTTTATTTTATTGTGTTGTATTGTATTTGTAATGTATTGTATTTGTACGTGTATAGTCTTTTGTAGTTATGCAGTAATCACACATGCTTTTATTTTATTTCATTGTGCTGTATTGTATTTGTAATGTATTATATTTGTAGTGTATGCAGGGCCCCAATGGAAACCAGCTTTAATCTGTTTGGGCATACCCTGGGTAAATAAATGTTATAAATAAATAAATATAAATGTATGGGATAATTTTCAAGGTTATTATGACTGTGGAGCCTCTTCTGAAGGAATGCTCCTTTTGATATTGAGACCTTACTTAGGAATGTTAATACCACGGAAATGCGGCTTTTTACTTGCTCAGAGTTTTCAGAGATATTATCAATTTCAAAAAATTTGATGAAAGGTCTGAAAGATGCATTTCTTTCTATACTGATAATGTCTTTCTCTCTGATTCAAATAGTCTGAAAGCAGACTTAAGTCTGAAAAATGTCTGAAATGAAAATCTTTGTCCATCGCAGCTCACCGTGCGGGAAAGTATGCGTCCACCTCCGTCTGTCTGGAGTGAGCTTTGTCGTCAGGGAGGCCGGCACGAAGGGGTTATTGCACTTTTTGACCCGGGCAGGGTGGGATTTGAAGATGGTCCGGTCAAACTGTGAGAACTCGTCCCACTCCTCATCGGTGTAACCGGCAGCATGTGACCCCGAGCTGTGCATTTCATTGGCTGTTCTTGGAGGTAGCTTGGGTAGGGCATTGAGGCCGGCAGATGGTCTATCTGGGGCCTGTAGAAGATTGGATGACATTCGCAATGAAGATTACAATTACAATTCCCAATCAGTCACAATCACATACAAAACAATTGATCAGACTTGGCAGAAACTCTGAGTTCATTATGCCAAATAAAATACCTTTTCCCCTGAAAATCTAGAAGATATTGAGATTGCATTTGTATTTTTGCGTCACTCCCAGATTTAACTGGCAACCACAATTGTAAGACGTAACTGTGGTGGAGTTACATTGGATGAGTCGTCAAGGCAAGTATTCACGCTGCGAAATTGCAAAAGTTGAACACATCTCAACTCCGACGAATTTCGCAGCGAACGTTTCCCGACGTCAAACTCACTCTGCATTCGCACTCATGTCAAGTACGAACAATCCTTCACTGTACCAAGTTGGTTTCCTTTCGTGGTTTATTTGACAGATTTTAGCCAGAGTCCATCATTTGCAGCTATCCCAAAAGTAACTGGTGTAATTATTGTTGAAAAACATACTTGGTTGAAAGATAGTAAGGGGACTAAACTCCCTGTGAAATTATTCTTTCTGGCAAGCTGTCATTTTGAAGAAATCAATGAAAGAGGGCCTTTCCAACGGTGCGTCTTAAGAAGCACTGTTGGAAATTTCCGTTAGTAGTTTGTTTTTTATTCGGTGAAGCGTGCACAAGCATTAACACGACGCACACGCGTGCGCAGTTGCTATAATTCATCGGATCAGTGCGCGACATCGCATAGCTGCAATCGTCTCAGTGAGAACATGTCTCGGACGCTGAATTCAGGCCTAATTCAAAAAATGATTCAGCAACTTTTGATTTGAAATCGAGATCCTAGAATGTTGTTTTTCTCGAAATATACAGCGGAAGCTGAGCTGAAACTTCATCAAGTTAGCTGTTCAGCACCCTTCTTTAGATTTTGAGCACTTTTGTTGCTTCAAACGAACAAAATGCACAAATTACAAATGATGAACTATACCTTTAAACACATATTCTGCCCAGACTATTCCCTCCAAAATTTGGCTTTTGGTTGTCACAGGGACTTACGTTTCTAGTGGGCAGTCTGATTCTGGGTATGAAGTGTGACTGAGAGGAGGAGAAGTTTCGGTGTCTCTGGCTGGGCGACAGGTAGAAGCTGTAATTCAGCCAGTAGGGGATGTGATGAGTGTCTGTGGAGCCAGGACTCTTCGCTATGTCATCATTGAACTGCAAAATACAAATCCATTATCAAGACAAGATAAGTTTGCAGTAGCACCATGTGAATAAATCTCTTTTGTGAGTATGTGTGGTTATGAAAAAACCCTAACCCTAGAGTCCCTCTGGTTCTTTTCAGAACCACACATACTCACAGAAGAGATTTATTCACATGGTGCTACCGCAAACTTATCTTGTCTTAGTATCTTTCCACCATGCAAACCTTCGAATCAAATCCATTATCAAAATATATTACAATTTTCAAAGCAATCATTACTTTCACAAAGAGATTGAATTTTAAAAGATTTGGCACGGACTCTGTGTTGATGATTCATACCCACTTTGGAAAGATTCTCTTCTTTTGCTTCCTTTGTTTGTACTCTGAACTTTTTCTCAACATTTTTTTTCTTTATTCAGCCTGAACAGTTTTTACAGACACCTGCTTCTCAAAAATTTCAGAAAATTTCAAAGAAAAAAAAAAGAGCAGATGCAGATTCTTACCAGTAGAAGTGGAACTGGATGAGGAGGCTGCTCGGCCAGACAAACAAGATCACTCCCAATACCTGAATAAATTTTAATTCAATTCAATTCAATTCAATAGACATTTATTTCCATACATTACAGGGAAAATAGACAAGGAATAATAATAGGTAAGATAATTAAACAAATGTATGGAGGCCAATTCACAGACAGCAATAGCTTGTTACGGAAGGCCTTGATATACATACACTACATTCAGAAGAATTAAATAGTACAATAAGCATATATTAAAACAAAAGTAGTCAACAGTACAATACTTGTAAAGTGAAATGAAATAAAATCAAAGGCGAATGCAGATGGACGAAAAGCTGACACAACGGACGGACGGACGGACGTTCTAGCCAGACGGAATAGTGGGGTGATAGCATTGTGTTCCCATTATCCCTTTTTCTAAAGATTCCCTTCTGGGGTGATGTTTTTCCATTGTGTAAAAAGTGGGGTGATGTGTTCTGAAAGGAACATCACCCCACAAGGGTGGTCTGGTCAGAACGGTACGACAGACAGACAGACAGAGAGACATACCGACAAGTAATACAGACAGATATAAAGAAAACTTGTGATTATGTTCCATTCACTCTATTTTCTTTTAATGAAGTAATTAGTCTTTTATACAAATCTTTCGTAATTAAGGTCAACCACTTTTTTTTTTATCTGAAATCATGAATTGACCGACAAGAAAGATATATTTGTAATTTAATTTGAAGTCCACAAAATTGACTTTTTAAATGAACTGACTGATATTTTCGCTGAGTGAAAACCTAAGCCCGAGATTATTAATTTGTATTCTTCTTTACATTTTGAACATTGTTCCAAATCTATGCATCATGCAGAAGAGGCAAAGTGACACAAAACCTGTAAAATGTATCACTTCGCTTTTCTGGTAAGGTAATCATTCCAAAAAATATGTGACAACAAAGATTCTTCTATAGCAATGGTGATGGGTGATTAGTGTATCGATACTGACCATAATCAATCATTCTGTGTTTGGTGATGTCGCACAGCGTTCTGTCCACGTGGAACACCCCTGCCCCCGGCGTAACGATCTCAACCACTTGGCCGGTCCGATCAAAGTTCCTGTTGATGTAGTGATTGTCAAACACTGCCAAGGAGAAGAAACAAAACTTAAATTGTAGTAAAATTTAAAGTATATCTAGCAAAAACCAAAGCTTCACTGATTGTGGTCCAACTATTGCTGGTACATGTACATTGGATATGACAAGCCAAATGACCCAGGCAAGATCAGTGGTCGTGTGGTAAGACCTCTGCACTAGTAAGCAGGAGGTTTGGGTTCAAGTCCCGTCCATGCAGTTTTCTCCCCCTAGTTTCCCTGAAAGCACTGAGCATAAACAACGTTTAAAATATTACGTTGGTGATGAAAAAGCAAGAGCAAGCATCAAAAATACACCTGAAACATAATGACGTCACGGGTGGGATCTTGTTGCTCTCATCCTCACCTGGCTCCAATGAGAAAGCACAAACATAGCGTGTTGTCTTCACGATTCATGTCTATTCAAACTTTCTCAACAAATTATTAACAAATTATTAACCAGTTTGCGTCGGAGGACGTGGTAACATGTACTGGCTGTTTTTATACACAGGCACGGCTGACGGGTTAGGCTGTTAAGATTGCCTCGACTCGCCTCCGGATGACGTCTAAACACGCTAATCCCTCGTGCCTTTTGTACACACACACAAAGTCCGTGAAGTCTGTGGTGGCGGACCGTGTGTTGATCTTGAATTGACAGTTGTGCACGGCCTATTGTTCAACAATTTAAGCTCCAGCGCACACCCCTAAGTATTGAAACATATGAGGTTTCGGCAAGAAATATTGTACAAATTCTGTTGAAATGACTCTTGCAAATCAGTATTTGTGGCATTTGGCTGTATGTCAGAAGTTGGCTGGAATATTTTGCCTTTTGCGAAAAATTGAATTTTTTGACAAAAATAATTCCGGCGCGAAGTGGTTAAAGGAACTCTTTACGCTTAGTAAAATTTAATTTTCTTCTTTCCTGATGGACAAAGATCCAAGAAAATAATTACTTTTTTTCTAATCTATTTGTCCTGGCAAATTTTTCTAGTTACATTTGTTAATATTTCGAACCATGCCTTAATATCAAGTAGCCTTTTTCTTTCTAAAATTCATCAAGTGTTGCCTGTGCCCTGCTCAACTCAACTCACCATTGAGTGACATATTCATGGCCTCTAGCAGGTTACCATCCGCTGCCTTGCAGTTGTAACCCTTGGGAATCGAACCATCTGTAAATCAAAATAAAAAAATGCAGAAGCTTAAAGGGAATATACATCATTTGCTTTTGCTGTAATTTTCAGAAATGGATGGAATTGGGGGGTTGGAAATATAAAGCAAATATAGTTACACTGACTTTTTGGAGGTTTTGGGTTCGAAAATGCTATAAAAACCAAGAAAAACGATCATTTTCCTGTAGTCTGGTTCCCTGACTCCATATAAGAAGAAACAGAGCAGTTTACATACATTGGGGAATTGTAAGGTCAGGGAACCAGTCTAGCTGGCTCGTACCCGTTCATAGGTTTGTAATCGATTGCAAACAAGTACAATGGTCAATTGGGGCCAGTATTTGAAAAAAAGCCAGTTGTTTCCAACGCTGATCGGCCGATCAGCGTTGGAAATTGATACAAAAATACCACTTTTCTTGAAAATGACAGTATACCAGGTGCCATAATTTTACAGGATGCTTTAGACTGTCATTTACCAACATCCTATTAAGGTATTTCGCAAAAACTTGGTAGTTTTATTTTTCGATGTTTGCAAATGTTGTATATTCCCTTTAAGGCCATGGTTGCAATTGTTTCATTATAATCTGTTACTGAAGTTTTACCTCCTTGCAAGCAGGATATTATTGTTTTGTTGCATATCTACATGATTGGCTTGAGTCAATTCCAGTGCTGTGGTCAAGTCCATCACTAGTCCTCAAAGATTCTATCACAAGTCAATCAAATGTCGTCTAGTCCCAAATCAAGCGACAAGCTTTTCACGTACCTGTGACAAAGGTATTGTTAATCAAATTAGCTTTTGCCCTTCACCGACGTATAAACACTGTATACTCAGTGTGTTACCTCCCGAGTAAAAGTTGGAAAAAAATCATTTTGGTGGGACTCGAGCCCTCGACTTCCTGCTTTCTAGTGCAGATGTCTTACCACTCGACCACCGAGCTAACAAGATTGGTTGGCTGGTTCGAATCTGATGTACATAGCAGCGGGTACCGCATTAACTATTCATAAGATGGAATTTTGCGTCGGGTATTGTTATTCATTGTGACTGGACTTGTGATTAACTTGTGACCGAACTTGTGATGGACTTGTGGTCGTTTCAACTTCAAGGTGGGTGAATGCAGCTTTCTCCTTACCAAACCGTTTGCCTTCTCCGTGAACTACATTACCTTGATTTATTCTCACATAATTGACTTGAGTGAACCAACCACTTCCTTGACCACTTAGATAAGCAGATAACACTTTGTGGCTTGATATACTCCCATGAATTGTTGGAGTGGTCTCTCCCCCTCCCTTCCTCCGTCCCCAATTTCCTTGAAAGCTTGACACCACTGCCCCATTTGCTTAAGTTGCCTGCCCTGCCCCCTCACTTCACACCTCCTTGATGGCTGTATGTCACTGGCTCTACTTGAGTGGCCGCATCCCTCCCCATACCCTGCTCCCTAACCCTCACCCATACCCCTACCACCCCTCTCAGACATTCAATTACCGCCTTGACGCCACTGCCTCATTGTATTCTATTTGAGTGGCCCACCCTTCCCTGTTGTTCCTGCCCCCTCAGTTATTATCTTTGATGGCTAGACACTACTGCCTCGTTTGTATTCCCACATGATCTGCATCGAGTCGTCCCTCCATTCACTGTGCCCTGTCCCTCCCCATGCCCTACCCCTCTCCTGTACCCTACCCCTTACCCATACCCCGCCCTTCAGAGACATTCATGTACCTCCTCGGTGGCTAGACGCTACTGCATCATTGTATTCCCACATGATCTGCTTGAGAGTTGACAGCATCTGCATCCAGTCGTCCCTCCTTTCATTGTGCACCACAACCCTGTGTGAGATTCAGTGTTTGAACCAAGAGGAACTTTGTGAATTTCGAAGGCAAATTTTGCCCTTCCAACAAAACATTACAATTTAAGCATTACAATTTATGCAAATTTACAAGCACTGTACACTCAGTGCTGCCTGAAAGCTAAAGAAACAAGAACGAAAAAAAACAATATTAAAATTTACATCTTATGGATGCAAAATTGCATTATACCAGTTGAAGGAAGTTTGCGGCAATACTATGCAGATGAATCTCTGTTTTTTGTGTCCCTTGACAATGAACAGAGCACACTGTTCCAAATGTTGAGTTTGCACAGGTTCTTTTCGTATACACAAAAGCTATCGACTGTCACATTGTCACATTGCAGACTCAACCATGCAAACTGTCAAATCTAATGCAATGGTTTCATACAAAACAAATGAATGGGACAGATACAGACCACATGTACTTGTGCAAGTACATGTATTTCTTCAATGATGACAATGAAAATAACAGCATCAAACCTGAATATAAATAAATAAATTGTAATGCTTATATAGCGCTTTCCATCGTATCAACAATCTAAAAGCGCTTTACAATTATTCCCATTCTTCAGGCCACGAGACCATGCGGCAGCCGATATCCTGGGTGGAGAGAGGCAATTGTAGTTCAGTGTCTTGCCCAAGGGCACAAACACCATGTTCCTGGCCGGGTTCGAACCCACGCACCATCGTACATGAGTCAAACACCGTAACCACTGGACCATGGCATGCTACCAAGAAGGACCACCAAGTATCATAATGCCTCATACAGCATTCCATGTGGATTATGTGTGGAAAGACTATCGCTACGTGTCTTTCACAGCCTCTCGCTTCCACAGCGCCCTCTTTTGTTCATGTTTGGAGGCCAAAATTACTTTGTATACGAGCAGTAAAACAAATGCCAAAACAGTTTTTTATACGTAGACCCCATAAGATCCACCTTGAATACGGGTCAACAAAACAAACTGCAGGAAAAAATACGGAAACGAAATACGGTTTGCTTAAAGATAACTTAATGAAGTTGCTGTACATGTACCTGTAGAAGTCCTCGTAAATCCTGCCAGCAGAGTCCACATGTAATGCACCATGCATACTCTCAGGAAACTCATCTGGAAACAAATAAAAATGGAGAAAAAATGTTACAAAAAACAAAACAAAAGAAAGGCAAAAGTTGGTCTTACAACGGAAATTTAATTAACTATTGCATAGGAATATCACATTGTGCAACAAATACACCAACTTTGAGATGAGCTAGAAACCAAACAAAGTAACAAACTTGATTAAACCCCCTACTGTTGAATTGTTTGTTGAATTTTTGGGGTATAATTTTCATCCAACTTCGTCTCAAGGTCACGTGATCCACAAGTTCAAATTTAAGGTCACAGTAAAGGTCAAAAGGTCATCATACTTCAAATTACTCTGACGTGAAAAATGTTGGTAATTTTGGATTCCTTATGATGTAATCTTTCCAAAGCATGGAGATTTGGTCATTTGAAAATTGGCGGCCATGCCCATTTTGGCCAAAATCACCAAAAAAATGGCAGGCGGTATAGCGCAGAAACCATTGGTCTGATGGCGCTAGAACTTATGATGTTTCAGCCAAAATTACCCCATACACTAGATGTGAACCAATTTGAAGGGAGTGGGTTCAACCCATTGAATAGGGTGGGGTTTAACCCATTGACGGGGTTGGGTTCAACCCATTGAAAGGGATGGGGTTTAACCCATGAAGGGGGTGGGGCTTAACCCATTGAAGGGGGAGGGGCTTAACCCATTGAAGGGGATGGGGTTCAACCCATTGAAAGGGGTGGGGCTTAACCCATTGAAGGGGTGGGGTTAAACCCATTGAAAGGTTTTTTTTTAACCCATTGAAGGGGGTGGGGTTTAACCCACTGAAGGGGGTGGGGCTTAACCCATTGAAGGGTGTGGATTTAACCCATTGAAGATGGGGTTTAACCCATTGGGTGATTTGACACGGAATGACCCTATCATTTATTAATTACGTTTTTACAATCTTTAATTTTCAGATTGGAGCAAAGCTGCTAATTGCTGCAATAAACGTGATATTTCTACTGCCTGTACCCAGACAGTAGAAAGAGCCCTCATTATCTGTGTGAGAACATTGACAGTTCCTAGGGTTTGCTTACGGTCAAGATTCCCATGCCCATTTTGGCCAAAATCACCAAAAAGTGGCAGGCGGTAGCGCAAAAACCGTTGGTCTGATGGCGCTAAAACTTAAGATTTTTCAGCCAAAATTACCCCATACACTAAATATGAACCAATTTGAAGGGGGTTGGGGTTTAACCCATTGAAGGGGGTTGGGGTTTAACCCATTGAAGGGGGTGGGGTTTAACCCATTGAAGGGGGTGGGGTTTAACCCACTGAAGGGGGTGGGGCTTAACCCACTGAAGGGGGTGGGGTTTAACGCATTGAAGGGGGGGGGGTTCAACCCATTGAAGGGGGGGTGGGTTTAACCCATTAAAGGGGGTGGGGTTTAACGCATTGAAGGGGGTGGGGTTTAACCCACTGAAGAGGGTGGGGCTCAACCCACTGAAGGGGGTGGGTTTAACCCATTAAAGGGGGTGGGGTTTAACGCATTGAAGGGGGTGGGGTTTAACCCATTGAAGGGGGTGGGGTTTAACCCATTGAAGGGGGTGGGGTTTAACCCATTGAAGGGGGTGGGGTTTAACCCATTGAAGGGGGTGGGGTTTAACGTGATATTTCTACTGCCTAGCTGTACCCACACAGTAGAAAGAGACCTCATTATCTGGGTGAGAACATTGACAATTCCTAGTGGTTTGCTTACGGTCAAGATTCGTAACCCTTTAGTACTTGTATTACATTGTAGTGACAGGTACAGAGAGGACACTCAGCTGGCCCTTTAGAACCACCATAAAACTGCCTTGGACGTTGAGAACTTGACCTTCCGACAGAACCTTACTTATTGTCTTGGCTTCATAGATAGTTCTTGAGAAGAGGACCAAGGTAAGCTCGCTGTTGATGTTGGAGCGCTTCCACTGGCAGAAGAGTTCCGTCAAGAAACCGTTGACGGCCTTCTCAAGGTAAAGATCACCTGCAAATATCCAACAAAAGTACAACAAATTCATAAGTATGGTATATGGGTCATTCTATAAATACCACTTTTTTTCCCGTCCCTGTTACATCTGACATCTATAATTCCGATGCACTCCTTAATGCTGTCATCCTCCAAGAATGATAACGAATAGCAAACTACTTTTTACCCAACAAATAAACAATTGTTTGTAGTCATTCTTATCAAAAGGGGCACTACATCCTGGAAAGCGCCCAATTGGGCTACAAAACGCATATTAAATGAAATGATGTAAATTGGAAAGAGCATTTAAATCCTTTAAAAATTGGCCGTTTTTGTGATATTCTACCAAGAAAAATTTGGGGGTTCAAAACTTTGACTCTCAAAATCGAGCCGTTTGGGTGATAGTCATTATTATTATTTTAATCATTTTCTGGTAATGAAACCAAGAATTCCTCAAAAACGCCCAAGGCACTGTAGCTCGCAAGCCTGAAGAAACCTGTAGAGAGAAGACAATGAGAAGAAATTACAGTTTTTGTGGTGGGAGGAAAAGCCCAGAAGAATATTCTGGGGAAAAACCTACGGAATTAGGCAGGGACTGAAAACTCAATCCACATATTGGCCTGGGCGGGATTCGAACCCGGGTCACAGCGGTGGGAGGCGAGGAAAGTACTTCTGCGCCAACCTGACTACCTAAAATGGGAGTCACGATGATTCTACTTGCACAATTGCACATGGCTCCCCAGTGCATCACATGCTGCAGATTTTCGGGAAACAACACGAGTGTATTGGTGCCGTGTGTCAACATGACGCGTACCGTATATTCAATCGTCTAAAATCATGGACACAGAAGCTGTGAGCAAATTCCTCGTCCAAGAAGGAGTCCTATTTATGGCTCGAAATATGTATGCCTATGTCCCAAAATGTCCGCCACTCAGAAGTAAACAACCGTGGCTGTTTTTTGGTCTTTTCTCGGGAACAGTGCGACATTAGGTCAGTTTCCTTTCAACCAGCCCTTTGAAATAGGACGAGTAAACAATAACAAGTTCGGCAATTTGAATGAAATTTGAAAGGCAAATTTCAAAATACCACGGTAACAGGGACAGGAAAAATGTCCCACTTTGGACACTAAAATTAAAGAATGGCTTATAGTAATTCTGAAAACACAGTCCACCTCAAGCAGGTGGTGCAATGGAACAAAGTGAAACCATTTTGTGTGGGTGATGTCTGCAAAAGCGCCCATGCAATGCAGTAAGCCACATTGGCAATGTCCTGTGCACTTTTGCTTTTCTCTGACAAAGCCATGGATATTACATACTGCGCATGATCACTCAAGCAGCTACATACATGTATGTATCAATCCCATTATACATGCAATTCACTACGGTAATGGCTTTTTATGGTTCACCCGTTTTTATGATTCACATCATATCAATGAGTGCTTAACCAAGTTCCAGGCAACTGCACACACTAAAACCTCTGCAATTTACAATGTATTTGTCGTCAACAACACATACAACTATCAGTTATTGGATTTCTTAAAGGGAATATACATCATTTGCTCAGGAGAATATGAATATTTGTATCATACGAAGTTCCATTCCTTAAAGGGTCAAAAACTAATTTCTGTGCTGTTCGGTATTTCATCTTATTATTTTCTTACTTGGAAAACAATAATTTGACATATATTTTCTAATTTTATTGTTATTATACCCTTGAGTTTAACTTCCAATGAAAATCTTATGAAAAGAGTGAAATGAATACTGATCAAGATAGAGAAGGATATCCCCACTCTAAAAATGGATGCTTCCTTAGTACAGGTGAGCTCTCATTGGCCCTCTCTATGGAAACGTAATACACGTGCATTTCGCCTATCGCTAAACTTATATTTCAGCCTGGTTTTATGTGGGCAATGGGTGGTACGTATATTGTCAACAGGTGTGTACATGATTATCAAAAATTCTATAAGATGGCACAGTGCCAAGAGTTTAAATGACACCTACATGTATCGAGCTACTTTTACGTGTGAAATTGAAGACATTCAATTCCAAATTACCTGTATTATCAAAGCCTGTGCAAAGCTATCAATCACAGACCTGCCACCTCCAAACTGTCAGAGGTTTTCTCATTTATCATGAATGAGAGTTTGTTGTACCTGACTAGAAATCTCTTGCTGACAACCACACGGGCACTTAAAGGCACTAATGGGGACATTTGCAATTACTCTGAAACATATCTACCAATTTAATGAGAAAATCCCTGCTCAAAGTGAAGATAGGACCGGTACCAAATACCCTGCAAAATTATTCCACCTGAAATGATATCACTCGGAAGAAAACAATCTTTGAAGTTGGTTTAGAAAATGTGCCGACGGGCATAGATTTTTACGTGTGTTAGCAACGGAATCCATCACGAGACCCCAAAAATTGGGCATACGTTTTCTCTGTTTTCTCAAAGTGTATAGTATCCACTGACATGACTGAGCTGAAACTTCAACACGTCAGTGGTTGTGCACTCTTCTTCACATTTTGAGCAATTTTGTTGTTTCAAGTGAAAAAAAAATAAACAAAAAGCAAACTTGTTCCCATGTCCCTTTAACAACACAGGCTGAACATTATTTTCTATATATAGGTAACAATATTGTTTCAATTATTAACAAATTTCATGAGTCAAAATTTCAGTCTCACGTGATTTTTAATTTAGAAATGGGGGCACACAACCTTCCAACTTGATTATCCCCAAAAGTGTGTTTTTTTTTGTTTTTTTTGCGTGCCTGGGCTGATAACGTCCTTTTCCTTGGCACGCGACTTTATGTGAAACTCGGTAAGATAATGGCTTCGCCTCTGACAAACTTGATTTATTCACCCATTTTTTTTTTTAATGAGTAAAATCACTTCACACATGAGTCACTGCATATATCATGACACCCTCTGCATTATCTGTCTCCAATCCCACGTAGAGCTGTGAATTATTGGATATTTAAAACGTCTACTTTCGTGTAATTTTATCTGTGGATCACGCATTACTTTCACATGCCATCTGTTTTTTGAATAAAAAAAATAATAATAATGAAATTCAAAAAAATGCCTTTATAAAAGTGCTGGTAGGAAAGTCTGGAGTTATTGTTGAACTTCTGGGTCAAGCAGCAGATCACTTGAAGTCACTCAGCTGAAGGAAAAACACTTGTGTTTTTACTGTAGTGTTCCATCAACAAGTCTACATTTGACGCAGCAAGTCAATTGTAAGTGCATATAGCAAGCTACTCAAGACATTCAAGAGAACTATTCAAGACATTGAAGTGTGCGGAACTGTTAATCACAAGATGGCATCCAACATCTCGACGACAGAGGGAAACTGCACGCACCATGTCTACGTCGTTGAGGAGTGGGAAGTTATGGAGCTTGTGCACAACCCCACGACAACCTTCATCGCTGCTGTTGCCATGCCAATCGTTCTGTGCTTCGGCGTTATCGCCAACTCCAGTTTTCTCTTTGCCGTGATTCGAACCCCCAAAAAGAAATCTCACACCACTCTGTACCTGGCGAACATGGCCCTGGCCGATCTTCTGTACCTCGGTACATCCGCGCCGGTTAAAATCTGGATGAAATATTCGTCGCCGCTGGTGGACACCGAACCATTTGTAAACTCAGCTCAGTGTGTTGTTTTTTCCTCTCTCGTACACCTCGGGTACTACTCCTCCATTGCACTCTTGACCATGGTGTCCTATGAGAGATTCCTGTCCCTCTGTCATCCGCTCAGATTTTGTCGCATCCGCAGTCGGCAACGGACTTACAAACTGATTGCACTCGGCTGGCTGGTAGGCTTGGTATTTGCCGGCGTGTGCGTGCCTGTTATCGCCCAAGTGGTAGCATTTCATTGCCTGCTCTGGCCTGACAATGACATGTACAGTGAATTTCCATCGAGAGTAACATACATGTACTGTGGATCGGTCGATTGGGTAGCGGGTTCCGAGTACATTTTCAGCCTGTTTGTAGACATTGTTCCGTGGTTCGCTGCCTTAGCTGCAAACACCTACATGTACACCCGCATCATCTGTGTATTATACAAGCTCAGGAGTTCCGACAGCAGAATTAGCAGTAACCAAGATGCAATGCAAACTGGCAACCGGATTGCCAGGATGGTGGTGGTCAATGGAGTAGTATTTTTTGTGTGTCAGACCCCTTATAGTTGCTTAACATTCTATCGTTTGTTTTGTAAGTTAATCAACGTTCCCAGCACGTACAGCCTTGTTCAGTATTTTGTGACGGCCCTTCTGCTGCACATCAACTCAGCAATCAATCCGTTGATCTACAACGCCATGAACCCGCAATACCGTGCAGCTTTGATGGAAGCGTGCCGATGCAAATGTCGTGACCAAGATCCTACCAACTCCTCACTTAATACAATGAGCACTGCAACCAACAGAAATGCCGACAACCCCATGCGCAATACTGACACCCCTGTGTGAAAGAGCCGACCACTTCCCATCCACGGACAGGAACTGTAGATGGTGCTGTATGAACCCTGGCAAATATCCACGTGGCCGTCCAAAGAAGAGGTGGAGCGACAACATCAACAATGACCTGAGGTGCCTGCAGATCAATGCCAGTCTGGCACTGAACCGAGCAGAGTGGAGGGAGGCTATCCAACCAAGAGGACACGATCATCATGGAGTCCAACCCTTGAGTTCGGGGACAGACAGACTGTGAACGGATGGATGGATGGATGGAACCACTCACAGGAACCAATGAAGATACATGTATTGCTATTTGCTAAGCAAACGTACATGTATTCTAAGCCGAAACACCCCCCCCCCCAAAAAAAAGCCCTTTGCTGTAGCTTAACTGTTCTCTGTATGGTTCTGGCGTGTCATCTTTACAGCATGCAGCGGGAAACTGTTGCCCAGTGCAGCATACATGCTGCATGTGCCTCACTGCTGTACATTTGTACATGACAATTTACTTTGTACATACATGCCTATGGGTTTCGTTTGTGCACAGCTTAATTAAGATATCGTGTTT